AGGACAACGAGATCGTTGACGCCATTGCCAGGATCTCGCTTCGGCAGCGGCAGCGGCCGGCCGCGTTTTGGGTTGTCCCGATTTTTTGGGGAGTCCAAGGTTTTGTGTGGTGTAAAGACTGACTCCCTGAGTTTCTGGACTCTAGCCACTTTGGGGGGTTGGACCATTTTAGTGATAAAAATGTTTGACCTTTTTGGATGGCAATAGATGATGAATTCTGATTACATGTAATTTGAATCGGATATTGTTTTGGTTGTGGGACTTTGGGGGGGACCAATCATCACGTGGACGGCTCCCTATGTTTGCCAAATTTCCTTCACTTCATCCATCCATTTGTCAGAAAGACATCAGCACCACGTGTGTGTGTGTCTTCTTCTGCCTACAGGGGAAACATGACCAGGAACAGCCTTGAGCAATTACCAGAGCAGACACGGAATTATATGGACCCGCTGCCAATCATTCGGAGGCGTGCTCCCTTCAGGGGAGCTGGAAGTGGCTGTTGCCGATCAGTAGTTTTTGTTGTTGAACGAGTTGCATGGATTATCAACAAAGCAAAGCCAAACAACATGTTTAAGTCCTGCGAGGCGTGCGCACCAAAATCACGTACAACAGGTACTTTATCCGCAGGTTTCCTTGCAGCACCCTGGACTGCCTTTTTGATGTGTGACAAGACTGCTGTTTTTGCACTATAATTAATGGGCCTAGACAAAGCAGGTAACAAAAATTCGGTCATGATCATTAACACACAATCGTGTGTGTGTGTGTGCGCGTGAGTAGTTAGTCGAGTTAGTAAGTCATGATCTTTAAACAAAAAATGGTGTGTGGTTACTGATCAAGCCCCCTATATCATTGTAACACGATCTACACTCGGCTTACTTGCTCCACCCAGGTCTCCATAGAGCCACCGGCTCTGAGCCAAAGCCCAATGCTTACAGCTCACAAGGTTGCGGTGTGACAATACAGTTGCTTTGGACTTGTGGTTGGAACGCACCCCTCGAAAACAATTGCGCACAGGCGAAAACATCAGGAAGTCGTTCAAAGCCTTTCAGTCTTTCAGAAATCTTGCAATGAGGGTACAGCGTGCACAGACGTGATATAGTATAAGACGCACAGACGCACAACATCCATCCAAGTTCCATTATCATTGGGGCGTGAGCGAGCTCTGTCCTGAGCAGAGCAACTCCTCCAGGACACTCCCCGTTGTCAACCAAAACACTGCTTCGCGAGCAGTTCTGGGCAGCAGCCTGGATGACCCTGCGGAGTTGACCCATTTGACACAGGTTTGTACTCATGTTGGCCTGTGTCTTGCCATGTTTCAAGGGGAATAGGATCCGTGCTGATGGCAGCCCAAATAACATCTAGATCAACCAACATGGACTTGAGTTTCCAACTGACCCTGCGGTCGCTCATTGGGCCATCCGCGATGGGTATGTGCCAACACGCAATGGGCCCAAATATCAAGCAGCACACCAGCCCACAACCCAAGGAGAAGCATAAGGTTCGCTCTGCGGCGAATGTGCAAAGGTGCAAGCCATTTTTTACAAGCGGCCGAAATCTTAGCTCCAGCCACCCCAGCCTCTCCGGCCCTGTTGGGAGTAGCTAGGGTCCAGCAGCCAAAAACCTGAGGCACAGTCAGTGGACGGCTTGCTGCTACCAGAAGTGGCCAAGCCCCTGTGAGGGCCCCGGATCGGCCCACGCCAGTCGCACAAGCCCCCCGCTTGGCGGCTCCCAGCCGTCCGGTTCCTTAGGATAGCTTGTTCTGGTGCAGGGTTGTGGGATCAAGGGGTTTTACCCCACTTCTGTGATACAAGGGAATCTCCCCCGTTATGTGGGGGGTTAGTGTTTCGGAAGCCCTTATTGTTGTATCACAGAAATGGTCATTTCCCACAGCCCTGTTCTAGTGGGTTTAGTGGTTTGGTTTCCCATTTAACTTATTGGATGTGAGGACCACCCGAAAAGTAGTCAGCCCCCATGCTCGGACCAACTGGGCTGTGGGACTTTTGTGAGCCTGAAAGCAGAAGTAGCCGCTTGACCAGTGTGGCAAACTGCAATGCCCAGGATTGAGACTTAGATCGGTTGCAGCTTTTGTGCAGACTGATAAAGAATCGGTTGGGGCACTGTAGTTTGGCGGCAGAGCGGTGCTCTTTGAATAGTTGGGAATTGTTCAGCCCTCTTTCTGGAAGGAAAGTCCACGCATTCATTTCCAAGATGGGATGCTTTGCTGTCTCGCAACCGGGTCATAGGGGCTACCCCTTCTTTGCGGGTTTAAGGGGACACCAGGATGTTCAAAACAACTTTGATCATTGAGGGTTGGCTGAGGCCAAAGAGCATTCACAATTAGTGGTTCCCAGCCAACGGTCTCCTAGGTTTCTGGCTTTTTAGGGTTTAGCTGTTCTGCATGCCTCAAGACCCACCAAAGAGGGGTTGACGAGCCCTCTTCCGGAGCACCCTACTAAACAACTAAAAGGTCACCCGATTTGCCTGGTCCTCCGGATTCATCCAAAGATATCATTTCTTGTGGTTACTACCTTCAGCCAGCAGGTGGTGACACGCCCTGTATTTGCAGTTTTTCGGGCCCCAGCCAGGCCTAGCCTTCGTCGAAGGATCCTGCTTTTTGTTTCCTTCCGCTCAAAACCAACACAGGTCCTGGTTTGTGCCTTTAAAGGGAAGGGACACACAAAAAACAAACCTACCACTGCTGGGTCCAAGCTCCAAGAAGGACACACCCCGCACCGAGGATTCCGGTGGATTCGATCGCAGGCTGCTGCGTTTCGGATGGCGGCAGCGGGACATGGAGGAGCAAGAGGATGCGTCCTTCACGCTGCGCTTTGCTCAGATGGGCTGAGCCGCGGCTGAGGCTTGTCTTCTTGGGGTCGGTAAGGGACACCCAAAGGAAAATCACAGTTGTTTTGGGGTATCCATAAGTTCCCCTTTGTTTGATACATAGATTGAGAGCGGAGTGTTTCTGCAGGGTTCGGCGAGGCTTGGCATATGTTCGATCAGTGCACCTCACTCCCCGATGGGTGATTCTTTTTGTACCCTCCCTCCAATCGTGGAAGCTGATGGGTTGAAGACGACTATCCTTTCGGGGAGCCTTCCATCACTTCCAGGATTGCTTGAAAGAGGGTACTCAAAATCCGATGCCCTCCGAAGATTGACCGTTCATGCAGCTGGAGGTGGGACCCGCCAGAGGTCGCTCCTGCCTGGGAAGCCCAGACTCGAGACGAGACCGGGGGTTCGAAGCCCCTTTGGGCAGACGCGAAAAGCGGCGAAGACCAAAAAAGTGGTCCGCTGATCGCGAGGGCCCAGGATAGATTGTGAATTTGCCGGGGCGATGATTGAAACTGCAAGGAATAGAGACCCAACTCGATCAACAGACCATCGGGATAAAAGGGCAGCTGTTGAAATTTTGGGCAGTTGGAAGATACGAAAACACCGGTACTCACCTGAAGGCCCGAAACAACATGTTCAGAGGGGTCTTCTTGTGTGGGCACTTACTGCTGTTTGGGGTTCCTTCTCTTGTGGGCAGCATCGCCCCGTTCAAAAGGCTTTGATCTTGGAATCAGAGGGTTTGGGGCACTAGCCCTTTCAAAGGCTATGTGCCAACAGCCCAGACAGCTCCGCTGAGAATCAACGGAAACCAATGAAACAACCAGAGTAAAGCATCTAAACATTTGGCCTACACAAGGACAGTAGAGGGAGAGCAGCAGGACCATCCTTGGAACTCCGGTAAGCGGGGCCACGTGTCCGAGGTACATAGCTTTCTGCAGCTCGGCATTCAGCCGCCCCCGCCTCCTGGCAGCACTTAATTGACCCTCTGGTTGGGTTTTGTGCGACTAAGATGAGCTCCCCGCCCCCACCCGTTTTTGCAGGTTGGTTATGTTGAAAGGGTTTGGTTTTACAAAATAGTGGTTTGTTTGCAAGATGGTCGTGTTTCTTGGTTTACGTGCTGTTTTGTAAGCAACATATCAGCGGGGGAGTTGTTGAAAAAGAGAAGCGGCCTTTGATGATACATTGCAGCTGCCTGTGCAGCCCCAACCTGCTTTTAAGGTTTCCAGGCTACGGGAAAACCCACCATGGGGTGTCTGCCATTATCTCAGCTTCCTTCCAGGTGGTTTGCAGCCAAACCAGCAATTGGGCATTACCTGATCTTAGAACTCCCCGTCCGTTCAACCAAGATTGAAAAGAGGGCAACGTTTCGGATTTGAAATAGGAAGCCGTGAGCTCGAAGGATTGCGAGGAAAAGCAAAATGGCAGGAGGGTGAACTGTGAGTCTTGGACTCTGGGACTCAACAGCCTGCGTTGCAATATGACTTCAGCATCTATTTTTCCATTTGGGATCGAGTTCTGGTTGCTTCCGGGGGCCCCCATTCCCGAGATGCTACTTCTACAAGTCGTTTGGAACCTCAGTTTTTTGTGGCCATGTCCAGGTTAGTGGCCATATAGGATCATCTTTCCGGGAAAAGTCTCCTTTCTGGGCATTGGACCCCCTAACATGGCGTGGGTGTTCCTGTCATTTCCCTTCAGAACCTACCACCGAGCCTAAGACACGAGCCAGCCGCATGTCCTGGCTCGAGAGAATGGTCCAGGGAAGTCCCGAATTACATCCACAGCATCGAAAAGGGGCCACATTGTTTTTGATCATGCTGATGAGAAAAAAAATATCCACGAAACGCAGCAGTTGGACAAAACCCTATGGGACAAACCAGCACTTGGTGCAGGATTTGGGCCCAGGCCATCCAACTGAGGCCAAGCCCCCCTGGACTCACGGATTCCGTGTGGTCGGTCTGGGCCCCAGTTGAGAGCAAAAAGACCCTGGCAAGATGCCAGCAAGTCAATGAGCGATTAGACACTACAAAATGTGCTAGACCACAAAAGCACCGCAACAAAGTGCGTTTGGAGGCAATCCTGTTGAGTTAATGGTGGTGTTATTTTGTTTCCCCGTAAAACTCATGAATAAGCAGCAAAAGCACATGACTCCACAAAATAGACAATGAAGGGGGCCGTTAGCCCCAGTCCTCCCCCAACCAAAATACCAATTACAGCAATCGTCCACGGCTATCAAATGGCACCGGGGGCCCGTTCATTTTTCTACCCACAAACCTGCTGCATGACCTCCACGTTTTGGCTTATGGACCCAAACAACGGGTGGGGGGGGGGGGGGTGTAAAACGCAGGGTTTCCCCATCCAAAAGGTACCTGAAGTGTCCTTATGTCAGGATTTGTTGGGGCTGTTCAACATCCTTGGCCTTGGAATTTGTTTCTTTCAGGGGTAGCCCCCTGATGGGATGATTTTTGATCAGGGGTCCAACATTGCTCAACTTAGACTTGCGGCATGAAATGAATCTTGAACGTGGGTGATAGCTGGCTGCTGTGCCTCTTCCTCACCCAACAGCTGAAAGCTATGGGGTCTCTGTCCACAATAGGCTCTGGGGTTGTTTTGGGGCAGCTTTCAGGGAAGGTTCAAAAGGTGGGTTCCAAGGGGTCCGGGGCTGTTGGGGATACCACCTAGGCTTATGTTTTACTGGGGTAATGTCCACGACGATAATTTGTTGTCTTTGCCGGTCTTTGAATTATTGGTGTTTTCACACGCCTGCACGGGCTTGTGTGTGTGTGTGTGGGTGTTGTGTGTGTGTGTTGGTGTTTCTCAGGGCTCCTTTTAGAGCAAAACCATGGTTTTTGGGCCGGCACTGGCACTGCATTGAATGACATATCAGGTTCGGTGAAAGCTATTGGTAGCCTAAACTTGGGGGAGCAAGTAACTTGTTCCCTGGCTCATTTGCCCATGTCATTTCGAGCTCGCCTCAAACGAGCAAAACCCCGGGATGTACGTTCTTACTCAACGGGTCCAATTCTTACCTCGGGTTTTGCATGATACCTTTGGTCTCTAGCATGGTGTTGCGCTTTGTGTGTCTTTAAACAAATCCGGGATGTCAGTTGCCATTGCTCAGATTGGTGGTTTGGAGGTTCAACCCCAGCTCCTTCTCAATGGGGCAGGTACCCCGGAACGTCCAAACCACCAAACCAAATCACGAATGAGGAGTAAGATGAATTGTTGTAAATTCCATTTGCTTAAGAATCTTGTGTGTGTTTTCCCTGTTGGCGTTAAAGGGAAGCTATCACTACTGGACATATCTTCTTTTTTTTCCAGGGACTTAAACAAATGGACGTTTACAATATTGTGGATGGACGAATTCCTGCAGATGAATCCCTTGTACATACCAAGAAACAATGGTTTCAACCATGGGCAATTGCTGCAATGTTTTTTGTTTTTGTTGTTTTCGTAGTCCATTTGGCTGTGGGTCAAAATTAAACCACCATACCACAGGTTTTAGTCCATGTTTTTCCATTTACCAGGGTTCCCATGTTGGGTACATATTTTGATCTGCCATTTCAGAAAGCTCAAGGTCATCATCTCCTTCGATGCAGAGCTGCCCTTTGAGTTGGCCCGGCGCCTCATTTTCCGCCTTGCGGCGGTTTTGGCGGTTCGGAAGTCGAGTACATGGCATTTTCCCTACTTAGCGGGGCAGAGAGTCATGGGTGGCCATCGAGTTGCTGAGTACCCTGCCCCTTTAAGTGTGAAAGGTAGTTGGAACAGAAGGTTTTAGGTTGCCCGGCCCTGTGTTGACATCTCAAACCCATTGGGTGATACAAACATGAGGGTTTGGTTTGTTTTAACTACATTGCACAGGTTCTTCTTTCATGGCCCATCCCCATGATGACGTGTTTTGCCAGGTGCAACATGGTGTGAGAGGCGCTAGCAGCCAGGGATGTTGATTTCCGCAAATAGCTCGCTTGGTTTTGATTTGGAGACAAACTTAGTTTGGCTTTCTAATTTGGCTCTGGGGTGAAGCACACAGTTACTACTTCTCTCCTCTAAACTACCCGATATGTATTAAAGTGTGGACTGTGAAGAAGCACCCCCCCCCCCCGTTTTGCCAGTTTGTGGTTCTCTCTAATCCGTGGTGTCCCACGGATTACAGATAAGGATGACGGAATCCCCCTTTTTGAACAACCCAGGCATACCGCTTTCTGGTAAAACGTTTCAAAGTAGTACTGGGTCGGGTCTCATGTTGGCGTCGCAAGGCACATGTTGCGCGGTTCTCGCGCCGAGTGCCGAGCTTCTCGCGCCTTCGAGGTGTGGCAGTCTGTCGAGTCGGCAGCCTCAGATGGTTCGCGGAGAGGGCTGATGCGGTTGCTCTCCCTCCAGATTTCAGGAGCCTTCTTGTTCCTTGCACTCATGATTGCTGATGATGTGGTACCATGGGTGCTTTGGGCCTCTGCCAAGCAAAGTTAGATGGCTTATGAGCATGCTTCCCTGCTACAGGGTTCCTTGTATGCGACTGGTTGGATGATTTAAACGACAACTTTTGGACCGTTTCCAGCTGAGTTGTCTTTTGGTGGGGTAAGGGTTTGAAGAGGACATAATACAAAGACACCCTTTACCACAGCCCGCCTTGTGCAGATCGTTTGTTGAGTTGCTGCGCCCTTAGCTTAGCTCAGGGCCATCAACTCGTGCATTATGCCATGCACAGGGCAAGTGGCAGGTGACCCAGGTGGACCCTCCAGGTGGAAGGGGTGGCTTAGTTCAGAGCAGACCCTTTTGCTTGGGGCATACTGAAAGCCTAGGTAACTGGAGGGGACAGTCCCAACCCAAATGTCCATGTTGTTTGTTTGGGGATATGGAGCTCAAAACGGTGCATTTCACCTTGGCTTCCCTGTGAAACACACAACAGGTGCCCCCCCCCCAAAATACATAAACAAAAAGCCAAACAAGGAACACACACACACACACACGTGTACAGGAAGCACGCGCCCTGCAGCCCAACAAGTTGAGCCATGTTTTTTTGTTTTTCTGATCTGTTGGGCGTGCTGCATCATTCATTTGCGTTCGAAAGAACCACAAGTGGACTTGAATTGTGAAAGCGCAAGGAACCAAAACTGAGCCACAAGGAATCGCAAGCCACAAGTGACTCATCGGTGAACTCCTTTGCTTTGGTGCTTGGAGGGGAAACCTGTTTTTTTTATTCGTCACCGTTAAGGGTCCCCGATTGTGAGGAAGTCGCGCATGAGATTTTCCAAATCTGCTTTCGCCATAGGCTGGACGTGAAGAACGCCTTCACCAGCGTGTCCAACAAGTGGTCAGAGTTCCTGCTGGCATGTTTGCAACATGGAACCTCCTAAGATAGCCGCTGCCTTTGCTTGCCACTCCCAAACTAGCAGGGCAACCACGGAACCATGATTGCACTGCCTCTTTTGAAGGGCTCCAAGCTGGCCCTGCGGTGTAGGTCCTTGAGAACCGCTTGCTTCAGGTCTTGGAATTCTCGAGCCACTTGCACATTCTGCTGGGTCACCATGATGCATGTCCTTTGCTTGGCCAGCCCGTGTTTCAGGAACATCAGTTAGATGTTTGCAACAGGTGTGGCATAGTCAAAGGGGAGATACCTGGATTGGGGAAAGGGGAACATCACCCAACATATGTAGTGGCGTCGCTTTGGTTTCCCTTGAGGCCACGTTTTGGCAAGACCCTTAGTGCATCAAAAGTCCGGTAGACTCGTTTTTCTGGTGCATCAAAAGTCCGGTCTCTGGTTTAGACCCGTTTTAGTGATGCATCAAAAGTCCGGTTGCCATTTTCTTTGGGCCAATCCACTCGGACGCGAGCAGGGATGTGGAATCAAGGGGTTTATCCAACCACTTCTGTGATACAATGGAATCTCCCCCTTTAAAGGGGGGGCGTTAGTCTTTGGGAAGCCGTTTCAGTTATACAGCTGCGGGTCAAAATTATGTATCCAAATGGAACTCTGACAAATGGAACCAAGCACCAAAAATATGCGGTCCCTTTTTTTTGACCCATACCCATATCACAGAAGTGTATTCCATTTGCCACAACCCTGGACGCGAAAAACAAATGCCACGTTGCTCAGCCAGGATTGGCTGGCCGGGCGGGGAGCAGGAGATGCTCGAAGCCGTCCACAAGGTGCCCGGAGAGACGGTGCCGGGTTTTTTGTTGGATGGACGAAATACATTTCGCACCACCTCAGAGATCCTGGTTTCGAGATGATTCCCCTGGAAATGCCAACAAAGAATGGTTTCAACCATGGTTTCCAAGTGGTGCAGGATGTGGTCCATCCACAGTATGTGTCAAACTCGACAAAATACACACAAACAATGGTTAAACGACAATGATCAATACTAAAAGCGTTATGGGCATGATATGTGTTCACATTGAAGTTTACACACAAGCTCGATGTTCAAAAGAACAACACACCCCATATGGTTGTCAAAACACAAACACTTGATTAGACAATAATATGACATGCAAAAACGAGATGGGCATGGTTGTCAAACAAATGTCTTCCCGCTGGCTTCCACTTGCACCAAGGTGACAAGGGTGCGCTTAAAAAATACATATTGCTTTACCTCCTAGAACAAACATGTTCACACCGTAAACTCAACAAAACAAAACAATCACAATAAAATAAACATAAACAAAAAGCCTCAAGAATGACACACCCACATGTTGACCAGTGGTTCCTGGCCGGGGAACCCGGCGGAAACCAACATGTAAGGCATTGAGGTGAACAAAACAGCTGGTGAGCTGATGAGCTCCTATATGTATATACATATAATATATATATATATATGTATACTATATATGTGTAGATGAGTATGTACACATCATTATTGTCAAACTATACTTCCTGTTGTTCGCCCTTCAAGCAAACACCCAGACTGGTACCCTTAAGCACATGAATGTATATTTGTGTTTATGTGTTCAAGGCAATTCCAGTGAGCTGAGCGCTGGTACTTGCCATGCTCACATTGGGACACTTCCTTTAACGGCGGTCGCCAAACCTTTTGGATGCGTTTCAGACAGTAGGATAATGCACCCCGCCAATCATGGTTTGGTGCACAGGGCCCCTGTTGGAAGACTACTTCTTTGCGGGAAAGAGGCCTGTAGCACCAAGCCGTGTTTGGAGGGTTGGTTGGTTTATTGCCGTTTCTTGTCGGCGCCCAGTTTTTGTTAAGGGAATCTAGCACTACTGGAAGCGTTTATGTTTTGTCCAGGGGACTTCAGCAAATGGACGGCAGTGTTGCAATGGCGTGAACAAAGAGCGCTGCTTTTCTGTACACTTGTAGTATTTTGTGGGCTCCTCACTCAAATCGGCAAATGCGAGAGAAGTCAAGGACGCCAAAACAAGCCTCGTTTGGATCTGGTTGACTGCTTTAGTAGGATTTCAATATGGATGCTTGGCAACGGAGCTTTTGTTTACCAAGCAACTCCTTTTTGTTGAAAGGGCGTACTAAACAATGGGAAAGGTGCGATAGCGACAATCAAAATTGTTCAAGTGTATCACAAACAATGATCAAGGCGGTTCCAGAACTGTTTTGGAGCTATGGAGCTCATACTCCACTTGTGTATACCGTTTATAGACTGTCTTTGGCAACCCATTCTCTTGTAAACATGAGCCCCCATGCCTTCGAAACCAATATCAGCTGAGACGTCACAGTCATGAGACTGTTTAAGAAGGGGGCTCCTTTCTTGTTGAACATGTTTGGTCAACATGTTCTCTAAGTGTTCAGTTTGGCATTTTAAAGACTGATCAGGGGTGAATGGGTGTGTGTCTTTTTGTTGAGGGTAATTGGTGAGAGAAACCAAAAGGAAGCCACATGTTTCGAGGTTTCCCTGTTTCAAAACAAACCGAAATTTTAGCCTGATGGTCTAATATATGGCCATAGTGCCGCCCTAGTTGGGCACTATCAGCCTAATTATTAGCCTAACATGGGTCAGATATCAGCCTAAGATGGGGTAGATATCAGCCTAAGATGGGGGAGATATCAGCCGGGAAGGGGGTTAGTACCAGCCTGGGGGGACAAAATCAGCCTGGTCATGTGTTGCCAACCCCCCAACCGCCGGGCCAATGTTGAGGCGGTCGCAGAGCACGGCGAGGCAGCTGTAGCGCGGGGGCTTACGCACAGTCGGGGCGCCCAAGAAACCCGCTGCCTGTCCTGGGAAGAAAAGAACGATTGTTGTGATTTGTTGTGTGTTTCTTGTAGTATTACTCAATCTTATCGATGGTTTTGCTTCGCTGTTGTTGTTGTTGTTGCTACTGCTGCTGCTGGTGCTGGTGCAGGTGCTGCTGCTGCCGCCGCCGCTGCTGCTGATGGTTACAATCTGCATATGCAGGTTCTTGCATATTGTGTTGCAGCCTCTTTTTTGCTTTTAGTGGCCCAGACTGTTTGCAACATTTATTTGGACATCTCAACTCGCCACGCTTGTCAAGCTTTGGAGACCCGCATGCGCAACACCCACGGTTGCGTAGCGTTTTCCTTTGCACCAATGATCTAACAACCATGCTGATCCTCCTAGCGAGGCTCAGCCTGGGATGAATAGAAGAGGGAAAATATGGGCATGGGTCAAACTTAAACCATCCCGCAGGTTTTAGTCCTTGGTCCCATTTACCAGGGTTCGGTTTCGGGTATGCATTATTGACCCACAGCCATTTGTTTGCATGAAAAAACCTGCTACTCGCCATGGTGGGTTTTGGTCGCCACCAACTGCCCTTGCGGCGAGCACCATCACATCACATGGCAGATGTTGGGCGCCAAAGTGAAATCCGGCTGCGCACAGCTGACGGCCGCAGCGCATAAGCGGAGTCCAGCGCCTTTCCCTTTGCTTTCATCTAGGCGAAGCCAGACCCTGGAGTTGCGTGCAACCATTCATAGGGAGCCCTGATTTTGGGTGGGTGAATTATGGTAGCAGTCCCAGACATTCCGCTGGGAATAATTCAATCCTGCGTATGCTCTATTTTGTGCAGGTGTGCTTGGCGTGGAATGTACCAAAGCGACATTGATTTTTAACAGTTCGAGCTGAACACTTTTCAGAAGCCCTGTCACCCAGCCAGGGCGTCAACGAGCTATCGCACCCATTCAGGGTGCTCGGAGTTCACAAAGATGGTCCAGAACAACAACGCCAACATCATGTGGTGGGAACATCCACAAGCTGGCTGTGTTTTTGGTGGTTTCCGACGACACATCGGTAGTTGGTTCCACTGGGAGGGGTAACGGTGCATCCAACCGCTTTTGCACCTGATGAGTAATTACCTGACCTTCTACCCACTCGCATGGAACCTGACAACGTATGCTCGGAACAGAAGCGTCTCCATATGAAGCGGATCTTCTGTCAGATATCATGTTAATTGCAAGGCGACCCCGTGTTCCTATGGCTTCCACTACCCTGAAGAGAACAAGGGCAATGCACCCTTGAAGTACCCATGCCGCATTCACATGTCATTGGGCATATATCCGGGCACCGTTTTCCGCAGAAGGCGTGTGGCAAGCGACCCTTGGACTAGGAGTGGCAACTGCGCAGCGCGCATAGCGCGAATGTATCGTTGGCCGTGAATGACCTCCGGATCACGATGTCTCAAAATCTTTACCCCCCATGGCTTGCATTGTTGTCAAACCCTGTTTGGAAGGAGTAGCATAATTCCTAAGTTCCCCCTCTCTCGATGTTCCCTCCCGTGAAGGAAAATGTTTTTTCCGACTGATTTCGAAGGTGAATCTTAGGCCCTGAGAGGAATCTGAAGGGTTTGTCGATATTTCTTGGGCTTCATCTTGTGTTTCCTGATCTAAAGAGGTTCAAGTGGGTAACCAAAACGTATCCGATGTCCTCATGTTCTGTTGGCCAATATATCTTCGAGTCAAAGGACAACCGATACAGCATGGGCCAAAGGAAAAGTCATCTGGAAACAACAACCTAAGGCTTTTGGTAGTTTCAGGTCCTGAGAAGAAGTGGGTAGTAAGCAGTATATGATAGTATATGTACGTTCCTGTAATTTGTAAATGTCGTTATTTCCTGTCGAAAGTCATTTGCAGCCACTATGTGATGAGAAAGTTGCATTTTCCCCGCTGTTCTTATGAGTCCTATTTTTCGATTTCTTCATGCAAGTTCTTAGTATTCCCTGAATGGACAGCCCCCGCCGGGGAAATTGGAGTGGTGTAGCCCGCTGTATTCCCCATTCTGTTTGACCAACTCCTGTGTGTGGAACCGTTGCTTTTTTTGAACTACCCCCGGTTGAGGCTTAGCGCCGATCCATTTATTGGTTGGTTGCTTGCTTGCTGGGCTGGCTGGTTTTCTCGTCGCTTGGTTGCTTGGTTGCTTGGTTGCTTGGTTGCTTGGTTGCTTGGTTGCTTGGTTGCTTGGTTGCTTGGTTTCTTGGTTGGTTGCTTGGTTGCTTGCTTGCTTGCTTGCTAGCTTGCTTGCTTGCTTGCTTGCTTGCTTGCTTGCTTGCTTGCTTGCTTGCTTTGCTTGCTTGCTTGCTTGCTCGCTTGCTCGCTTGCTCGCTTGCTCGCTCGCTCGCTCGCTCGCTTGCGGTCGGTTGACACCCCTGTGTTTTTGTTTCGCCGGGGTTTGACACGTGGTTTTGGCTTGAAACACCGCAGGCTCCGCCACCCGCATCGCTGAGCGGCTCATGGTGGCGGTGGCGTGCCGGGCACGCCCCGAAGTGCCGAGAGAGAGAGAGAGAAAGAGAGGTTTTGGGGATGCCATGGGCTGGTCTCTGAGCCCAGATCTGGGCTGATCTTTGGTGAGGCCTTTTGCGGTGTTGTCAAAGATACTGTGGATGGTATGGAACTCCACTTCGCACCACTTGGAACCCATGGTTGAAGCCATTGTTTGTTGGTATTTACCCATAGTTGAACCCATTGTTTGTTGGTATTTACAGGGGAATCCTCCTTCCAGGGTTTCTTAGGTGGTGCAGGATTTCGTCCATCCACAGTATGGACCCAACTTGGGACCTGTTCTCGCCTTGTGCCACCTTTTAAACGATTTGAAGAGGATATTCAAAAGAGCCCCTACCCTTCTTTCATGGTTGTTGTTGTTGTTGTTGTTGGGAACCATTTTACACTTTTGCTGATTGTGGTTTAGTGGGAAACCCCCCACGTAACTGCTAAGATTTAATTGTTTGCTCCCCTTCCAGCGTCAACCAAGCTTTTGGTTTCCCTTAGTTGTCCCTGCAAAATCCTGGAAAAGAAAGGGCATGGCTGGTGGTGTGACCATGTGTGACCCCAAAGGCCCATGAGAGCAACTTTGGAGAACAAATGGCTGTGGGTCAAAACCAATGGTACCATTTGGGCCAGGTGCACCACCCACTTGGGATGTTCACTGGGGGTACCAGATGTTGACCCATGGCCAAGTGGCTTTTCCATACCCTACCAAAGGTCCATCACGACCTTTTAAAGGCTCAGGAGGGCTTGGGGTTCCCCCAGTTTAACACATGTTTTAACTAGGATTCTTTTGGATTGTCACATGAACCCTAAGCCAAGCCCTAGGTACATGAAAGTTGAACATGGAACGCTCCCGACCAGAAGTAGGTCTGGACATGAGCCCCTTTGGTTCTCTACCTGGATTTGGGTAGACCACTTTAATACCAGGTGTTCAGGCTGTGACTCATTTGCGGTCTCAGGGCATTTATGCAATGGAATCCTTTCCTCTGAAAACCAACCAAGAGGTACCCAGAGTACCCAGAAAAGAACTCACCCAAAAGACTTTTCGCCAAGAGAGTAGCACAAATATGTTCTCACAGGCATTTTTGCAGTTTCCATGTGATTACTTCCCCATGCGCGTCTAGAGCTGCTCATCACGTATGGCCGGTTGCGGCGCTGCCCTGGCTTTGGACAAAATCCAACCTCGCAAACGGGACTTTGCAACTTGAACGCGCCTTTCTTGGGGTCATTATATTGGAGCTGTGGGAATCTCGTCACTTGTCACGCAAAACTGCAAAACCCCAACTGAATTTATATGGGTATGGCTCAAAATTAAAGAGCTGGGGTTACGCGGGCTTTAGTCTTTGGTTCCATTTACCAAGGTGCCATTTTGGTACCACTTTTTTGAGCTCTTATTCGGACTTGGCATTTTTGTTGCTGTGCTCATCTTAGCACCGACTCGCAGCTCCGGCGCTTTTTTGTCACATCCTTCATCTCCTTCGCCGGGCCTGTTCAGGTGGTCGCCGAGCCGGAGATGGCCGCCCAAGGCGTCTTCCCCTGGTCCGACTTTGCAATTTTTTTGGGAGGGTTTTTTAGGAGCGGGGGAGTTTCCCTGGTCGTTCTTTTTTTGGTTTGGGGGGGGGGGTTGGTGGTTTCCCTTTCCCTTTCCCTTTTGAAAAGCAAGTGCCCAAAGAAAGTGCCGTTTCCCCATGGCCTCTCGTTTTTTTTGGGAGGGGAATTCGCCTTTTGAAACTTACTCCCGAGTTCATGGGCTTCAGTCACTTTTTGGGGGCTGGACCATTTTGAGTGGCTTTTAACAAAGTTTGGCGACTTTTGCTGGCCAATCTACTCAGGAAGTGAGTGGAAAAGCACCTACGCGAAGAAAGAGTGGCTTTTTTCCACGGCCACATGTTTTTGGGAGGGAGTGGGCCGCTAAAAAACAACAAACCACTATACCCCAAAATATAGCGCCAATTATGTTTTTCCATTGAAATGTGAGGTGTGGGCTTGTGGACAGCAAATGAACAGGGCTTATCCATTTTACCACAAACCGCTCACTCGAGCAAACGAGACACTACCTTGCAACAGCCACTTGAGGCGTTGTGTGTTTTTTTTGTAGCTTGTTCTCCGTTTCGGCAGATCATCGTGCACTTGGGCGCATATGGTTGGTTGAGGTGTTGTGTTCTTGCGCAAAAGAGCCGGTCACTTTGCGCTAGTCTATACGTGTTTGTGTTTGTGTATGCTATCATCATGTTTAGTGGTATCATTTGTGCTGATTAGTGTTGCTTTTTCATGGCTGGCATCTACACCCTGCATCCTTGTCATTGGCTTGTTTCGTATGGCATGTTGCATCGTCACAACGCGAAGCCAGGCGCAAACTTGGTTCCAGCAATTACGCCCCGCCAAGCAAGATGCCCAGGGTATCTGAAAGTTGTCGAAAGACTAGCAACGTCGATAAAAACGTATCGGACATGTGCATGTTAACATACAGTTGTTTCATGCACACACACGTGTGCAACTGTGTATTTTACATGCAACTCTGATGCATCCGCACTCTTCGCTGCGGTTGCCCGCTCCTTGTTGTGGCCTCTACTCGTCCAACCTCCCTGCGACCCGTTTGCCAGGTGCCAGCACCCAGCGAAAGGCGCGGTTAGCTGTTGGATTCCTTCAGTCAGCTCATGTTTTTTGAGGGGTGCCCTTTTTGGGTTTTGAAGGGAAACCAAAAGGAAGCCAACTACGTTGGGTAACCTATTTTGGAGACACGCAAACAATAGGCTCTTGTGCCATGATATGAATCCCTTCCAGTTATCGTTTCGTACTCCAAAGTAGCAGGGAAAGCAGTTGAGAGGCCCCTCAAGGTGTTGGAATCTGCTTAGTCTGCCAATTTTGTTCCCTCTGAAGGTGCCAATTGCATGTGTATCAAAGTGGTTTTTTGGGGTTGGTTTGCAGGGAAACCAACTCTTGAGGTCCCCCTTTTTCTGGGACTAGCCCATAAAGTACCGATTTACCTAGAAAGGGACCTAATGTGCACCAGCCCATTGCTCGGACCGTGGACAGCTCATGGCATGGACCGATGCCACTCCACGTACCAATCCCAGCTCTTCATTTGGCAGACTCTCAGAGTCTCAGCGCGGGAGGTGGTTCCTTTTGCTGAGCTTCGGATTGTTTTAGAGCGGGATCGCCCAAAGGCCAGGGGGAAGCAGAAAAAATGCCTTGCATTGATGGCCTGCATTTGCATTGGTCTTTCCTGGGGCCATCTCGGGCCAGTTGTTGAATTATGGCTTGCACAGCACCGCCAAACATGGCTACGAAGCCCATGAAAGAGGAAAGAACAACAGCAAGTTTGGCATACTTCCCACAAACATCTCACACTTCTAGGTCTGCCGAACATTTTCTTAATCAGATTCATTAAAAAAAATTACACCAGCATAGACCCCAGATAGCACACCACGGATACGAACCATGACGCAGCATTATCATGATGATGTAGACCATGATGACACCACAGCCACGAAACAAACGCGCAGACAACGTCCTAATGAGATCAGCAGCATAATGATGATTTTGAGAGCAATCCGGCAGGAAAAAAGCAAAAACGAGGTCCTGATGAGTTCGACAGCATCATGATGATGCGGACAGCATCATGATGATGCGGACAGCATCATGGTGATGCGAACAGCATCATGCTGATGGCAAAGGCAGCATCATGATGATACCACAGCCACGAACCATCTTGCGACAGCTTAATGAAATTCTGCATCATCCTGATGTTGACAGCATCACGGCGCCACTACGCCCACACACCATAACGTGGGAACATCATGACGATACACCAGGCACGAACCGTTACACGCGAACAGCATCCACCAGCACCCCAAACATGCCCCCTAGCACCCAGTACAACCAAAGCAGCATCCACCCGCGCCTCAAACTGCATGCCCCTTAGCACCCGGCCGTCAAGCTCGCAAAGCAGCATCCACCAGCACCCCAAACTGCATGCCCCCTAGAACCGGCCGTCAAGCTCGCAAAACAGCATCCACCAGCACCCCAAACTGCATGCCCCCTAGCACCCGGCCAGCTCGCAAAACAGCATCCACAGCAGCCCAAACTGCATCCCCCCAGCACCCGGCCGTCAAGCTCGGAAAACAGCATCCACCAGCACCCCAAACTGCATGCCCCTAGCACCCGGCCAGCTCGAAAAACAAAACAGCATCCACCAGCACCCCAAACTGCATGCCCCCAGCACCCAGCCGTCAAGCTCGCAAAACAGCATCCACCAGCACCCGATACTGCATGCCCCCGAGCACCCGGCCGTCAAGCTCGCCGGCCAGCTCGCAAACCAGCAGCCCCCCACCCGGCCGTCAATCTCGCAAAGCATCCACCAGCACCTCAAACTGCATGCCCCCTAGCACCCGGCCGTCAAGCTCGCAAAGCAGCACCTACCAGCACCCCAAACTGCATGCCCCCTAGCACCCGGCCGTCAAGCTCGCAAACCAGCACCCACCAGCACCCCAAACTGCATGCCCCCAAGCACCCGGCCGTCAAGCTCGCAAAGCAGCATCCACCAGCACCCCACACTGCATGCCCCCTAGCACCCGGCCGTCAAGCTCGTAAAGCACACCCACCAGCGCCCCAAACTGCATGCCCCCTAGCACCCGGCCGTCAAGCTCGCAAAGCAGCACCCACCAGCACCCCAAACCGCATGCCCCCTAGCACCCGGCAAGCTCGCAAAGCAGCACCCACCAGCACCCCAAACTGCATGCCCCCTAGCACCCGGCAGTCAAGCTCGCAAAGCAGCATCCACCAGCACCTCAAACTGCATGCCCCCAAGCACCCGGCCGTCAAGCTCGCAAAGCAGCATCCACCAGCACCTCAAACTGCATGCCCCCCAGCACCCGGCCGTCAAGCTCGCAAAGCAGCATCCACCAGCACCTCAAACTGCATGCCCCCTAGCACCCGGCCCTCAATCTCGCAAAGCATCCACCAGCCCAGCACCTCAAACTGCATGCCCCCTAGCACCCGGCCCTCAATCTCGCAAAGCAGCATCCACCAGCACCTCAACTGCATGCCCCCTAGCACCCGGCCGTCAAGCTCGCAAAGCAGCATCCACCAGCACCTCAAACTGCATGCCCCCTAGCACCCGGCCCTCAATCTCGCAAATCACTTTCCCCTCTTTATTAGAAGTTAGAACCCCTATAGCTTTCAGCTATCTGGGGAAATAAACACGTGCGGCAGGATTTGCGTTGGCCAGAAATTGGCCAAAACACCAGCTAGCTCCTTAGAAGGTTAGTCTAACAAGGCCCCACCCTGTGTGCTTTCCGATCCGCTGACTGCACGCTGCTAGAAGACGAACCTCCGAGAGTTGGTGGAGATCAAGACAGAGGACGTCGTGGCCCCGGGTGAGTTGGCACATGCCACAACGCGCGGAGGTGGGGATGAGTGAGCCAAAAAGGGGTATTGCTCACTTACCCGAAGTCGACCTTTTAACCTTTTGGTTTGCCTGGTTTGGTGCGTATTGAGTTTTGGTTCCAAAGGTTAGCCGGTTAGCCTTTCTTTCCACGTCCGAACTGGGCAAGTGAGATTGCATTCGCCACCTACTTGCACCCAACTGTAAATTCTGGCCACCGATTTCGTGACCCATGATACATGGCCGGTCTTTGTCCAAATTGCCCGTTAGACCTTTGGGAAAGAAATGGATTTTTGATCAATCCAACAAAAGGTCAGATCCTTTGCTCAAGGGGGCTGGGAGCAACCGAAGATGAATGTCCGTTTCTTGGTCCATTCCTTTTCTAGGATGACTTATTTGAATTCACCCACCCAAGCTCCATGTTCTGGCATCGACAAAACATAGATAGCGTGTTGGCAACAGGGCTGTTCAGACCTTGGTACAGAATCTTTGCTGAAAAGCTAGGCATCTCAGAAGACGACAGCAAGACATCATGACACACACACACACACACGCGCACACACACACAATCTGGATCACGAGAGAACAATCCCCTCATACCCTTTGGATCCTTGCAAGCTCACGTGGAGAGGCATTGATAGCACCCCAATTGCACGTTGTCCTTTCGCAACGAATTGCCACCGAAATCTGATGCCCACAATTTCGTGTCCCCAAATTAATTCAGGTTTGTCCTTTTTTGGGGAACCGCCCCAAAACAAATGGCAAAATGGTGTTACGTTAGGTTTCCTCTTAAAACCTACCAAGCCAAAACTCGAGCCTTACCCATACCCAAGATCTCTAGTTTGAGACCTCCAGGGTGTTGTGGTTTGAGCACCTCCAGGCCTGGATGCCGGCGGTGCTGGTGCAACAAGAGCCCCAGATGCTCTACGTGTCTTTGAGCACCGGCGCCTTAGCCCGGCGCCCAGGGCGGTCGGGGCCTGGGGCGTTTCGGGGGTCGGCTTCGGCCTGGAAGAAAAGCTAACTAGGTCCAGTAGTGCCCTTTTACCGTTTCGTTTTTGGGGGAGATTCGGTTCCCCTACTAAAACAGACTAACAGAAAAAAAAGGCTAAGCTCTCTACTGGAGGACCTAGCGAACAAATAGACAAACCGCCGCCGGAAAACCCCTTCATCTACTCGGCACATGAACATGGAACCTTGGAACGGAGAATCCGTTTGCGGGACTCCCTAGGCGCAAGTCGTGGTCATTTAAGGGAGTAAGGCAGGGGGTTCCTTTATTGCCCCAGGTTTTTAAGGCTCGAGCCTTTTGGTGTTTTCTTCTGGAAACCCAAAGCCTGCCGAACCTATTGGAGGGGTGTCGTTTGGAAGCCAACAGGGGGTCCGCGGAGGTTTCTCCTAAAGTGGCAGAGTGATTGGGCTGCGCTTCACCTAAATGACAAGCTTCCAGATGAATTTCGTGACGGGCGGCAAGGGAAGGTGCTGCTGCTACGCGAAGATGTGACCACCGACCCGAAGCCCAAGAGTGCCACCAATCAGTCCCTAAAAGACGTCAAACCTTACAGGGGCATTGTACTTAGTAAGTGGGCAATATTCATGGTTCTAACCAACAAAAGCCATGGTTAAAAGTCTCCTAAGTGGATTGTACCCAGGCTTAGCAAGCACTTATACCTGATGTACCGAATCGATCGCCCCTTTCAGAGAGGCATTGACCCGTTCAACGTTGAATCGCAGCTGCTTGGTGCGCCCCACTGCCGTCAATTTTGATGGTGTGGTTTGTTTTTGGTTGAAGTCTGGCACGTGTGTTTGTTTTCTACGCACCTCCTAAAGCTTTTTGTTGAAGTGCGCCCAAGATCGTGGAGTGTCCAACTGGATCAATGTGTGGCAACTTGCATCTTTGCCCTTGACAAAAATGATGCCAGAAAGTCATTGGATCCTAGCAGAAAGATTGAGCATTCACCGAGCCAAGACAACCTAGGAACCAAGAACATTGACTCTGAATTTCAATAGGGAGCCATCTTTGGTGGACATTCTGATGTCCCCGGTATCTTTGTTGGTAAATGAGGTAACACAAAACCCTAACCATCTGGAACCCTCCCTCTTTCAGCTGCCCCAAACCACCCCAGAGCTTATTTGGGCGGAGACCAAATTAGCTTTCAGCTGTTGGGAGAAAAACCGAAAAGGTCGGTCTCCCTTTGTGTGGGGAATCATTACTGCAGAACACGCCCCTCGTTGGACAGGTTTCTGAATCCGGGGTCCACATGAAATGAGATGACTCAACCACAAAGGCAAAAAGGGGGCGGAACGGCCCATACATTCCCACCCCCTGAAAAATGGAATTGGGGGAGGGGGGTGACCCTGGAAATCCATTTCTCGTTCCATTTTCCCGCTTATTGGGAAGACTAGACCCCCCCGCCCCCGCCGCCCCCAAAAAAACAGCAGGGGGAAAACCGGGGCCTGGGGAGCTCGGTAGGACTCGGACCCAAAACCCGGGGGGGGGGGGACCCCACGAAAAAAATCTGATTCAGGCCACCGGTCAGCACCGAAGCGTCACCGCCTTCGAAGGGCAACGTGGCTTCGAAGTGGGAGAGAGGGAAAGGGTCCGGAGGAAAAGAACCTTTGGCATGGTTTGGAGTAGTTTGGAGCGCTTTTTTTGGTGGTTTGGAGTAGTTTGGAGCGTTTTTTTGGGTGGTTTGGAGTAGTTTGGAGTGTTTTTGTTGTTTTGTGGTTTGGAGTAGTTTGGAGTGGTTTTAGTTTGGCCCGTTTTTTTGGCTCGAGTTGGTGTTTGTAGTTCTGATCGGTTTGAATGGGGACAATTTTACGTCTCACAGAATCCGGTCAGAACACCAGGGGTCCGATTCTGCACCCCAAGTTTGGCCTTGGGCTCCGGCCGCCCTTCAGTGGTTTTGAGTGCGATGTCAAAAAAAAACGAGCGACAGCTCGTGATCAAGACTCCTTGCCTCGTTTCTTTTTTTTGAAATGCAGGGGAAATGAAGGGAACCGAAGGGATGCAGGGGAAATACCGGGGAATTGAACAAATATGGACGTGAAGGGGAAATGAAGGTGCATTGGAGAGGAAATGAAGGGGAAAGGAAGAGGAAATGCAGGGGAAGCGAAGGGAAATGAATGGAAACGAAGGATGCAGGGGGAAAGACTTGATTCATCAGGAGAGACCGCCCCCTCTAATCTCCAAGCCATGAAATACAACCAAAGAAGCCAGAATTGCTGTTCATCAGAAGTGTCTCCAGCTCGGACTTGGCCAAGAGGCTGCAAGCAACGCTACCCTCCAAGAATTGCAGCGGTCTGAAGAGACACCTTCGACCACGGAGAAATCAACCTGGTGGATTAGAGCTGTGTTTCTCAAGGACTTCCGGGACATCCCCCGTAAATCAATGAGGATAGATAGGCTTGTCTCAAAAATAGGGGGAACGCTGTTTTCCCCACAAAATGGGTCTGTTTTTTTTTAGGACCCCCCTCAAAAAAACAGGTGGTTTTCCTTTCAAATTCCCTCTACAACCTCCAAAAAGGGGGTTCCTCAAAAAGGACAGACCCAAACGGTTACCCTCTCTCCCTCTTAAGCCTTGTCAATTGAGGGCTGAATTGTGAGTTTCCCAACAGCCCACCACACACGCCCCTTCAAGTTTGATCGCCCTCAAGACAGCCTAACTAAATGGGCGTGTCTTACAAATTAGTGAACCAACAAAGTGTGTGTTGCGCTCCGTTTGCCTTGAACCAAAAAGGGCTTCCCCGCAGCAAGTTTGTTTTGGTGTGTTTGGAACAGTTGGGGACTGGCCGGACTTCAGCCATGAGCGCATGAGCAGGGGATAAGCTGAGCAGGTGCGAGGGGGGGGGGGGCCTTAAACATGGAGCAACCAAACACACATGTGTATATATATATATATATATAGATATGAGAGTCGTCCGAAAGGTCCTTGTATTGAGCTATGAAAGGGAAGACCTTTTGGTCTTGGCGTTGACCTCCGCGAAAGTTCCGCGAAGGGGGTCGCGAAAGTTAATTTTTTATTCGCGAAAGTTTTGTGTATGGGTGGCTTGCTAACAGGAAGCTGGAGTGATGAATCATGTGTATTTACCGGCAGTGCACACGCAGAATGCCTGCAGATTAAAGTTGGTCGGGGAAAGGGGAGCCTGAGTGTTGCCGCAGAATACGCCGCTGCAACAGGAACCCCCAGCCAGCAGACACCAGCTTGTAGGAGTTTTGAAGCTTTCAGGTCAAGTTGAGTGCAACTTCCAGCCGGATTTTCGCGAGTGTTTGGAGTAAGATCCGCGAAAGTTTCGCGAAAGTTGACGGACCTCCCCGCCAGTTTCCGGACATGAGGCCAGCGGATCCTCTCGTGTGTAGCTGACGGCTTGTGAGCTGGAGCTGCGGAAGCGCGCTTTCGCGTGCTACTTTGGAAGTGAAAGGTCGCGACTTTCGAGCTGGGGCTGCGGAAGTTTACTTTGCGTACTACTTTCGTATTAAAAAGTTTTGACTTTCGGGACAGCTGAATTTTTAGTTCGTGTACTACTTTCGTATTGAAAAGCTGCGACTCGCGGGGTGCGCCTGCGAAAGTGTAGTTTGTCTACTACTTTCGTGATGAATGTTCTGCAAACAGCCCCGCGAAAGTTCCGCGATGAGGCCCGCGAAAGTTTTTTTCTCGCGAAGATGGCGGTTTCCGGAACAAGGAATTTCAGACAGCCGTCATATACGCATATGTGTACAGTTATTTATATATATATATATGTATGTTTGAGACGGAAAGAGACATTCTTCTCCCCCATGTTTCAGGGGTCCATATAGTTCTCCTTTGAACTTTACTGGACCAACTGTAGCTGATATGTTCCTTTTGGTGATGTTTCAAGGCTCTCCTTCAAGCTAGTTTATATTTGAGGGACTAAGTATGAACTGAGGCAGAACATATGGCTGATGGTGGCTTCCCTGCTGATGGTGGTTTCCCTTCAAAACCGCAAACAATAGGTACCGACTGCAGAAATGAAACCACACCCATATTATTTTTACTTTAGGGCAGGCTAGATGTGAAGAAGAATCAGAACATATGTGCCATGGTCAAAAAGTCCCTTTGCTTGCGGTTGACACAGATGGTTATCCACCTGGTAGTAAGGATCCATAATTACCACTAGAATGATTTCCCAGCAAGGGACCCATGGCCATGGGCCATAATACTGTGGATGGACGAAATCCTGCACCACCTAAGAAACCCTGTGAAAGTACCTTGCAAGAATGGTTTCAACCATGGTTTCCAACTGCAGGATTTCGTCCATGCAGAGTAGGAGCTTTGCCTATGGCACAATTTTTGGTGTGCCTCTCTGCAATTTGCGGACTTTCCAAGGCCCCGGCTCTACCCAGTGCCGCCGGCGGAGGCAAACGTGCAGACCAGAGCCGCGTGGGCGCTCAGCGAAGTATCTCAGCCTCCCAGATTGCTATGCTTTCTTCCATTTGCTGCAATGAATCTGTGCTACTCACTTCCTGAGTTCCTGGACTTTGTCTATGTTTCTGGGAGGATCGTTTTAGCGGCAAACAAACAGTTTACATAACATGCGTGTATATCTATGTATATGCCAGGGAAAGAAGAATGTAGGGGTGAGGTGGGTCAGCTGTCTGATGATTTTTTGCCCTTTGCTGTTTGCTTGTTCGTTTGGGTGACCTAGGGGTTGCTCCACCTTGAACCTATTGGCCGGATGTTTAATGTTCCTCACACATACAAAAGCACTCGAGTTCCGTTTCAGACTTTCGTACTGTTTGCGTTTGGACCACTCCGGAAGTGAGACCAACCCTGAGCCACTAAACCAATGTTGAGCCACCCTTTCGTTACGCGGGCGCTTGTTGTTGTTCAATTGCTTCACTGTTGGCATGTGTTTAGGTGTTTTCGTTGTTCTGTTCATTTCCAGTAGGGGGCTGCAACATTATTTCTTGCTACTATATTATGGCATGGACCTGTCGAGCAAGACTCTGTGCTTGAACCTTATGGGTTCTAAGTTGGCGATTGTCTGCCCAGCTCACCCGGGGGAAGCAGGAGTTCACCATGATATACTTTCGACTGTTTCGAGGGGCTGATATGGATGGGAACTCGCCGGACTGTAAGGATTGGAAGCTAGGGGTGGCATGATCAAAGGCCATGGGGGCAATGGAAATCACTACAATGCAACACATCCTTCCGCCTTGTTCATGTTTTAGCAACAGTGTCATTGCCTTCAGCCTTTTGTTTGGTGTCGAAAGTTTTGGTATAATTGCAGAATTTCAAGGTTCTTCGTGTTCCCTCACTAAATGTTGGGGAATCAACTGTATTACAAGGGAAAACCTGCAGTTTACGCACTCAACAAGGCAGAGAGGGCACCCCTGCATAAGTTGTTGGTTGGTGGTTCGTTTACCATACTTTCGGTGAACGCAGCCGCATGGGATTACCGCAAGCTTTCGGTGACACCAGCTCTGAACATTTTCTGCCAGCCCCCAGCCAAAGTGAAAAACCCACAACAAGGTCCCCCTGTCGTGCCCTTTTGCCCCTTTATTTTTTTTTGGGGGGTCCCCTACTAAAACAGACAAAAAAGAAACAAGTTGGTACCCTTATTCTAAGCTCTCCCCTGGAGGACCTAGACCAGTTTTCCCTCACCCCAAAGCGCGGCCTGTCTATATCCGCCTGCCAGATTTATTCCCCACCCTCGTGTGGCCGGTGCCAAGCGAAAATCCTCTCAGGACTTCCAGTCGCTGGAGCCGGGAGCTCGGGGGATTAGGGCAGGGTTTGGCGCAGGTCAAGATCTCGGTTGTAACCAGTGGATTCCGCCCTTGGTTTATGTTTTGGGGTAAGGGTTCCCCTTTAAACTCAACCAACAAAAAAAGGGTGCCCTTTGTTCTTTTTTTTGGGGGGGGGTTTTGGGTTCCGATTCCTTCAAATTCAACCAACAAAAGGGTGCCAATTTGTTTTCCTTCCCATGGCCACTGGGCATCTCAGAGATGGTTTCTTGCTTTACTTGCCTTTCGGGGATGCCAAGCAGGTTTTTCCTTCAACCGGAAACAACAGGTACCCTGAAAAGGCAAGACACCCACCTGGCTTGGCTTGAGTTGACTTGGCTCGGCACTCTTCAAGAGGAGCTCGGTCTTTCAGACTCCTCCCGCACATGCTATGCCAGTGACGGGTATGTATCTCAGGATTTATTCACCACTGGCTCAGAACCTCCTGAATTGGTTTGGATTGGCGTTTCGGGGATTTGAACCGCTGGTTGTGGTAGAGGAATGTTAACGTCGAATAATCCCCCCAACCTTCCTCCCCCCAAAGGATCAAACCTCAGATCAAACGAGTGGCGGAAGCAGGTAGTTGTAGGTGGCCGCTCTGCGGGACGCATCCGGAAACAGTCCGGGTGGGTCAAAACCAATCGGATCCCATTTTGGGGTAGGTGCACCACCCATTTTAGTCTATTTTAGTGGGGATTGGGATGTTCACTGGGGGTACGGGGGATTTGACCCATGGCCAGATAAAAGTGCGATAGTTGGGCTGGAAATGAATCACCCTTCAACTTCCAAACCACCAATCCAACCCACCAGTTCGAGGGAAACTGATAAACGGAAAGTTCGTAAAGCAGATTTCACCTTTGGGCTGGTTTTTAGGCCCATGGCAACACGGGGTTGCCGCTTGTTTTTTTATTTTTTTTGTGTTTTTTTTTTTTTCTTTTTTTTTTTTTCCGGCTAAACACATGCAAACATGGCTGTGTGCTGTTTTAATGCGGATCTCCTTCAAAATGATTGCTGGACATGAATATCCCGTCAAATGACGTCACCAAAGGGTCCCCTATTAGAATTCGTAGGCATGTGAAGCTTTACAACAACTGATCCGCCCTCTGGTCGCTTGCCTGAGGCGTGGCGCGGAGTCCTCACGCATCACTCGGCGCTTTAGCAGCCTGGCATAGAATGAGACTCTGCTGGGAGGCGCTGGGCAGCGAGCAAAACTTCCTGGCAATTCTGGCAGGTGGTTCTACTAGCTACCTGCTCGTATGGTGGTGCTAGTAAGGCAGACAGAACCTTTGTAACTATATTTGTACAACAAAAAGTTACTGGGTTTTCGGCACTGCTCAGCTGGAGTTCTGATGAATCCCAATCCTTTATTAAGGCGGGAGGATAGGAGAAGTGGCTGTGCGTGTGTGTTTCTTGGTTAGCTTTGACGCCATGCTACATGGATGTGTGGTTATTGACTTATACTCGACATGTGTTTGGGATATTGTCTTGTTTCTGGGCTGGCTGGGTTTGGTAGGGCCCTGCATATACCTGCAACCTCAAAATAGGAACAAATTATTGCTTATTGCAGTGTGTTCTGCTTATTTGCTTGTTTAGGCGGAAATTCCAGAACATTCACGGAAATGCAACTTATTATGTTTTTGCATGTGTAAGCCAGCCCTGGTGGAAAAGTGTTGCGAATGCTGCTGGGACGTCGGCGGGAAATCCGCGGAAATCCGCAGAACCACCAAAACCGAGTTGAGGCAGGATTGGAAATAGGTGTTTTGTAATTTTTGACCGGAATGAGTGTGTTTCCCACCAACCGAGCGCTTCCAGCGAGCAGTCAGAACAGGTTCTTTCGGTCCCTGCGTTTGACTTGCGTCGGTTCTGCTGATTGCTTCTTTGTTCGCTTGGGTATTTGTGTGTTTGTTTGTATTGTTTTATTTAGTTGTGTTGTGTTGTGTTTTGTTGTATTGTGTTGTGTTGTTTGTTTGCTTGTTTGTTTGTTGGTTTGGATTGGATTGGTTTGGTTTGGTTTGGTTTGACTGATTATTTGCTTGCGTGGACTCTTTGTTCGGGCCTCTTGGTGGTTTCCTTTTGCTTTCCCTTTAACCACAAAACAGGGGGTGTCTTCCAACTCCAAAAAAGACGAGCCACTCATATGGGTGTGTCTTTTGAGGGTACCCTTATTTGGTAGGTCTTAAAGGGAAGCCAAACGGAAAGCCGCCGTATTAAAAATCCTAAAACAAGACGAGCCACCCATATGGGGGTTTCTTCAAAATCGGGGACCTCTTCGTGGTTTTGAAGGGAAGCCAAGAGGAATCTAAGGATGGTGTTTCAATTTTGAGAAGCACCCCTCCTTCCATTTGCTGAGGAATATGCTGTATTTCCCCGTTGGGTTTAAAGGGAATCCATCACTACTGGCTTGTTTTTTCCATTCCATTTCTTCCCCTAAAGACGAACAAAAAGCAAATGGAAGCCTCTCTACCAGCAAAAAAAAACCACCGGGGCCCAATTTTTCCTCCGAGACGTGGACTGCCCCGCGACGCCATCCATGCCATCACCTCCGCGGGGTGGCAAGCCGCTGCCGAAGCCCTCGCTGGCGGGGAGAAGCGAAGCGAAGCCAAGCCTTTGGGCCGAAAGAAACCCAGGGTTGCCACCTTTGTATCATCAGGGAAACCAGCTGGGGAACCAGGGATACGGGAGGATTGCCCCTACCAAGTTTGACATGGGAAATGGGGCCAAGGGAATCCCTCCTGGTTCGTTTGTCCAGTCATGAGGCCACGCGGTGGCTCGCAACACATTCGCCAGCTGAGTCGCACATCTTCTGGCCCCTGCCAGCATGGACGACCACAGCCCGACAGAAGTGGTCCCTTTGTTCGTGGTCGGTTTGAAGGGACGCCACAAGGGGAGAACAAATTTGGAGTGGTTTGGTGGGGTGACCATTTTTGAGTGGTGTCCAAGAGAGAACGGGTGGAACTTTTCGTGTTTTGGAGGCTTGGCACCCATTTGATTTTATGGTTGGTTTAAAGGAAAATTAGAGGGGGAGAACCATTCCCCGTTTTAAGACTGACTCTTTTTTTTCAGGGGAGATGCGTGTCCGTGTTTTTTCGTTGGCCGGCTGCTCGGGAAAGATATGATATGCTGTTCTTTGACTTCTTGATGAATGGTTGTTGTTTGTTTTTGAACAACAAACAAGAGTTCGTAGGTTGATCAAACCGCACCTTACCCAAAGGATAGCCCGGGCAAGTGTGTCAATCAAATGCGGAGTGCTGAGTTTCGTGTGTGAACATTTGACGCATAGCTCACTGAAGGCCTTGTCATGTTGATCTTCAACGGGTCTGTGTGTGTGTGGGTGTTTGGTTTTGGGGGAAAAACCACCCTTGTGTGTGTGGTTTCTCCTGTTGATTTCTCGGTCAAACCTTCCAAAAAACCGGTTCCCTGATGAGGATTCCCTTGTAACATGGCTGGCGTAACAAATCACAGCAGGGGGTGTTTCTTCCACCTAGCATGGCACGGCAATGTGTGTATTGCAGCATGCTACTCATCTCAAATCTCACTCCCTGAGTTGCTGGATTTGAGTCACTTGGGTTTGGACCCTAGTGGACCACCCAAAAGTTTGGACCCTTCTAGGGACCAATCCACAGTGACGCATGCAAAGTCAAGCTTACAGAGCTCACCCTTTCAAAATGTTTCCCGGTTTTATGCTCAGAGAAGCGGAGTCACAAGCTGAAATCCTATGCGTGGCTTGGATTTCAGGTGGCTGGGGACACTGAGACCAGCTGAAACGCGCAATCCGCTGTCACCGCCCTGGGGCTTGCCAGGGAATTCACCACATTTTTGACTCCATTGGGAACTGCAACTCATATTTTGCTTGTGCCTCACGTGGGTGCTTCCGAAAATCCTCCAAAAGTCTGAAAGTGGTTGGTTTCCTTTGGGCATCCCTTTCACCACAATGCTGTGAACAAAGGCCCTTTTGGATCATGTCCCAGATAGACACGGCTGTGTCTTGAAATCTTGAAATACGGGGCACCCCCCCCCCCCCAAATTCTCTTGGACGCGGGCTTCGGTCCTCCCCCAACAAACAAATGGAACCACCCAAGCCGCCAAATGAGTCACAATCAAAACTCAGGCAATTGGAGGGTAGTTAGGGACAATCCCAGCCATAAACGGGTGCTGATACCCGCCTTTTCAATTCTTGAAGCATGGTCCTGGATAGAAAAAGACATATACTGATTCGGTTTGTGACACCAAGGCCCCGTTGGCGCCGTTTGGAATCCAAAGCTTGTGGCAGGCCTACCATCTTGGAAGCTCCTCAGGCACCACCGTGAGCGCGGAGCCCAAAGAAATTGGGGGGGGGACCAAAGGAAATAGGCGCGAGCGCCTGTTGATTTCAAATCCGAAAATGGATCTGGGTAGACCGCTTGAATGCATTGGGTTTTGTTTGCTGTGGGTGAGTTGAGGTCTGGTTTCGTTGGGTGTTTTAAGGGTTGGGTTAAGTATTCTCTCACTTCCCGAGTCCCGCGACCATTTCAGTGGCAAAAGTTCAGACTGGCCAAAGAATCCCATAGGTAAGAGAAAGAGGCATGGGAACAATAAAGACAGGCCATCTTGTCATCTATCCATCCTACATTCTATCCCTAACGAATGAAAAGGAAAAGATGCCATGTCACTCTCATGCTTCTCTCGTCTCTCTGTTCCTTCGTTAGTTCGTGAGTTTTTTATGAGAAATCAGGAAGTTAGTATGAGAACAACGGGGTCCCGGGCGAGCACCTGCGGACCCGGAGTGGGCGTGAATTTCAATAGACCTGAAATGGTGGACAAATTTAGGTGGGGAGAATCCACAGCCACAAAATCGGCACAAGTTCGTTGTGTAAGTAAAGGGGATGACTACAACCACAAGGGGGGAGAATGGTGCCATCTAATTTTACCAACAAAGTACCTGAAATGAAATCCTTTGTTACCTACAAAAGTCTTTTTGGTACTGGTTGCCTCAGTGATCCGAGCTTCCTGATCCGAGTCCAAGCTATTTTCCTGCCCCAATCAGACATGACAAGCAGCAAATGGAGGAGAACAAAACCTATCAGACCCGAGCCGGGCTGAGGGGATGAAGCCCAGCATCTGGTGGGTGGCGCCTTCGTTTTTAGGATTTGTTTGACCTGGAGCGTCCTTCGGTACCTCACTTTTTGCCCTGAGCCCACAGGTGGTGCAAAAAAAGCACGGGTCGTCACCGAAATACGGTAAACGTACGCGTTTTCCTGCTTCGAGCGCTTTTCCCAAAACCGTCCCAGACCGGTCCTCCAAGATTATCGGTCGTTGAATGGAGCGAAGTGCAAAACGAGCGCAACTACCCGCAAAACGAGCGCAACTATCCGCAAACGTGCGCAGATTGAAACACGAAACACCCTCTCTCTTTTTTGTTCGAGGACCGCGCGCTTTTCCAGGCATCGAGCAGACATTCACGGCTCGAACACGTTTTTTTACGTGACACAAATTTGTCACAATGGGTCCTCCAGGAAGGGTTGCCTTTTAGAATCAACTACCGAACAAACAAAAACAGGCCTGGTTTTGCCCACGGAAATCCACTGGGGGTCTGGGGAAGGGATGGTGCCCGCTTCTGTGGCAGAAAGGCACAACCGGGAAGCCAAAGCTTCCGGTGGCATCACGGAGGTTGCGATGTCTACAGCCCTGAGGTATGTTGTTTCTTGTTCTTTATGCCGATTGTCCTTTTGCATCCATTTGCTTAACAATATCCCTCCTCACTCCACTTGAAGCGGTATTGCCAGCCCCCCTCCCCCCCATTCGCCCCAGTTCGCATATCCTGGTAGCAACTGAGGCGTGCTGCGGGGCAAGGCAGGGCTGGACGGGTGTTCCCTGCAGTTTCCGCCACGAACCTGAACCAATATGAGAAACATAGTTCACCTCACTCCCTGCGTCACTTTGGCATGACCATTCTAGTGGTAAGCAACAAGTTTAGCGACTTTTTCTTGTTGCTCAATCCACTCAAGTGAGGCTCTCTGTTTCAACTTCCAGAAAATCGGTTTGCCTTGGGCTTTCGCTTCGGTTCATCGCTTGCCGACCGCAGGAAGTGAAGGTGGACGGCTGCAGTTGGGTCTCCTCCAGCTGGACCACCGTGGGCCTTCCGGAGCTCAGCAGCAGCGGCAAGGCGCGCGGGCGCCGGAGGCTGCACTGGAAAGGCCTAAGCCAAAACCGGTAACGTGAGAGGACCAAAATATGTCATGTGATTTGATTGAGGACAAAACAGTGGTGATGTTTGGATGTTCGAGTGTTTGTTGACAAAACCCTGGTGATGTTTGATTGTGGATTTCTCTGCGCACAGAGAGTTCCCTTTTAAGCGGCAGTCCTGTTTTTTGCCTGAGTCTTAGGGTTGAAGCGATGCCACGTGTCTTGGCTGTATGCCTGTACGCCGAAAGCCGCGAGGATTCGGCGATTCGGCCAGGTCTACTATGAGCTGCACATCAAGTCCCACGACACCCCACAGATAGGCGGACGCCCCAACGGGGGCCTTCGCGATTTGCCGCCAGTTTTTGGCATTTAAGCCCAATCAAGCTGTCCCTTCGTGTGGACAGATTTGAGCGTGTCTTGTCTTGAGGATACATCCTTCCGGGTTGTGGAGTCTTGATCATGGTTGTCCAACAAGTGGGGGGGCTCCCATTTGAGAAGTTGTGTGTAGAATCTTGCGGCAGCTTTCCATCAATCCGCGAGGACGATCAATTGGGGGTCAACAGTGGACTCGAAGGGAGATCTTCCATGGGACTTGCTTTTCTTCGTGGCTATTTGGTGGATTTTTTCGGACTTTGACTTTTTGGGAAATGGATTTCCACTGGACCCACAAAGAAATCAATGGTTTGCAGAGGGGTCAACAGCAACCAAGCCTTGGCTCCCCTTCAGCCCGTTTTATTGCGGTAGACCGCAGGCTTGCCACCCAGATGAAGGTGAGGGGTTGGTCTCTGCAATAGGTCAGTAGTTGTTGTTTTTTTGCGCATAGAACAGACCTCATATGTTTTTGGTTTAAGCTTTCCTTAGTGGACAGAAGTGCGGAAAGATTTGCGGATTCCTTGCCATGAGTGTTAGGATATGTTATGTTGATGCTGTGTTTTGACTGTGACACTGGTGATGAAGCAGGTTCAAACCAACATTTGCCCAGTTGCACCACGTTTAAGTTGTTTAACACACTCTCTGAACCGCCTGCGTCTGACTCCGTTTCGGTTGAGTTAGAATATGTGTCTCCTGAAGCTAGTTACCAGCATGGGGCTGGGACAGTAGTGCTGAAAGGACCTTTCAACCAGCATGGGTGGGTTTTGGAATTTAGTATGTTTCGTCTATTTTTCATCCTCTAAACCCCACCCAAACAACCAACCCCCACATCTTTTCAGTTTCAGGCTGGGTGATTCCAAAAAACCACCGGTCTTTGGGGGGTTTCAAGCCAGCTTCTCTTTTTGTCCCCCGCTTTTCTTTTTTTTTCTCGCGGGAGAAACCAAAATTTCTGAACAAAGGGGACGGCTGTACGGGGAGCTCTTCGCAGGCTGGGCCTCCGAGAAGTTCCGCTTCTTCGGGGACACCTGGCTCTATGGGGTCGGGGATGACCTCGAGAGCTGGGGCGTGGATGGCTCCTCGGCGTGTGGCTCTGACGGTTTTGGGTGATTTTTTTGGGCGGCTGTTTGGGCGGAGGAAAAGAGACACGCCTGCACAAAGACATGCTTGGCGCTTGGCTATGTTCTTTTTTCAATATGTTTTTTCCCGGGGAAAGAAACAAACACGGTGAGGTAGTGTCTCTGTTTGGGGAACCCTGAAAAGTTTGGTTGTTAAAGAGACACTCGTGGAAGTTTACCCGTTTTTTTAGGGGGGTGCCTCAAAAAGCAGAGAAACCCACACTGTGGCTGGTTGCGAAATCCGCTTCTCGCACCACCGGTCAGGAATCCTGGTATATGATTCGATTCCCCAACACTTATACCACAACAAGCCTTATGGTTTCACGATTTAGGGATGACGCGCAACCATCCGCGGTGCGCATGTTTCTGCTTTGCTTGGGGAGGTTTCAAGCCTCGGCCCTTTTGGCCGATTTGGGGTGAGCTTCTGCTTGGTAGAAAATGAGGTGTGAGTAAGGGGGAAATAAATCATGTGAAGGCAGAGGAAGGCTGGGTGCTCTATCCAGCCCCATGTTTTTTTTGGTTTTGACTGTTTGATACCCTGTATACTGCATCGTTGTTGTTGGGAAACATTTTACATTCTTGCTTGTTGTGGTTTAGTGGGAAATCCCCACTTAACTGCTAAAAATCAAATGCTTGCCCCCCTTCCCACGTCAACCAAGAATGGTTGTTGAATCAACTACCAGGTGCGAAAGGGTTTTGTCCATCCGCAGCACGGCCAGGAAGCTTCATAGGGAACCCCTGAACAGTGTTTGGCTGGACATGAATCCTTATCGAACTGATGTCCAGCGAAGGGTCTCCAAGTACAGACCATACCCGTTTTTATGTCCGCATGTACCGGGTGTGTCACGTCCTCTTGTTTGTTTTTTTTAAGGGACCCCCAAAATGGTGGTTGTTTCCGTTTAAACCACCAAACAGGGGTACCTCTAGGGCTATGCCTTCCAGATTCTTTCCAGGGATCCTTCTGATCAGAAAACTATCAAAACCCAGGGAAACAGCTGGTATTTGAACAGAACGATGGTTGAAAAGAGTGGAAAAGGAATCAACCCCTAGAGTACCCTCGAAAACACACAGACCCAGATAGAAGTTCTTGATGAGCAGCTCGTTGGTTGCACTCTGTCTTTCAGGCGCGCGGCAGAAGATCTGGCACGGCGGAGAGGAGCCAGTGGGGAGGTGGTTTGTCTTGGGTGTGGACTAGTTAGACATGCATGTTTCTAAATAAAAAAACACTTGAATTGAACTGAAAGTACCGCGCAACCCCATTCTATGTATGTTGCCTACTTCGACCCTTATGGCAAAGAGGCGAAAAAATGAGCGAAGACGCTGCAACCACCCGCTGGTGGAGCCGGCCTGCGCCGGGTTGACTCCAGGGCTGGGCCATAGCCAGTTTAGTGGAGGATCCCTCAAAATGGGGGGCCATGAAAAGGAAAACGTCTTTCTTTCTTTCTTTCTTTCTTTTTTTTTGGGGGGGGGGGCGGATATCTCAATTTGGATAGAACCCCGGCTAGTTGGTTTGCTCTTCTTGCCGATTCCCCTCCCTGGAGTCTTAGACTTCTAGAGCGGAATCATCGAGCCACAATGTGTTGGTTTCCCCTTTGAGCACCACAACCGGACTTCCAAGTTCAGGAAGCAGCCGATCTCGGAGTCCAATTTCTTTTCAAGCCCCACCAATTTTGGTGTCCAAATCCTATTTGAACATATGGCTGCGAGTCAATTTATAAGGTCCGGAACAGGGTCCGGAACCCACATGCGATCCAGACCTCCGTTCCAGACCTCCGTTCCAGACCTTGCCTAGAAACATGTTCCAGACCTTCCGTTCCAGACCTTGTTTATGTATATTTATGTCTAGAGTATTGATTCAGATGGTCGTTCTTTGTTGGGTGTGCAAGTGCAATGGCAAAGACTGAAATGGCGCGGAGCAAGAAAGAAGGAGCACAGGAGCAAGAAAGAAGGAGAAAGAAATGAAGAAAACACAAATCGGTGTTCCGGAACTTTGGTTCGGTTCGGTGCGATACGATTCCGCCGCTATCGGTTCGATACGATACTGTAGCGGTTTGATACCGTTCTCGGTCGTCACATTGTTGAAACGACCATGTTTACATGCTGCTTGCTAGCATTCCAAAGTGCAAGCCGTTCGCGTAACCGTTCCAGACCCCGTTCCAGACCCGTTCCAGACGTGTTCCAGACGCAGCGGAGCAATTTGCCACCAAGCCCACATGCACACACATGCGCCATGTAAGTGGTTGCGCTTCTTACGTGGCCCGCCACCCAAGAAGCCTTCAAGGACAACATGTGCCAGGGCTTTGGAGACAAAGAAGTCTTTGAAGGATGCCCTGCATCGGCTTGCGCATCGGTGGACATCGGCTTACGCCTCCCAGCCTTGTGCATCTGCTGGCGCGGGTGGCGGGCCTCACTACAACGCATCGGTGTTCCAATCCATCTACCCATTCATCCATTCATCCATTCATCCATCCATCTATCCATCTTACACTAAATGAACGTGTGCTTGAGGACTCCACGCATGTCTTCCCAGAGGTCCGGAACAACCGACCTTGCGTAACTGACTCGTTCCAGACGTCCGCGTCACCACGGAACGTTCCACACCAGAATATTGACCCACACCCATATCTTGTTTTGGGAACGGGACACCCAATTTGTTGTGGGTTTTCCGCTCGTTTCCTTTTACATCCACCAAAAATGGACCTCTTCAAGTCATCCTTTTTACCGGGATCGGGGTGTGCTGCCAGGCCGGCGTGTATCCCGTCCATTGGCCGAAGGAGGCGGTCCATTCCAGCTAGTTCTGGCGACGGGGCGCGGTTGACGCGAAATGTGCAGACTCGACGAAGTTTTTTCCAACCAAAAGCTGAGACGTATACGGGCTATATGTGGACTTGGGAGGACATCCGTTTGCTCACACATCTGCTAGGGACATCCGTTTATCCGACCCTTACGGCAATAGACAATATGTGTTTCTGTTTTGAAGTTGCTCAGGCTGGTATGGAGAATGGGGAGTAGGTGGACATTAAATCTCACGCACATGTCCACCAAGTGGCCCAAAAACTTAATTCATGTAGATGAACATGAAGCCTGAATACACAAACTCCTGTTTCAGGAGAAACCTCCTTTTGGCGGACTCCTTTTTGGATTCCATATGAACATCTGCAGGGCAACAGGGATGCTCCCTGAGGGTTTTTCCAGGATGCTAATTTCCACCAGACTCCTTTGTTTCAACCACCAATTGGGTTATGTTTTTACACAGAGGTACCCCCAACAATTGTGCGTTTCTTCTGGTTTCCCATTCACGCATAGGGGCCCGCAGACAAATATGCACAGCAACTTGCAAAAGGACAATGGCACTGGGTTAGATGGGTTTTATTCCATTCACCCGAGCCATTGATAGTTTCGATCGAAAAGTCAGCTATTCTAGGGGCAGCTTCCCCATTCTTTCCAGGGATCCTTCTTTGCAGGAAACCCTCAAAAACCCAGGGGAAACAGATCCGGTTTTTGAAAAGAACCATGGTTGAAAAGAATGGACAAGGAACCACCCCCTAGAATCTTAGGATTCCCAACACCACCCGAGTTCTGGTTGGAAGATGTTAGAGGTATCAAACAGTCAAAAACAAGAAAAGCATGGGGCTGGATAGAGCGCCCAGCCTTTTTCCGCCTTGGTAGAGCTATGGCCCTTTGGTACAGCCAGACTTCAGGACTCGCCTCGCGGCAGGTGGTTGTGGGCTGTGCCGCGGACGTGGCCAGCGGCTCTTTGCTCTTCAGCTGCGACGGGACTTGGTCCTCCGCCACCTTCACGGGCGTGCAGTGCGCCTGGGGCCTCGGCTTCCGAGAAAAAAAAAGAAAAAGAAGAAGAAAAAAAAAACGGCGCCGAGTGAGGTGCCGAGCCAGTGCTCTCCGAACCAAAGTTATGTTGCTTATGGTGTTGTGTTTGGGGCTGACAGCCCGAACCTCAAGCTGCAAAACGCATTGTTTCGCTTGATGAGAAAGGCCTTGGCCGGTGAGCAGAGCTCCAAGATGATTGGAGGCTTATATCGTAATGGGCCATTAGAGGTCGAGGAAAGTCCTGTTGAAGGATGAACATCCTGTTTCCTGCATTTTCGACCCAGCTAAAAGCTATAGTCGATAGGCGAAAAAGTATTTGGGGCAGCTTTTAGGGAGGGTTCCGAAGGCTTCCAGGAAACTGTTGGGGAAACCGCCGATTCGTTTTACCCTGGTAGGCATCCCCCCAACTTGGAACAAGCAAGTTTACTTGTTTATTGGTGAATTTCACTCCCAACAAATCCTGGAGTTTTGAACCAGAGATTCATCCTGTATGCTTAGCACTTTGTTGTTTTTCCCCGAAAAGAAGCAAGACAAAGAACAACATGGCTTGCCCTTCCTCCAACAATCGGAAGCTGGGTGGTTGTTGGAAGACTACCTTCTGGGAGGTGCTTTCTGTTGACTTTCATAGACCTCACTTGGGCATGGAAGCCGCCCATCAGAAAAATGACCATAGAGTTCCAGGACCGATGCCTCAGTCGGGTTCCATGGCAACGTGGACGGGAGGGTATTTGTTTCCAGTCCCCCTTATCTTGCCGGTGCTGAGTAAGGAATGACCCGGGGTGTTGGGAATGGACCGCAAGGGGATTCCCTTCAAGGAATCGAAATCGGGGATGGTTTCATAGTGTTGCGAAACAGGAAGTTCTCTGGCTGGTTCTCAGCAGGGAATGAGGGCATGACCCTTCTAAACCATCCAACTAGTGGTTTCCTCTTTTCGGGAATCCCCAAATCCGGTTCATTCCCGCATTCCCCACTGAGACTAGGCACCAGCAAGTTCTCTCCCCATCGGGATCTTCCATTCGCCACGTTGTGAGGCCTGCTTGTACCCGGCGGTGTCGGGCCAGATGACGGCGGCCTTTAAGATCCGGCCCCAGGATCGGATCGGAGACAGGGTCCAGGCCAAACATCGAACCCACCACAGGGCTCCTTAAAAGAAGCTTATTTTGTAACCATTTGAAACATGTGGCTTTCTCAACACCAAAATAAAGTTGGAAACCACCATGTAGAAGTTGCAATGTTCAGGTGTATATAGTAAGGATCCCTGCACAAGCCATCCGTTTCGGAGGCATCTTCTGCAATCCTTTTCGGAGGCTTGCGATTCGAGGTGTAATCCCCGTTTTTTGTGTTTGTTTTTCCTTAGGGAATACGGCAATGCGCATGCTACACCTTTCATACAAGAAGCTACTAGTAAGTGCTGGTGAGTTAGGTCACTCCCATTTCTCCGATTCAGAGCTAGTAAGATGTGCGCAACTCATCCTTTGGCCTCTGTGTGGACCACCCGTTTGCCTAACCCATGCCTTCCCTCAGCCATAGCTGCCGGCCATGCTTGGGACAATGGCCAGCCTGCCAATGGTCAGTGCGGGTGCCAGGTATCCCATGGTTCGAATCTATCCCAAGGACACCACAAGACGAACGGCTGCTTCGCATGCCCGGAATCGAATTCGCGAGTTGACCCCCAACGCCACAATCGTTTGGGGAACTCTGGCCAACTCCAACAGAGCTTTGCAGGCGGAAGGCGACTCGTGTCATGAAGCAGCACCCAAAGTCCCTTTTGGCCATTTTAGGAAAGGGTTCTACTCCTTGGTTGACTAGGGACTAGAGCAAAACGTGTGTTTGCGCCTTTATTAGCAGACTTAGAGCAGCAACAGTCAATGGTCAATTTCAATTTTGACACCTGATTTGGCAGTGGCCGCAAAACCTAGTAGCCAACATGGCACCTCGGCAAAAGACAGACCAAAGCCAGCGTCTTGGCCTACCTCTTTCATTTTCAGCGCCCATTTGAAGCAGTTGACATGGTTGTTGTTGGGAAACATTTTACATTTTGCTTATTGTGGTTTAGTGGGAAATCCCCACTTAACTGCTAAAATTTAAACTTTTGCTCCCCTTCCAACGTCAACCAAGCTGAAGGATCCCCTTTAAAGGGGTCCATGGCCCTTGACGCACCTCGCAGGAGTGGAAGTACGCTCCTCCCGACGCCTCCTTTCGGGCTCTCTCCGCCGGAGCCGGCGCCTTGTGGACGGCAGTTGGTTTAGAAGAGGTGCCCCTAAGGGGCTTCTCCTTTCCTTGGGGGCGGTGGGGGGGGGGGTGGTGGTCGCCTGGGGCTGTTTGGGCGGTGTGTTTTGTTTCCTTGGCTCCCAGCCATCCGGTCCCTTAGGCTTTTAGCATCTTTTAGCATCTTTTAGTGCTTAGTGGTAGTTTCCCCATGTAACCCACTCAAAAGTTGAACGTTTGGCGGGGGATCTGAGGGCAGCCCAGATTCTTGTGCGCAGCAAAGGGAAAAGGGGAAGAGGTCGGGGTACAGTTTTCCCCGGTTTGCTTGCAAAAGCACCGGAAACGGGACACATGGAAAATGTCGGGGTACCAACTTCCCAGGCTTGCTCTTAAAAGAGCCGTTGTGGATCCGTTGTTTGGGGCGGGGTTCTACCAAGATGGTTATACAGGTTTATATGGGTGTGTTTGTTTTTTAGGAAACGGACCCCACAAATGGCTTCGGTGTGCCTTTTGGTTTTCCTTTAGGTACCAACTCCAAAAAAGGACAGACCCACATAGCCCTTGCTGCCATCCAGAAAAATAGGGTACCCGAAAAGGACAAAACACAAAACAGAACCATATCCTTTCTTTAACCCAAAAAAATCGGGCGTGGAACCACCTACCATAAATGCGCATTGCGGCTTTGCGGCTTTGCGGCAGCGGCAGAGGGTTTAGTTCGGGGTCGACTTTCATTTTGGGTTGGGTGTTTTTGAGAGAACCTTTTTTCTTGCTGGTTCTCAGCAGGGAACGAGTTGGAATGAGCCCTATAACCGATTGGCTATCATTTCCTTTTTTTCGGGAATCCCCTTCCGGTTCAGACACAACAGCCGGAAGGTCATTCCCTATTGACCAGCAAGTTTTGGTTGTTTTAAGCGAAGAGCAGAACGAAGACCATGTTTCTTTGGGTCCCCTACTTGCAAGACAAATCTGTTTGTTCGGAACTGGTAGGCAGGGTGTCCTACCTGCTCGAGACGTGCCTTTCTGATAAAGCTCGGTGAGGAGTCACAGGAGTGCTGCCTTCACACCAAAAGACTAGCCTTAGAGCATTGGTTCTCACGACTCCAGTTGTCAGAGGTAAGCAGGATAATGCAGCTGCCAGTGTTGTCCACTTGAAATAACATTACTTGCAAGAGTGGCAACAGAGGCAAACAACCTAACTCCACCCACAAGACCATCTTAAGGGCGCCTGATTTTGCATAAGGCCCCGTGCCCGCAGCCGGCGCCGCCCGTGCGCTTTCCGGATGACTGGGACGGGAATCCCAGCTGTGTGTGTTGGTTGCAGGGCGGGGTGTGACCCAAAATTTCAGGTACCCCTTGGTGGTTTGGATTAGTCGGATTTGGATTTCAACCCCTGGTTCTTGTTGACGGAAAACGGAGAACCTCCGAACCACCTCGGTCTTGGCATCGGTTTCCAGGCACTGGTTTGTCTCAAAGGTGGTTTTCCCTTTGGTTTCCCTTCAAACCGAGAAACCTGAACCTTGGCGGTAAGGGCAATGACTTTCCAGCGTCTTTCCGGCCCTTGAGGGGGCTTTCAGGAGCTGAGGTGCAGCTTGGCGGTGGCCGAGTTTTCGTCAAGTATTTTCAGCCAAACTTAAATTGAAGATACCGGGCATACCTAGTCTTTGCGACAAGTGGTTTATCATGTAATGTAGAGTCAGAGGGTCTACACTTGGTTTTGTTGTGTATCCTCGTTTTTGGGGGGTGATGTTTATTTCTAGCCACAGCCCTTCTCATGTTGGTATCCATATTGGGTTTGTTCCCAACTTGTGCAACGTTTGGGCTGCCATTCCCCTTATGGCTGAGTCGGTATATCTAATAATGGAAGTTTCCGACTACTCGCTTCCTGAGTTCCGCTTCGAGCTTTAGTCACGTTTTGGGCTTGGACCATTTTAGTGGTAGACGCAAAGTTCACACTTGTTTTCTACCTGATCCACTCGATCGGAAACAACCACTAAGGACAATGACGGACCATTAGGCACCGTGAAGGCTCATGAACTTTACCTCCCATGGCCCAGCGGAAACAATCTGTGCTTGAACCGGTACCTGGATGCTTCATAAAGCAGCCACGTTCTAAATTGCGACCCCAATTGTTGCGTTGCTGTCCCTGTACAGGGTTTCCCTTTGCAGGTCATCAAAAGACCCTGACGCAAAAAGAGCCTACGCAGGCCGAAAAAACACATTTGGTTTTCCTTTGGTTTCCCTTTGGTTTCCCTTTGGTTTTTGTTTGGTTTGCCTTTGGTTCCCCTTCAAAATACGCAGAAACAGGCAATCCAACTCTAGCGAAGAGCCAATCGGACCGGGTCAAGTCGAGTTGCCATTTGGAGCTTTCGGAGGCTTTGGCCAAAGGCTTGCAGCACCTCGCCGAGCGCCAAAAGGCCTTCGTTTCGCGTGGCGAGATCGACCTCACTTGAAAGCGAATCGATGTTTTGGAGCTTTTAGTTTAGACTGAGTTGTTGTTGCTTGTTTTTCTGTTGTTCTGCTAGGTGTTTTTGCGAGTTGCTCGATTGTGTGTCCATCTCCTTTTGGTGTCCTCTCTGTTTGGCAACCATTGTTATCCAAGGTCCCAGAATCGTTGAAGCTTTTATTGGCGGGTAAGTGAGGTTACAGAACAAGAAACCAGTTGAAGGTCACTTGGTACTTACCACCATTTGAGAGGTGTGATTCCTAAAAAAGACACACCCAGGTAGTTTCAAGCTAAACGGGGAGAACGCTCTTAGGTTCCACGTTTGTGGCGCAAAAGTCTCCTTGGATTTTTCAGACGTCCAAGTTTCCTCTGGGTGAAACTTTGGGATTTCCTTGGGCTTCTCGTTTAAACCAGGCTCTGCCCAGTGGCAATTTCGGAGCAATGAGCCACACGGTTCAACTCTATATGGCCATGGGTCATAACCTATGCCTCCATTTTGGGGCGGATGAACACCCATGTACCACCTATTTTGATTTTTAACCAGGGGTTTCCTGGGTTTTGACCCACAGCCATATTGAGAATCTCCTGAAAGGCAACATGGCATCCCAAAGTTGTCACTTTTGGAGGAATCCCTCTTCGGGGATCAGGGTTTGCAGAGCTTGTGCAGGGTTGCTCCGTTCACCCGGGTCAAGAGATGGATTGGGTTCCTTGCCGAGCTATGGAGAAAACGCTTTGCCGCGACCCAAAACATGGTGCAACGGTTTTCCTAAACCTAACTATGGGTGTCTCTCTTTTTTGGGCGACCCCAAAAATGGCTCTTGGTTTCCCTTTAAAGCCAGCAAACATGTGATAGCAACTCCAAAAAGAAGACCAGCCACTCATATCAACCTAGGGCGATTTTTCCCAGTGCTTCCAGCTGCCACACACGGCAGGGAACCGTTTTTTTTTTCCCTATAGTTTTTTTTTTCTTTTTTCTCTGGTTACCTCCTACGGCTTGGCTGGAAGCACTGGGTTACAGAGCAACACACCGACTTGAAGCCGTGCAGGTGGATTTGCTCACCACGCTTCATCTCTCGTGCTCGGTGGTCCTGCCGTGAGCCCATCGGGTGGGCGGATTTCGGACGGGTTGGTCGGGCATAAGCTTGGGCACACCAACAAAAAGGCGGGGCGCTTTGAAAAAATGACACACACACACACAAAATTAAGTGTTTTCCTTGTTGAGGGAACTCCTGTTGGTTGGTGTTTAAGGGGACACCAAAAGCAGTTTCTTTGGGGTTGCCTGATTTCAAGCCCAAATTTGCTTGGCATCCTGAAGGTTTAGGCATCACCATCTTCACGGATGCCTTCTGTTTAATCCATTGTTAGTTGAAAGTGGGCGCCCAAACCGCCGGAGGTAGCCATGTCAGTAGCTTGTCACTGCCCAGCAGGAAGCGCATAGCAGGCTTGAGGGGCTTGAAGAGCTCGACAGGGAAGCTCTGGTTCCTGCGGCCGAGCAGGTCGAAGAGGACGGGTGCCCCAGGCTAAGAAGACGCAGCCGGTTCCCAGCCACAAAATAGTGACAAAGATCCAAGCAATCCTGGAAAAGGAGCACGCCTTCGGGATGCGCTGGAAGCAGGGGCCTTGTGAGGTGAACTCGTTGAGGCGGTGGAAGCCCGAGCGCATCCAGCACTTGCTGCCTTTGGCTTGCTGGAATCATGCGGTTTTTGGAAAGACCTGGCCTTGATTGCTTTTGATCTTCAGACTTTAGCTGTTTCGGAAATTAAGGGTTGTCCGTTGAATCCGCAAAAAGCTAACCTTTTTGCAGAGGGGTCAACAGCAACCAAGTGACAGAAAACGATTGGGGTTTCGGCAATGCTTATGTGAGCAACGGACAATTTACGGGGGCAGGATCTTCTGGTGGATATCCCGTCGCTTTCGCAGGTGAATGGGGGTCGTCATTTGGTGGTCCCCTATGTTTACTTTCGGAGCTGTGTCAGCTCCGTTTGTTGCTGGCAGCTGGTTGCAGAGTGCTTAAGGCAGAGCTTCATTTGGATTTGCGGCATGAGATTTGCGTCAACCTCCGGCAAAGTGTTGAAGCCGCTGTTCGAGACAAGCCATGCCGACGGGAAAATTCAGGCGCTTCAGGCACACGAGGTTACGCCTTCCTTAGGGACGCTGACTGGGACGCTGCTCAGGGCCAAGTCATCCTTTTATGGTTGAGTGGGGTCACGTAGCTTGATTGCTATTCGGATGGATGGGTTTTCCGAATTGAACCCACGAAAAGTTGAAGGCTCCAGCTTGCAGCTTGTAGGCAACATTACACACAAATAAGCCTACCTGGCATCCAGAAGGACGCCAAGACCTCCCAAATAAGTAGGTTTTATTGGGGGTTAGCAGGGCGTCACATTTCAGAGTTTGAACTTGCGCCACCCAACGCCATCTGTTGACGTACCGTCCTGGTCCCTTCCGACCCCATATCTCAGAAAATACGTGGACCATCTCTGAACAACTGACGAGCTGGCTTTCCCAAGCCGATGTGAGTGCAATTTGGGTACGCGTTAATGAATTGTCTCTTGCGCTCAAACTACCATTGCCTATCAAGATGTTTGCAATTAGGCGCTGACATACAGTGCATGCGTCATCGTGCTCTATCTGCTTGGCACACAAATCCAACATGCATCAAACTGCATCAACATGCTTCCTATCTTGGTTGCTGCTGACCCCTCTGCAACAATGCCACTGGCGCAAAGTATCTTTTGGTGCATCCACAGGCCCTTCGTTCCCCTCAACCCTTGGGAGGCCATGGCCCGGTTTTTGGCTTCGAAACCCGTTTCCACCTTGCACCAGAATGAATGGTTCAGTCACCAAACAACTAGACTAGGTCCCCCGGCTAGGTGCCCTTTTACCCTTTTTTGGGGGAGGGTCCCCCTACTAAAATAGACTACAGAAAAAAGTTGGTACCCTTATTCCAACCTCTCTACTGGAGGACCTAGAAGAGGTTGATCCAGAGGGCCCCTTGGTAGCCAATGTTGGTCTCCTCGCAGGGTACCATTCCGTTGATTTCAGCGTGGCCCGGCAAAAAACAACTGGAGGAAGCCATCTACTATTGACACACACGAAACATCATGAATCATGATGTTGGTTGTATTTCCCAGAGGGTCTGAGTGTTTGCTCTGGATGCAAGAATTTCATAAACGAAAATGGGAGCCAGGTACATTCTCAGAGTGAACCTTTGGGACTCTTAGGGCCCGGGCCTCCACACACGTTTTTCTGCGGGGTAGACTAAACATGCAACATCATTGAAGCATATTTTTCTGTGTACACCAAATGTTCAGAGAACCCAAAGTTTTGCGAACTGGATTCGTGGTTTGGATTTGGATTTGAGCTTTTGGCTGTAGACGGTACCTGGGGTTTCCCGCAAGACCACCTGGGTGTGTCCTTTTTTGAAGGTACCCTTTCAGGTTGGTTTTAAAGCCTAAAGGGAAACCACAATCCTGAGGATTCTCCTATGTTGTGAGACACCGAATTGGCGTCTGCCAAAATTTGGGTCTCATTCGAGTCACCGCCTCAAAACACGGCGGCGCTCAGGCCATCTGTCGAGGACTTGTCAGGCGAGGGAGCAGCCCGAGTAAGACCAGGGCCCTTTGAAAATGGAGGGAGCAACGAAAGGAAACCAACCATGTGAAAGGGTCCTCAAATGTTTGAGACGCTCATATTTACGTAGGTGTGTGTGTGTGTGTGTTCTTTTTTCGGGGTATCCGTTTAGGGTTGGCTGAAACAGAATCCGAAGGAGACCACTGATTTCGGAGGTGCTTGTATTGTGACACATGCCCATCTTTGTGGTGGTGCTTTTACAAATCACCGTTTGGCCCAACTCAGCGAGTTTCCCTTGGTGGCGGTGATGTTTTTGGGCCCTGTTGTTTCTGCTTTCCAGGTTGGGTGGGTTTAACAGATGCCCAAATTGGCAACCACATCCATTCTGTCACAAGCTCCCCATATGTTTTGGCAAACATGCCACGTTTGAAGGAGCCTGCTTTCATACGTATTTTTGCACACGTACCGTGGTATAGCCCACGGTGGATGGTGTTCCTTTGGTGTTCCTTTTAACAAACCTCAAAAACGCTAGCCTCAAACAAAACAATCATATGCACAAGGGGTCCGTCTGTTTTGGGGGATGCGGTTTTAAAGGGAAACCAACAGAAAAACCACCATTGCGGGGGGCGCCGGGGGGGAGGGGGGCTCCCTAAACAACACACACACACACACAAACACCCTAAATGGCCCATACTCCTAGCCAGCCCGACTCCAAGCCCTTCCTTTGATCACGTGATCTCAGCGAGGTTCCTCCAGCGCGGGGGCGGAAGTCCCAGTGAGCGCCGGGACACCCGCCGGGCTGACGGGCTGAAGGGCGGAGAAGTCCAGCTGGGCGTCGTTGTCTTACCCCCAGGGCTGAAAGCTTTGGCCAATCCACTCCTTAACTGCTACTGGGTTGGATCCTTAGACTTTCACTTTTGGGAGATCAAGAGGTTTTCCACTAAACCCCCCAAAAGTTATTCACTTTTTACAGGGGGGTCAACAGCAACCAAGACTCGAAGTGGAAGTGAGTAACTAAGCAGGGATGGGGGGTCTAAGGGCGCCCACGGTTCTACAAACTCAGTCTTCCAGATCCAAAATCATGCCCACGCTTTGGGCAGCGGGTTAGACTGGCTTGAAAGGGGGCCAACCTTTGAACTGTCATTTTCCATGGGAGGAGAGTTGTGGTCATTTTCCATGGAATTGGAGGAGAGTTGCGGGGGCAACCTTTGGAACATCTTTGCCCTTGAGTAAACTGATGAACCAAGAAAGGACTTGAATCCTAGGTGAACGGTTGAACGTTGACTGAGGTTGTGCCAGTTGTTCGGTTGTCTTTTGGTGTTCGAACGGGTCAGAACCAGGAAATTGGCTTGCCATTCAACCGGGCTATCCAATGTTTGAACTCTTTGAACGCTTGGTCCCCTGGTTCTTGTCGAAATTCATCCAAGCTCCTGAGAGTTTGGCAGTCTTCCGAAGAAAGGATCCATAGAAACTGGGGAAGTGCTGCAAGAGGTTTGCCCCTTGACCTCTTTGGAAAGAAGCTCGCAATACTGTGGCTGTAAATACCCACAAATAATGGTTTCCCATGGTTTCCAAGTGGTGCAAAATGGATTTTGTCCATCCACAGTATCACAAGACAGGGCGAGTTGAGCTACATGACAGCAGCGCGCATGGCGCATGGCAATTGCTTGATGGACGAGCTTCTGATCACTCTTGCTGTCTGTAGCGTGTTGCTGGGCAATGTTACCCCCGGCTTACTAGATGTCTGGTTGGTTGATAGAGGGGTGTCCCCTTGTGGAAAATGAACCGAGTACGTGTGCCCCGGGAACGCGCTGCAACTAGATGTTCCTGTTGAAGAAGACAGGGCAACCAACCTCTGCACATACACATATGGGATCCAGTGTACCCAGGGACACGTAGTTAGTTTCCTCGATGGCAACTTGCAATTTGAAACCAGGAACCATTGCCGAGCCCATGAGCAAGGAGATCCACCAAGGCACACGACGTGAAGAGCTAGAAGACGTCTCAGGTGAAGGGAATGATGCAAGCAGCAACCTCTCTCTAACAAACCGACTTAATACAGTTTAGCCTTCACCTCAGCCAACGCAAGAGCCATGAACATGTTTCGGTCCCCTTAAACGAACTGTCTGAAATTAGAGAGCATGTTCAAACACCGCCTTTGGGATCCCTAAACAACCTGCTTTTAAAAGAGAAGTGTTCAAGCAAACATTATCCCGAACTTGTTCAAACTCAAAGCCTGTGTCCACCTACCTACATGGACTGCCTGAAATGGTAAGGGAACTGTAGGACCACACTGGCCAAATGTTCGGCTGAGGATGCTTCGGATGAGCTCTTTGGCTTTGTCCTCGATGCGGACTGCTTGACAGAAATGGGTTGCCTAAGGTCCGCTAAATCAGAGCCTTGTGAATGGACCAAGTCGGCTTTGCATGCTGTTCGCAGTGGCAATGGGAGCCAGAGCCCAAAGGAAGCCTGTTTGTGACTCAGACTGGCTACAAGGACCAAGCGCCCTTACTTTCCCATGGCTCCGTTCTGGCTTTGACTCAATATTGGATAAAGATATGGCGTACGTGTCCTGGGTCAGTGAAGTTCAGAAATATGGCATGGCACGAGTTTGCGTCTAGTAATTGACAAGGCGACTTCTCCAAAGGCACACCCTAATTTCAATTTCCCAGCTTCAGGGGGCATCATTTTGACAGCCCCTCCCCGATTAGAGTGCTGGTAGATTCTTGTAAAATGGGCGCAGTGTTTTACGACTTGTTGTATCTTCATCCTCTCTTTTTATCACGGACAGGGTCCGCATGTGACATCCATTGAGGGTCCCGGGTCCCTGCTCAGAATCGTCCCGTCAGATTCCTTGGCAGCAGGAAAGCGTTTTACACCAAGGGCTGTTCCACAAAGCTTCTAGTCATGGGGGTCTTGTCGTCGCTTGCTTTTGTTGGGGAGCACCCGGCCTCAAACAGGTCCTATTTGTTGCTTTGATACGAGGCGCTGAACAGTCGTTCACTCACATTTCGCCTCCATGATCATGTCTCGGATGGGTTTGAAGGTACCCCACAAATCTTAATTGAGTTAGTTGTGCACTTGTACTAGAGCTCCAGTCGCAGGGCATCCCGCCTGTTTTGACACAATGAATATGAGTGTAGGACAGGAATCATTGGAAGTACGGACACCGGCAACACGTAAATTCAGTACGGCAGGATGGATGGACTAGCTGGCCTATCATGTCGGGGAGAGAAAACAAAGCAACGCTCGTTCTCCAGTGGTGTCCCTGTTGTCATTTTTGTTGCCTGTTTTTAGGGGCTATCAAAGTGAGACACTGGGGTTGGTTCCGAAGTTGGTTCCCTTGAATCTACCACTTAGGGGATGACGTTGACGACGCCCATGCTTATGCCTTGTTTTGAGCTGTCAGATCGCGAGATCTCCCGTGCACCATGGAAGTGAGATTGAACAGCGAAAATCCCCGGCGAAAGGGAGAGACAGCATGTGAAATCCGAAACATCTAAACATGGGGAACCCCCAGGCAACGCTCTACTTTCGTGCAGAATGTTGGTTGATTGTTATGTTCTGATGAAATGATGATTTCATACTTGGCCTGATCCAAGTTCGAGGTCGTGCCCTGGACCTAAGGCCAGCAATGTTTGACATCGGGCTTTCGCGTCCCCGGTTGCCTGACTTAACAGCAACCTCTTGGCAAAAATAACTTTGGTGGTACGTGGTACTCTCCAGAGCATGGAACTCTCAAGGACAACAATATTATTATGTTCAGAGGAAGCTTCTTTTGGAGGAGCCCCTTTTTGGTTCCATGTTCAGCTTGCAGGATAGTAACGGGAGTTTTTGTTTTTTTTGGTTTGTCATATGGTTTTGCTGTCCAGCTTCCAAATTTGCTCGGATCGAATTGTTTCCTAACTCGGGGGGACCAGGGAAGACTCAGTGCAGGACGGCCAGCCCAGAGCGGGTGAAGAGTGGATAGAGGAGACGTGCAGCGCTCAGTGTGGGGCAAAGTTTTGCCTCAAGAATCATGGCAAGCGGACAATACCTTCTTCTTGCACCACGAAATGACGCCATGGTTGAAAAACCATTGTTTGTTGAGGTAGTTTCAGGGGAATCGATCAGAATAAAGGGTTCCGAACGGTGGTGCGAGAAGCGGATTTCGCAGCCATGCACTGTCAGTGCACAGTGGGCTTACGTCAAGGGGACACCCAAGAAAGGCGGTTTAAACATATGTCTAAAGGGGGCTTGGCCCAAGCCTGCCGGCAAGTCGGCAGGTCACTGGAGTGAATGTGATGTCAACGAGTGGGCTTTGCGTTGAATTCAAGCTGCTCTTATGCACAAATTAAATGCGCTGCTGTGCACTTTGATGACTCACTTCCTGAGCGGGTTGGTCAAGTAAAGTCCATACATATGTGTTTTTTTTCAAGCTCAGTTTCACATAGTTTACATATAATATGAATATTCATGTTCCATTTGTTGTACGACCTCTAACATGGTATTTCAAAAGAACATGGGGCGAAAAATGCTTGACCCCCTTTAGCTTCGGCGATGGATAACATATTATTAATCAGGGGTTCCCTGAGAAGAACACAATACCCACTAAATGATTAGGGGCCCCTCTCAAATGCCGCTAGGTTTCAATTTGCAGTCTTAAGCTTTATGTTGTTGCATCCTGATTCACCCAATCAACTAGTCCAGCTCTTTGTCGCCTTTCCCAGGAAGAGGGACCCCCTCGGGTGGGTTGGGAGGGACACCAAAGGGCACGCCGAAGCCATTTTGGGTCAAAGGCAACCTTTCTCCTTATTGTCGCACGCTTTTCAGGGCTGGAGTCCGATTTCTGCGTGAAATGTGTTATTTTGGCGTTGGATTGTCTGAGGTCTCTCTCAAACGGACCACCAAGAAAGGGACGCATGTGTTTCCTTGAGTTCGTCCTTTCTCTTTTCACGGCCTTTTTCCCCTCTCCCATTTTTTCTTGGGCAGAGTTTCGTTTCAAATCGACCCCCAAAAAAACGGCAACCCCTTTGATCCGATTCGGCAAACTGCGCTTCAGCCAACCCAAGGCTGCGTGCGCTGCAGCTGGGCACTCACACGGCGGCCGGCGCGGCCCTGCGCCTGCCGCTGGGCGGCACGTGAGCTGGAAGTTCGTATCAGCTGGGGAACCCTTTGGGAGCCTCTCTTTACCCTCTTTAGTGACTGGGTCCCCGGGCTAGGTGCCCTTGAACCAACTTTTGTGGGGGAGGGTTCCCCTGCTAAAATAGACTACAGGAAAATGGTACCCTCGTTCTAACCTCTGTACTGGAGGACCTAGTCTCTTTACCCTTTTTAGTGATGTTTTTAATGTTGCTTTGAAGTGAAAGCAAGGGTAAACCAATGATATCAAAATTCGAGGTTTCGTCAAAATATCCAGAAGTGTGGGGTCAATGTAGTATGGACATGTGAGTCGCGTTGTTGCTTGGGCAGAAAACCTGGGTGCGAGTTGTGTTCCTTTGTTTTCCCTTGAGACCTGTGTACAAGGATTTGTCACATTGCTTACAGACCCCCTCGTAGAATTATTGCGGGACCCCAGTATTGGCGCTCGGAAATGAGAGAAGATCAGTTGCCAAAAAGCCGACCTTTGGACCTTTGTTTTTCCTGTGTTGGTCCATAGTTAGTCAAGGTTACCAAACAATAAAACTTGTATTTCCAGGTCCTTTGGACAAGGGAGAAGGGAGAATGGTCAGAACCCAACAAGCATAGTTTGGTTCATAGCCCAAAGGAAAGCTATAAGTAGTCTTCCAAGAGGAGTCTGCACACGTACATTGGAAACGTTTGGAACCCAGCATAGCAGGGGTCTTTAAATTGTGAGGTCCCAAGAGCAGCCTGTTTTCGGATTTGTGTTGAAACCTTTCTTGAGGTTCGGGATTTTGGCAGGTTTCTCGATTGGGTACCTGGGGCAAAATCAGCACCCTGGTCCCGACTTTGTCTCCCTCGAAAGCCATCCACAGACTCAGCTGCCCAAAGCCAAGCTTTTGAACTGAAGGTTCTCCTGGTTGGGTATGAGAGTGTTGTTTCTTTTTGTTTCTTCTTTTTTTCGGAACCCCCAAAACGGGGGTTGGGTTTTCCTGTTGGTTTCCCTTTCCTCCCCCCATTTAAAACGGGCAACCCAGACCCATCTAGACAAGGTCATTTTTTGGTGGGGTTCGCTACTGAGCAGCCCTCTGCTCCCACTGATCGATCGCAGGCTGTGGCAAGGGGACGCGGATGTGCAGTCCCGGCGTCTCTCCGCCAAGCTGCAGGACCTCTGCTCACACCAGGCCTTTCTGGGTCAACACCGTTTTGGGATCCCATTTGGGTTGGTAGGTGAATTCACCACCCATTTTAGAACCTATTTTCGTGGGGATTGGGATGTTCACTGGGGGTACGATTTGGCTTTTCACCCTGGGTCACCAGGGCTTTTCGTTTCTCGTTTCCGTGTCCCGCGTTTCCGCCGGGCAGCGAGGTGCCATGTTTGTCGCTATGACCCATGGCTGTGGACTGAGTTGTTGCGGTTGCCCCCCAAAAATGCTTTGTTTTCTTCCGAAAGGGACACCGCAGGTTCGCATCACTGTTGATGGAGGGAATCCGCGCAAATCGATCGGCAACAGTTGGGATGGGTGGTTTATCACCTAGGGTTGGCATCTATCCCAGCATATCCCAGCTGATGACTCATATCCCAGCTGATGACTTTCGTGGATTTTGTCCGTCCACAGTGCGGCAGGGGCCCCTCAATATTGCTCCTTGATTTGGACGTTCAAAAATAGACATGTATTAGAACCCACCCGTAAGTTGCAACTTTTGAAGGGGAAATCCAGTGAGTGTCCCAGTCCGCATTTTGCTGTGGCTTTCCTCTGGCCACGTGGGCAGTTTGAGGATTTGGGAGTTGGCCTGGCTAACGCTAGCCCGGATTTACAAAGAGCTCGACTGGGGATTGGTTTCCAGGATTTCCTATGGACCCACCGCGCCCATTTCGCGCCCATTTCGCGCCAGGTGACGCTTGTCAGCGATAGCATGCCCTCCTGGGTCTTACGGCTGGGCACTATGATGCCCGGGCGCCAAATTGGAGCCTTCCAGTGAATTACCACAAGAAACACAAATCATGTGTGTGTGTTTTGTTCTTTTCTTTTCTCTTTTTTTGCGGCAAGCCCTTGTTTTGTTTTGCTTTAAAGGGACAGCAAAAACATAAGCCGCATTGAGTGTTTCGCAAAATCGGATCCGGTCCATCTCCCAAAAAAACTGATTGCAGCTGATCCCAACCAAAAATCGGATCCAGAGGTTTGAGACCACATGGTTTGGTAGAGTCATGTGGCTTGCGAACTGCGAAGTTCGCGCGAGTCTCACAAAATGAAACCATGGAAACCGTTTACAACCACGGATCCTAGGGAAGCGGTTGAAACCATGATTTACACAAGGCCAAGTTGTGGATTTCTTCCTCACCCGTCCAGGGTTCCGATATATCTAATGAGTTTTCCACGAGTGTCTCTGAATAGCTCGGCATTTCAGGTCGACATGAGCTTCGTGTTACACAACAAACATGGTTTGTTTGTTTTTTCTCCCTTCCCGACAGGAAAGTAACTACTTTGGGGCATTTTGCTTGGATGTTAGGACTTTAACTTTTTGCCAACTAATGGGTTTTCCATTAAACCACTAAAAGTTAAACTTTTAGCAGGGGAGCAGAAAGCAATCGAGTGGTATTCCAAGAGCAATTGTAGGCCGTGTGGCATTTGATTCAACTGGTTGAGCCCCTTGGCGAATTGGACTTAAGATCCCGATGAGCTTCTTCAAGCCCCAGTCAGCATCAAGAAAACCATCGCAAGTTGAAGGTCGTGCAACAATGCATCTTCCGATGTTTGTTTGACCGGCTTAAGCATCCCTTCCGCCTTTTTTTTGCCAAAAGGACGCGGTGTGTGGGGGAGCTTCAGTTTCCCAGCCAGATAGGTTAATGCAAGGGCCTAAGTTGAACTACACGCTCATTCCTCTTAACGTCTAGGTTGGTTTCAAAGTCCCTCACAACCCCCTAATTAACGTTGACCCCTTACTGCAATAACCCTCTTTGGTTCATTTTGATCGGGGGGTGTCTCCTTTTAGTGGGGATTCATCAGGACAGGTTCGTTGATCCGGGGTCAACATTAATTTGGGTATGGGGTCAAAATTAAACCACCAGGGGGCAGCAGGTTCCATCTACCAGGGTTCCATAGTGCGTTTACCCTATTTTGACCCACGGCCATGTGTTCGGTCCAAGATCTTCCCCCACTGACCGGGTTTCAGACCAAGCCCCAAACAGGGAGAATATGACAAAGCCAAAAAACATAGAGCGTTTATCCCAGTTTACGCCCCTGTTGTGACAAATCCAAGAGGCTTCCATCTACCCAATAGAGCCCTACCTCTTTGCTTTGAATATGACAAAGCCCAAGAGTATTTTCCCCCTATACGCCAAGAGTATGACACAGCAGATGACACCTCCGAGTTGATCCCACGTCGCTGCCCCCATTTCCGCAGATTCGCGCGGGGATTTTTGTTTGTCTCGCCGAGACCTTTAGGCCTCAGCTCTTTGACCGCCATAGTCGGGAGGTGCTGCTGAGGTCTGGGCCTTTCCTTTTCGGCGACGAAGTTCAGGTCCTTCTGTTTGTTTTTCTTGCTGGTGTGATAGGTAGGGAATGAGAAATGGAATGAACCTTATAAACCTGTTGTCCTGGTTTCCTTTAAGGGGACCGCGGGACCCCTGGGTTCATTCCCTCTTTTTTTGCTGAGCACCAGCAAGTTTTGGTGCCCCACGAAAGAAACACGATTGCAACCTAAAAGAGACTTTGGTTTTCTTACTAGGCGACGTAAAGTGATATAGAAGCAGTTCAAAAACTCCGAAAGAGACCTGACAACGGGTCTTGTTGCCTTGTGTTGATTTGGTTATCCCCTTTTCAGAGGAAGATAATTCAAAGATCAGTTGTGGCTCAATGGTCGAGTGTCTTCCAACATGATTTGCAAGCTCATGCATTGCGAATGGTTCATTTACTGCACAATCCGCCACATGTGTCAAGTAACTTTGCAATGGAAACACACATTGGCACAGTTGTATTGAGCTAGGCACATGTTCAAAGGAGGCGAGTGTCATCTTAAGCATTATACGTGTATCGGGAGATCAGAGGTAGATCTGTTCTGAATTGTCTTATTGTGCAGGCCGGCCAGTTTTTTTTCAGGAACACCACGTTGCACCCACCGAACATGCTGAATCGTAAGGCAGGCTTGGTAGGCTCGTGAGCGGAAAGCTGCAGTTGTTGTTTATTTGTTTGTTGACAAAGCAAGGGGCTGTTTCTCAGCTGTTGGTTTTCCCCAACAGCTGAAAGCTTTGGGGTCTCAGCCCAGAAAGGTCCACGAGGGTTCCACCACATCAGGGTTCCGCCAAAGTTCCATGAGGGTTCCACGAGCGTTCCACGAGGGTTCCATGAGGGTTCCACGAGGGCTGCGGGGTGGTGCGAGCACTAAAAAGAGCATCGCATGCTGTTGGGGGATATCACCTGAGCTTATTTTGTCGCTGCAAACAATTATGAATACTCTGGATGGACGAAATCCTGCACCACCTAAGAAACCCTGGAATGATTCCATTCTTCTGTAAATACCAATAAAGAATTATGGTTTCCCATGGTTTCCAAGTGGTGCGAAATGGATTTCGTCCATCCACAGTATGTCCAGCTGTTCTTTTTAAAGCAGCAACCTCCCTGAAAGCCTCGTAGATTTGCAGACATTGCCGGCTCCATACCTCCCAACCTCCCACAAGATCAAGCTTCTTCACATGGTGGCTGGCACTTTAGCGGACCCGGGTCCGCTTAAGGGCATTGGACCAGGTAACCCTTGGTGGCTTGGGATTTGAACCTCTGTATTTGCTATGGGGAAACCATCCCGATCCAAACCATCAGATCGGTTCGGATCGCATGTTCCTTGGTGGTTCGCAGCCACCCGGTTCCACACAGGTTTTTAGTTGCTTTTAGGTGGTTGAGTGGTTGGGTTATCCATTGAACCTGCAAGTGATGCACATTTTGCATGGGATCAGAAAACGGAGACCCCACTCTTTGTCGTTTTTTCTGGGAACCCCTTTTTGGATGCTCAATGGGCATGACAACATAATTAGGGACGCTTTGGTGGACGTCATTTGGGTGGAACCACAAATGTCAGGGCCAAACGGAAACCAAAAGCAGAACTGACGCTCTTTTCGGACAGCCGCAGTTGCAGGTCCTCCGCCTTTGGTCTGCCATTCGCGGTTCACGACCGGCAGACACGGGAGGCGTTTCCGTGGGCCCGGCGTGAGCCGAAGGGGCGACCGTTTCTTTAGGGTACCAAGGGAAACCAGTTTGGGCGCTCACTCCCTCAGTTCAGGGACTTTAATCACTTTTTGGCCTGGGACCGTTTCAGTGGCATACAAGAAGTTTGGACTTTTTTCGAGCCATCCACTCAGGAAGTGAGTGGGGTTTCCCCGAGCCCAGCCCATGTGATTTGTGGTTGGTGTTATTCGTTTGATTGTATTTGTTCAAAGGCACATCCAACAGGACCTCCACGCATGTTTGGCAGGGTTCACGACAAACCCAAATCCCCTTAGAGGTGATTGCTGACAATGCTGCTCGAGGCTTTCCTTTTGGAAACGAAGACAAGGTTGAGCGCGTTGGATCGGGTAGGTTTGGAAAGGAGGTTTACCTCCATCAAAGAGAGTCTCAATAGGTGATGTGTTTGTTGTTTTTCTGCCAGTCATGCAATGCTACTTTGCTCCCATCCATCAAACGCCAGGCTGTATCAGATAAATGATTCCTGCACGTTTCAAAAGCAATCCGAATGTTCACTCGGGCTAGCGGATTCTGTCCTCTTTGTAGAGCTTTCCCGATGGGCATTGCAGCTTGGGATTGTTGACATGGGAGTGTCATTTTTTGGGGGACCCCCCCCGAAACAAATTGATGGATTTAATTTTGGTGTCCCTATAAAACCGCAAGCAAAGGTACCTTGAAAAACAGACGCACTCAAGTTTGAGTGGTGTTTTGTCTGAAAGTTCATTATTCACCTTTTGCGTAGTGGTTGTGCTGCGAGCTCATGCTGACATCCAAAGGGGGATGAGAACTTTATGTCCTGCCACAGAGCTGTGTATGAGCAGCTGGCCATTCCAAAATCTCCTTGGTTTCGATGTGCCAACGCCCAATGTCATCGTAGAAGATATTCAAATCCGAGGTGCGTGGGGCAAAAGTTGAGCAGTGACATATATTACCCCTTCTCCGAAAACATAAGTTGAAGTGGCCTTTTCCCAGGCGTGGGACTGAGCGTTGTTTATGGAATGCCTAAGAGGGAGGGTGTCCAAGCGGGGGGGCCCCCAAGCAACCATTGGGAACGCTTGGGAACGCTAGGGAACCCTGAGGAGCTTTAGGGCTCTCAACTACCCACCCCGAACATACCTACCCCTCTAAACGACTCAGGTGGACCGGCGCTACAGCGAGGCACGGTTCTGTGGGTTTCAAGTCGTACACCTCCGGGAACCTTGGCTTCATCTTTGAACCGTTCCTGGGAAATCGGTTGACTCTTAACTTACTTAACATTTTAAGGGCCGCTTAGCATGCAATATTTTGGTTGTGCCGGGTGCACGATGAAGTAGTTTGCCCTGACTGATGTTTCACATGTTTGCCTGGCACATAGCGATATCCCCACTCTGCTGCCAACTGTGTCGACAGTGTTGCAGGGTGGTGTACGTTTACGATGTGTTGAATGCATGAAGCTTTGTTTCTCCTTGTCCAACCCTGACCAACTCAGAGTGATGAGATGCATTATGTGACAGCTTTGGTGCGCATATATAGATAATATAATATATATATATATGAATAAACTTCTAGTTCGTCGAACGCCACTTGTGGAAAGGTGTTTCATTCATGCGTGTGTGTGAGTTTGTTTTCTTGCTCGCTTGCTTGCTTGGCTTGCTGCCCTGCTGCCTTGCTTGCTTGCTTGCTTGCTTGCTTGCTTGCTTGCTTTCTTGCTGGCTGGCTGGCTGGCTGGCTTGCTTGCTTGCTAGTTTGTATGTATGGTTGTTTGTTTTAACTTTGGCTTTGGCTCAGACAAACAAGCCTGGTGGAATTTAGCTCCCGTATTCACAATGGCCGCTTGAGTGTAGACCGCATGGTAACAAGGTCGGCGCTGTGCGATTGACGCGATGGTGTAGATTCCGAGGGGTTAGACGGTCTTGACTTGTCCAAAACCAAAGCTCCAAGCTTTGGAACTTGAATGGGGGTGTGCCTCCTAAGCGGACCCCCAAAATGGCGTTGGGTTTCCGTTGAAACCACCACACATGGTACCAGCTCCGCCCATTTGTCTTTTAGGGGCTGAAGCTTGCAAATCCTGAGGTCTGAGAAGGGATGTCGGATAGACCTGGAAACAAATTCGGCTTTTGCACTCCTAAACAAGGTTAAATGGGTGTATCTTTCTGTAAGGGTGCCCGTTTTTTGGTTGGTTCAAAGGGAAACCAAACAAAACCAGGCCCGAATCGGCCTTTTGCTCGTTCGGGGAGGGGGGGCAGGCTTGGAGTGGACGTGGAAGGGGGAAATCCTGGGTGAGTTCTGAAAACTGAGGGTAGAAGTCTCATAACCGGAAAAATGATAGTACTTTGATAGTTGGTTGGCATTTGGCAACACATGATATTGATTTGAGCAAAAGTGTGTGTTGCTTTTTGTTGGTGTTTGTTGCTCTGTTGGTGTCATTTCCCATGACCTGAGTGATTCAAAGATCTGGGGATTCAACCGGTCGCGCGAAGGTCATGAAGGCGGCGGAGGGCCGTGTGGCCCAGGCGAAGAACCTGGGGGATCAGCGGGCGCTGCCGCTGGGCCGAAGAGAAAAGACGTCGAGGGCCGTGGGCTGATATGTTTGGAGCTCGGAAGCTGCTGGACTGGTTGATTCAGTTGTTCGTCTTGTGTTTGGTTCGGCAGGCTTGGCCAGATGGATTGGTTTCGCCGTTTTCTTCGAGTGGCATTTTTGCCGCTTGAGGTTGCTGAAAACGGAGGCCTTGTTTTTGACGACATGAAAGGAGAATTGGCGCGGATTCAAAGGGTTGAAGTTCCTTAGGGGACCGCCCCCAGTATAGGTGCTTGGGACAATCAATCCATGCGGCATGTGTCAGAAGAGTGACACCCAAAAAATGGCGTTGAGGTTCCTTGTCAACAACCCTCAACTAGGGTAATGGGAACCCCGCGGTTTAGCAAGCCTTTCCTATTGAAAGGGTATATTTTGCAAAAGCGGTCGGAATCCCCACTAAAAGAAATCGGACCCTTCCAGTCAAAATCAAGCAGGGGCTCTGCGTACTCTGACTTTCCCACGAAAGCTCATAGCCATACAGTTCCGGAATCCGATTCGGGGGTAGGTACGTTACGGGGTAGTTGAGAGCCCGGGTTCCTTAGGGTTCCGACACGGGTTCTCGGAAAAAAAAAAGCACACACAGATCCCCATAGGCCCATACTGTGGATGGACGAAATCCATTTCGCACCACCGTTCAGAAACCCTGCAATGATTCCATTCTTCTGTAGTTTCCCGATAATTGCACCGATAATTGCAGATTCATACTGTGGATGGACGAAATTAATTTCGCACCACCTAAGACGCCCTGGAATGACTATTACCCCGCAAATGGACTGGTTTTAACCACGGTTTCAAAGCGGTCAGAAGTGGATTTCGCAACCATCCGCATTATGAACTGCGGCCGGACTCAGGTCGCAAGCCTATGAGCACCTCTTTGAGCTCACCAAGCAGATCTCTCAGGATCCCGAGGCGCGATCGGTTTTCGGTTTTTTGCGGGTTTGGAGACGGCCGGGGCGGGGTACCTTCCATTTCCATTCTTTCCAGGGATCCGAATCTTTTCAGGAAACCATCAAAAACCCAGGGGAAACTGCCGGTTTTTTGAAAAGAACGATGGCTAAAAAGAATGGGGAATCAACCCCCAGAATCTTAGCATTGCCAGCACCGCGGGAGTTCTGTTGGAAGATGTGTTCGAGCAAAGCTCTACATGTGGGCATGACTCCACATGACTCTATCTTTGACTTTAGGTGCCAGAGATGGTCGCAACACAATGGGTACTGCAACGAAACACTGTTTATGTTTCGTTCAAGCGAAATGGATGGCCTCTCAGCAGATGCAGCATGCTGCCAGCAATAACCGGAGTTCGCAGTGTTGATTTGCTTGCTCCTTCCAAGCAGTCTGTCAGGTGTGGAAGAGCATGGTCAGGGATGAATGTTCTTCCGTAAGATGACCAGTCTGGAATCCGATCGCCCCTGTCTGCTCTTGATGCCTGGTTTGGGTCTTTGAGTTTTGTCGGCGGGTAATCTGGTAATCGAAGTGCTACCGTTCGCAATCTAAACCTCCCTGCGGAAACTTATTTGCCCGAAGCCTTTCAACCCGTTTTTGGTGTTAGTGTTTGTTTTTGTTGTTTGGAGGGGTGTGAGTGAGATCATGGCCCGAATCGAAAAGCTTTGATTTGGCTCTCAAAACACTTTTGGACTCTCCGAATGGCGGGGTTCCTTTTGGTTTCCCTTTCTAAGCGCCTCACAGAAACGGTACCCTGGACAAAGCACACATCCGTTTGTTTATGGCTTTGGGTGAGGTCTTCACATTCGGTTTGTGTCTATCGTGTTGCACGCCAGTATGTGTCGTATGTGTCTCCAAGATGCTCCGAGATGCTCCGAGCTTTCAGAGAAGCAACAAAGGTAGCCTGACACTTGCTGCTCAAATATGTTTATTCAAGACATTCTGTATATGGATGGCTCCCAGAACGGTCCTCCGAATGACTTCGAAGTGAACTGTGCCTTTTTCTACTCACTTGCCCAAAGTCGACCTTTTAACCTTTTGCTTTCCCTGGTTTGGTCCATGTTTTGGTTCCAAAAGGTTAACCTTCTATTTCCAGGTCCGAACTGGGCAAGTGAGACTGAGATGATGAGGTTTGTAAAGATCTAAATCCGAGGTTTCTGGTTGACCGGTGACCGAATCACCCGAATCGACGCCTTTTGCCGACCTCTCGTCTCGGGTAGCGAGAGCAGTCGCGCAGCTCAGTTTCAGGTCTGGATCGGCTCGTTGACCTCGGAGCTGGCCAAAGTGGACAGGCCGGACCTGGGTTCGGCAAAAGGAATCGGCAAAAAGCGAAGCCCGAGGACCGCGAGACAAGATCCAAAGGACGGAAGCAATTGAAGCCACAGAGGCAGAGGCTGAAATATGGGCAAATGGCCAGGGCGAGTAAAGACACCGTTCCCCAAGCAGAAGCAGCTTCGGATTACTGATTGAGAGGGTTTTGGGTAGACCATTGTGACCCAAATGGGAGGTCAATATTCACCATCTACCGCGAGTTCTTGGTCCGTGTGTAGAGAGCTTCCTCCGCAAGATCCCTTGATTGGGAGGAGCAGCGCAAGATGCTCGTGGGAGGAGCAGACACACAGTAACGAAAACGCAAGTCATATCAGACCAAGCACCGCACCACAACGAGAGCGATCCGACGCGCGCCAAACGCTGTAAGGGCTGTGCGGACGATATCAGCAAGAGCACCGCGCCACGGCTATTCGTGAACAGTGTGTTTTACGTTTTGTGCGTCTAAAAAGTGCGCAGCCTGCCATGCAGACTCAGCACGCACGACACCCATGACAACAGTCTCCCAAATCGAGCACTTCCAAGGCGCCTGCACTTCCACGAAATTTCGCACTCACAACAAATTTTCGCCCTTGGACCTCGAAATGTCAGAGGCTCTCGTGCGCAGTCAAAATCAACAGTGAGATGAAAACCGCTAACTTTTGTGCGAGCCTGCGCTGTCAAAAGGAACAAAGCGCGTGTCGGCACCAATTGCAAAAGGCTGAGAATGGGCTGCAGGTTCCCTGATTTTTGTTTTCGGGCGTTCATGTTAACCGCGACGTCGAGGTCCTTTGGAATCGCTTTCAAGCAGGTTTTGGTAGAACCCAATCCAATCGCTTCGTAGGTCTTTTGACAATAATAATTTCAGTTTGGAAGCCTTCTGGACACACTTCCCAGGATTCTCCCCAAGGGATCATTTGTAACCGCATTGGCCGCATTGGTAGCTGACCTGAATTGCAACCACTCGAACCAATGGGTGTGTCCTTGGGGAACCCGAAAATCTCGGTGTGGTTTTCATTTCGGCGAGCCAAAAGCGACACGTTGCAACCAGCTTTGGGCTCCAAACCCCGGCCCAAAGCCCCAGCGGACGGAAACCGGGTCAGAAGGAGTTCAAATAGAAAGCCGCGGGGGCCACGTTGCGCGAAGCCTTTTTAGGGTGTGATGTGTCAAAGAGGGGCACCCCCACCAACGCGTTCCTTTTAAAGGCTTCATTTAAACAAGTCGTGTACCTTGTTTTTCAGAGCGATCTGTGATTGGACCATTTTTGTACCTTTCAAGAGTCTGTCTGGGTTTGTCGGAACCCCAAAACGGGGTCTCGTTTCCTTTTCTTCAGCCGGTCTCTTTCAAAGATTTGATTCGCAAATTAAGACATCACCAATTCCCCCCAAAAAAGGTGGATGTTCATGTGGATAAGACTGACACAGACAGAGACAGACAGAAACAGACAGAGACAGACAGAGACAGACAGAGACAGACAGAGACAGACAGAGACAGACAGAGACAGACAGAGACAGACAGAGACAGACAGAGACAGACAGAGACAGACAGCCAAGCAAGCAAGCAAACAACCAAGCAAACAAACAACCAAGTAGGCAAACAAGCAAACAAACAACCAAAACCAAACCTACACAAAACATCCCACGCAAACAAACTAACACTACATCAATCAGTCAGTCAGTCAGTCAATCAATCAATCAATCAATCAATCAATCAATCAATCAGTCAATCAATCAGTCAATCACTCAATCAAGCAATCACTCAATCAAGGAAGCACGCACGCAAGCAATCAATCAACCAACCAATCAATAAATAAATCAATCAATCAATCAATCAATCAATCAGTCAATCAATCAGTCAATCACTCAATCAAGCAATCACTCAATCAAGGAAGCACGCACGCAAGCAAGCAATCAATCAACCAACCAATCAATAAATCAATAAATAAATCAATCAATCAATCAATCAAGCAAGCAAGCAAGCAAGCAAGCACGCAAACAATCAAGCAAGCAAGCAAGCAAGCACGCAAACAATCAAGCAAGCAAGCAAGCACGCAAACAATCAAGCAAGCAAGCAAGCAAGCACGCAAACAATCAAGCAAGCAAGAACGCAAACAATCAATCAAGCAAGCAAGCAAGCAAGCAAGCAAGCACGCAAACAATCAAGCAAGCAAGCAAGCACGCAAACAATCAAGCAAGCAAGCAAGCAAGCAAGCAAGCAAGCACGCAAACAATCAAGCAAGCAAGCAAGCAAGCACGCAAACAAGCAAGCAAGCAAGCAAGCAAGCAAGCACGCAAACAATCAAGCAAGCAAGCAAGCAAGCAAGCAAGCAAGCACGCAAACAATCAAGCAAGCAAGCAAGCAAGCAATGAAGCAAGCAAGCAAGCACGCAAACAATCAAGCAAGCAAGCAAGCAAGCACGCAAACAATCAAGCAAGCAAGCAAGCAAGCAAGCAAGCAAGCAAGCACGCAAACCATCAAGCAAGCAAGCAAGCAAGCAAGCAAGCACGCAAGCACGCAAACAATCAAGCAAGCAAACAATCAAGCAAGCAAACAATCAAACAAGCAAGCAAGCAAGCACGCAAACAATCAAGCAAGCAAGCAAGCAAGCAAACAATCAAGCAAGCAAACAATCAAGCAAGCAAGCAAGCAAGCAAACAATCAAGCAAGCAAGCAAGCAAGCAAGCAAGCAAGCACGCAAACAGTCAAGCAAGCAAGCAAGCAAGCAAGCAAGCAAGCAAGCAAGCAAGCAAGCAAACAAGCAAGCAAGCAAGCAAGCAAGCAAGCAAGCAGGAGCAAGCAAGCAATCAATCGGTCAGATTCTTCCAAATGTGATTCCTCCACTTCCGCACTTCCGGGGTATCCTTGGATCGCTTCAGACGCCATTCCACTCGATCGAAGCGATCGAGTCGAGGGAACGCATCTGGGAAGAAGCCACCGCCCTGGCGGAGTACTGTGTCGCTGGGAGCCCTGAGTTCAGCGCCAGTGCCCTGAGGGGATGAGTTGGCTGCGGCGCGCCATGCTGTGGGTGGTGCAACATCCGGAATTCGCACCACGAAAGGAAACCATGGGAATGAAACCATTACGTTTGTGGGTATTTACGTTGGAATCGAATCATTCCAGGGTCCTTAGGTAAGGCAGGATTTTGTTTGTCCACAGTATGGAAGAGTTGCAACCATAGTGACCCTGCTATAGGTTATGTGTTGGTGTTGAACCTAAGTGGGGCTTTATGGGTTTGCAATTTATAGCAGGCCCCGGTTGGGGGTGTCGCTTTTCAAGGTTGGAACTAGATGGAACCCCCAACATGGATTTTGGTTTTCCTTTTGGCTTCTCTTCCAAACCAGCCCAAAAAGGAACCCTTAACCGAAAAAAAAAAAAAAAAAAAAAAAAAACACACCTAGAGGCGACCGATTGTTTGTCCCAATGAAATGGCGGGAGCACCACCCTAGTCCATCACGTTTGGCCCTTCTCAAGTGACGGGCTCAACATGCACATGGCGAGCTCCTCGCGAAAAAGGCGCAAGGTTTTCGGCCGGTGAAAGCGGCACACGTTGCCATGTTTGGGGTCCCCTCCTTCTGAGACAAATTGGACCCAAAAGATATCAAACCATTTTTGCGGGGCACTCGAAAAAGGCACTTGAGACTGTCTTGTCAGGTCTCCCTGTCTCCACACAAATTCCCGCACGCGCTCAACTATGTCCCTTCCACATCAAGCATGCAACCCTGGAATGCTTCGATTCCTTTGTTGGTGCATACCAACAAGCTGTCTGGTTTCAACCATGATTTCCTAGGTTGGGTGAAATTCAGGTAGCAACCATCCACAGGTTATGACATGTTATGACCATGGTTACCGCGAAGCCTTAAATCCAAGGGACATTCTGGGGTCAGAGATCCGGTGGAAGTCACTGCTGAGTCCTCCACTGGTGTGGTCGAGATCCAGTTTAAGGCGCGGGATCGCTGGGAGAGACCTATGTGCCTCCCCCCGAAAATGGCGAGAAAAACGGTGTTCCTTCTGGTGCTCCAACAAATAAATCCACTAAAAAGGGGGTACCAACTCACAAAAACGACAGACCCACATCTGTCAAACACGCCAGCGTTTTTGTTTTGAGTTTGGGGTTCCAGCTGAACCTGCCGAGGTGCGTAGAGCTTTCCCCCTGGGGGATGGGAGAGGACCTTTGCTTGCTTCCCTGAAGATGGTACTCAGAGTCATATGCAACCCACAGCCCAAGAGAAATCTGACTGTTCGCCTGGAGTGTAGCCTGGGGTCATTTCCCGTGAGCCTAGGATGAGTCGGGTAATGTTCACTTTGTGCCAATGCGTGTTGGGGAAAAGAGAAGTGTGATTGAAGCCTACAGGCTGCTTTTACAGGTCCAAGCACGTTGATTAGCACAGACACTTCTTTGGCAAGTTGCGGTCCTTGACCCTTGAAGGGGAAGTCGAGGGCTCTGCGGTCCCAAATGGGTGTGGCTCAAAATTAAACAGGAGGGGTTACGCAGGTTTTGGTCCATGTTTCCGCTGACCAGGGTTCCATTTTGGCACCGGTCTTTTGAGCCACACAGCCAAATCGAGACTCTTTTCATTTCGAACAGTTCTCACGTCGGCAGAAGCCCGTCATTGCCGGCGATTGGGCAGGATGAGACGGGCTTCGGGCGCGGAGTAACGCAAGGCGCGAGTCCTTTGCATGGCTGGTCAGAGCTGATTGCTACGTGGCCATGGGTCAAAATCCAAATCGTACCCCCAGTGAACATCCCAATCCCCACTAAAATGGATTAAAATGGACTAAAATGGGTGGTGCACCGACCCCAACATGGCACCATGGGTTTTGACCCACAGCCACATTTATTGGAACTCCCCTTGTTTTGGATATCTGAACTACAGTCCCTGCGCTCAAAGGCGATCCTTACGGGCTACGATTTGTGACGCCCTCTTCGGGGTTTTCCCCTGGCTTTCTGCAGCTCTTGGGAGGCCCAAGAGGAGGGCCCTGGATAGGAAGTCCCAAGTGGAGCAAGAGGGCATGGCAGTTTTTTATTTGGTGCCCCCCCCCCAAATATCGTGGGTGTCCCTTTTTTTTCCCTTTGAACCACCCGAAAACGGGTACCTTCAAAAAGACATACCCAAAAAAGAGCCTCCAGTGATAGCGGAATATAGCGGAATGCATCATACGGTTGGGTTGCTGGTTTCCTCGACCGCGTTGAAAGAATGGGGGATCAACCTTACTGTGGATGGACAAAGCCCTGCACCACTTGGTGAGTGTTCTATCCCTTTATTTCGAGGGTTTCATCTATCCCAAGTGGTGCAGAGTTTATTGTCCACCCACAGCATGTGCAGTGCCCTCGTTTTGGCTTGTCCGGTGGATTCCCCCCTGAATTGGTCAAGCTCAAAAAGGGTTGGCTTTTCTACTGAACGACTGAGCGGCCGAAACCCCCATTGGCCATTTTAATGGTTCTACTACCCTCTTTAGTTGGGGTGATAGATGATGGTTATAAGACCCAAGTATGGTCCAAGTACAACCCTTGCAACCATCTTTGCAGAACCAAAAGTCAGCTCAAGTTGGCTTTCACGGGCCTTTTACTGCCCGCAATGAGACACCGGGCAACCCCGCCAGGCTTCTTCAGCGATGTCGCCAAAGAGCTGCAGCGCTCCTCCAACAACAGCGACGTGCCCATGTGGGCCAGGTATGCCCAGACTAAAGGGCTTCGAAGTTCGCGTTTGGGGGCTGTGGGTGTTTTCCTGGAGTTGGTATGTTGGTATCCCTTTTTTGATGGGTTTAGAAGGCTTAGTCTCTGAGTTTCTGTTTGCTTTAGTCACTGCTTCGTTGGCCAATCCACTCGAAAAGTGAGTCGAGTGGCAGTATGTACGGGTGTTTCCAGACAAATGAACTTGTAGATGCGCCTTCGATTTGCCTAGGTTCCCAATATTTGACCACCTTGTACCACTTGGCCAAAAAACTGTGTATGTTGTTCCCCGCAACCAGAGCATGACCTCCTGAAGGGACTTGGTGGCTGGCTCTGAGGTTTTAGGGTGTAAGGCTTAGTTGGTGGGGTTTCCATTTAACCCACTAGATAAATGTCCTGATCCGAGGGTCGCCCAGGCAATAGGAGTACAACAGCTGGTTGGCCCAACACCAAGGCGCATATCTGTGGCTTCAACCTAGTTGTATTCCCATTGAGGGATTTGAACAGCCTGCCTTGGGGGTCATGTCGTAAGTGTACCAAGTTTGTCCTTCCCCTGGGGTGATTTTAAATGAACGCCAAAAGGACCATCACATGTGTGGGGTTCTCTATAAGACATGCCATGTACAAACACAAAGTGGAGCTTTCTGATTGCAAACCAAAGTTGTCGAACACGTGGCGAAAATTAGTCGCCGCGTGGCTGGACAGTTAGCAGTTATATTCACAACCACACCGTTGTGCCTGGTGGTAGTGAGCTCGACATTGGCTAGGTCCCCCAGCAGTGCCCTTCTCTCCGCTTTTGGAGGGTTCCCCTACTAAAATGGACTACAGAAGAAAGGGTACCCTTATTCTAACCTCTCTACTGGAAGACCTAGTTGGCGAGCCTTTGAGCCAAAGTAGTTGACAGCCTAGTTGACAACCTCGTCGGATGGGACGGGCTTGCAAAGGTGTGCTCCGGCGGTGGGCGCATGTGTGAGGGACATTGGAGTCTCACTGGATATGTCTTATGAAGACCAGGGACTCACCGAAATTGCCCAAAGCCGACCTTTTGACCTTTTGGTTTTTCCTTTTTGGTCTTGTTTTAGTCATGGCCCCAAAAGGTTAACCTTTTATTTCTGGGTTCTTTGGGCAAGTGAGTCACTGAAGTTGCCCCCTCCTCTACCCATCGCCGCGTTTCGAGCTTCAGGCTCAATGCCTGGAGTCGGAGGGTGAGTTCCTCCGCAGCCGCAGGGGACTCATTGTGCGGGCCTCGGCTCGATGTCTCGCGTTTTTGGGGAGCACGTACTTGGGTGAAGGTGGATGGTACAGCTGTACAGCTCCAACCCAGATGGGTTGGATGAGATTTGAGACGAACATCACTCAAAGAATATTATGAGCGAGTTACCGTGGGATGAGAATGGGGACACATTGCTTGACCGCAGTAAAAGTCTCAGGTGGGCTGCAGCACCAAATTCCGATGGCATTTGCTGGCTTCCGGCAGGGCTCGGCCACGGGTTTGAAAACGGTTTGAAGCGTTTGCCGACGGTTGCTTAAACATGTTTTGCCCCACCCAGGATTGCCATGGATTGCCATGGATTGGCAACCCACCCGGTTCTCAGTATTGGCCTCGCATGTATCACCCATCGAAGCCGATGGCAAAGTGTCGCAACAAGGAGCTGAAGGGTCTGCAATGGCTCCTTAGGATGTTGGGACACGTTAAGTGGCTAGCCACCTTGGTTTATAGAAGTCACTCCCTCATTCCTTGCTGAGAACCAGCAAGATTAATTTAAGGAATTTATGAATGAGAATCTCCCCCTTCAATTCGCTTGATCACAACGTACCCCTTGGGGATTCCCACATTTGGAGACACCCCTTCTTTGGTCCCCTTTTGTTGCTTCGACGCACAGCCTGCAATGCACACGCTGTTCAACACACCAGATGGCTATTAAAAAGTGTTGTCCCGATTTGGGACCTCGGAGCCCGCCAAAAAAAAAGGAAACGCGTAGCACGAACATGCCGGCCGTGTTTCCTGATGGACAAAATCCTGCACCACCTAAGAAACCAATACCAACAAACAACGGTTTTCGAGTGGCTTCAAAATGGTGTGAAATAAATTCGTTCATCCACAGTATGTTTTGAAGTTTTGATTGTCCAGGGTACTTCAGCAAATGAAGGCTTGGTGTCCCCAATTTCTTCCGCCTTTGGGTGTTTTTTCTTTTTCTGGTTTTGGCTCCCCTTTTGGCCTCATTGCCTTTTTTGGCTCCCCTTTTGGCCTCATTGCCCTTTTTGGCTCCCCTTTTGGCTCGACCTCCTTTGGCCTCATTGCCCCGTGGCCTCATGGAACTTCATCTCGAGAAACTGGGAGGTGCAGCCTTTGGACGGAGAGGAGTCCCGGCTACCGGAGGTGCTGCAGAGGTTCCGGTCCCTAGGCCCGGTCTTGGGAACGGATGGGAAACGTGGACGGGGATGGGTCGCTGGGATGGGTCCCTGAAACAGCATGGTTGAAACCGTATGAAACCGTAAGGTTTGTTGGTATTTATGTTGGGGGATCGAATCATTGCCTTGGGTTTCTGAACGGTGCGAATGGAGTTCGTCCGTCACTAGGTGGCTGTTTGATCGGTTGGTGTGGCTGTATAATGGATGGGTTCCACTGGTTTACATTGGTCCTATGCCCCATTCAGCAGGGAAACTCATCGATTTGTCCAACAAAAAGTCACCTACGTGGATGTGGTCGCGTCTTTCTTTGAGGCGAAAGGTATCCCCTCGAAGATGAAGACACCCATGTGGGTGACCCTCAAATGGTTTGTCCGGTTTGGGGGTCCAAATGTAAAAGAGGGCTCCAAATCCATTGACCATTGAGGCAAACGCCAGAATATCGGTTTTGCTTTGTCTCAGAATTGGGGGTCCCTCAAAAGTGGTGGAGTTCCCTTGGTTTACCTTTAAGACCACACCAAAAAGGGAGCCATCAAATACGCACAGTGATCCAGGTGGGCAAATTGGAACGAGGTCAATGGCGGAGGGGTGCGATGTCACCCATCTAAACAGCTACCTACTCCACCCCGCTCATCCACTAAGATTATATATATATATGTATACATATGAAGTCTCTCATCGGCACCGGGGCTGGCCGATAATGACGTCGGGTAGGCAGGCAGGTAGGACGGGTAGGTAGGACAAATAGAAGGATAAGTCAATACAGATGGGTATAAACATTCTTATATGGTTGATACGCATGTCTCGCTAGGCCAGACAAACGCCCCGGGTGGCTGGCTCTTTAGACGAGTCGGTCAGCATGTTGGCCTCTTGCTCCATGTGAAGCCCCAGGAGCCCAATTGGGGTTGAGCGAAGGCTCGAGGAGTTGCCACTTTTTGAGACACGAGCCTTCGGCATCCCGTTGCGAGTTGTGTGGAATCCAAACCTCCGGTATCACGGGAGTGATTTTCCAAGGGCCGGAAAGAAATCCGCGGGAGGGATGCTGATTTTGCCTCAATGAGTGGTAGGTGTTTATGCTCAAAGTCGCCCAGATTGGGGCTGGGCAGGTAGGATGTGCCCTGTGTTGTTATCTTTGAGGGTACCCCGCGCCATTTTTTGGGGGGTCCAAGTCCCCGAAAAAACGGCGACGAGCTCGCTCGCCTTCGGTTTCTTCGTCTCGGCTCGCCAGGGCGGCTTCTAGCTCTGGCCCTCAGGGAGTCCTTTGTGGTGCCCTTGCCTTTGTCGGCCCGGGCGCCGAAACCAGAAAACCAGCGGGGAGGTTTGCGGGCGGGTGGGTACCCAGTGGGGAGTGGTGTCGGGGAGAGGGGTCACTTGTTTGGGGGTTGGACTTGGTGCATGGCGGAGTTCACTCGGAAGTGAGACCGATCCAAGCTCTTTAGCCTTTGGTTGTTTGGTTTGTCATAACCAGTAGGTTTTGATTCAGGGGTACCAGGCTTGACTATGTGCCGCTCAAACATCAGGTTTCGGGCAAGTTGAAGTCCATGTTTCTCTGAGTCTGGGTTTCTTTGGGTGTCTTGAGGTTTGCTTGGGCCACTGTTTCTTTGGGCTCGGAACGGCTCGTTCCGTTTTGCTCCATGTGGCAGGTTCTGTCAGCGTCTGAATCAGAATAACAGCACGTTTTGGCGGCAAATGAAGGTACCCTCCCACCCACTAAGATGGCACCAGGAGATCGCTTCAAGAGGAAATTTGTCTTCCGGGTACCTTCCCACAGGTGCTATGTTACAGGGTACTATCAATTTATGACATGGGGTACCACTCTCCTGCAGGCGAGGCGCTTTTGGTACCAACCCAAGTTGTATCTCATCTTAAGGGAGAAAATTGTTTGGAGTGCCAAGGTTGGATCCTAGGCCACGCTGATTGATGGATCCTAGGCCACGCTGCTGCGACAGCTGCGCGGTGGCAAGGTGGGGGGCTGGGAACGGGCTGGGGAGGAGAGGTGGCTGGGGAATGGGTGGCTGATGGGGGCTGTGGACTCCGCAAGAAACGTTGACCCAGGATTAGCAAACCCTGCTTCTTATTCTGGGGGTGGGGGCCCCTTTCAATAGTTGAACCCCCACTAAAGACAGGGACGCCCGCATGTTAATTAATTAGTCTCCCTGGTTTGGCATTAGGGCGAAGGAAAATCTGCAGATCCACGTGATCAGAGCTTGGTTCGCTCTCGTTTGGGGGGGAGGGGCTACGTGGGAATACTCAGAGTTGTTTTTGCAGCAGACGATGTTGCTGCCAAGAAGCCTAAAAAGCCAATGCCATAACTTTAAAAGAAGGTGGTTGCAAGAGGAGGGGTATGGGTGAACACTTCTCTTGTAACACTAGACAAACAGATCAAGCCTACCACAATCCACTTCCCGCTGCAAATCAACCGAAACTTGTTGGGAAACCCGGGACTGCTTTAAAAGGGGCGAAACAACTTCAAACAGACAAAAGATGAGTCTGTCTCAATGCGACTCCTTTTTTGCACAGGGGGACAAAGGGGCGGACCACGCCTAAGAAAAGGCCAGCTGCGGCTTCCGGCGGAGAAGCGGTTAACGACGGCCGAGGGCTCCGTCAGTTGACGCCTCTTCTCGGGCGCGAGAAGCTGATACCGGAGGAGCAAGCGAGCTGGACGCTTCTTCGGGCGTGAGTCCGAAGGCGATCAGGTGCAAAAGGAGCTGTCCGCGCTCGCCGAAAGAAGATGTCCGAGCCCCCCAGTCAGAGTTGTGGACTTGGTTGATGTTTTTTGAAAATCCCAAGAAGGGGGGTATCGGAAAAGGACAGACCCATCACGAGGGCACTCCCCCGCAAGTCTGAGGCATGGGCCAATGGGGTTCAACAGACCTAAGCCAGACATCGGTACCGGATCCGATGCTTTGCGCGACAGGTGGGCTGGGAGCATTTGCCCCAACCCGGGGACGGGCTCTCCGGGGAGTTCGTGGGAGCCTGCACGGGCCCTCAGTGCTCGGCTGGCCGCGGCAACGAGCCGCTGGCTGAACCCCACCAGTGTATGAGCAGATATAAAGAACCTGAGGTGGGGATATACATAGAGAAAGATGCATGGATATTCCCATGCTTTGGTATCCCTCGCCAAAAAGCAGAGCGTCTTCACCGAAACAGGTTGAACCTTCCTATTCATCGACGAGGAATGTGTTTTTTGCCAGGGTTCCAATGCACAAGCCTGCTCCGGAAGTCTAGATGCAAGCACCCCTTACGCAAGTATGAAGCTGTGTTGCTGGTGCTCAGTAGGGAATGACCTTCCGGGTGTTAGGAATGAACCTTAAAGGAAACCATAAAGGATGGTTTAAGGGATCATTCCCTTTTTCCCTGCTGAGAACCAGCACGTTGTGTTGGAGGTCCTTGTGAACGAGATGGTATCGTATTCGCGTAGACCTTTCCTTGCTGATGGCTTTCGGTATGCAAAGCAAGTTGCACAAAAGGCAGCAGCGTGCATTTCGTGTGTTGTCAGGCTGATGCAGTTGACCCCCCCATGTTGATCAGACTATTTGCCGATCATGTCAGATTCCATGGTACAAGAACCCAGTAGCAGGATTCGCAAGGCTGGATTGGCAAGGCAGTTGCTAGGCCACTGAAATGGAAAAGACTGCTCTCACTGAGAGACCTGAGTGACTAGGATAGGCAGCCTGGGGTAGAGTTAGGATTCACTTTACTTTCCACTGGAGTCCAAGAGTGAAACAAGCAATGGATATCCCGCCTCTCCCCAATTCAGCCTGTAAGTTTCCCTGGTGGCTTCCAACGTGCACCGGGTGAATGTGGACGTTTCGGCTTGTTCCAAAAATACGAGGCATTGGCCTCAGCCAGCAAACCCGGACAAATCCCAGACCTCCAGCGGAGTGGTTTGCTTGTTGCCCCCGATTTTTTGCGGGTGTGAGATAGCCTTCAAAATCGAGTCAGGGTTGGCAACTAACCTAGGCTTTTATTCCCTCCAAGCATACAGCACGTGAGGCAGATCGGTGTCCTTTGCAGTTCAGTTTGGTTGAACATATTTGTTACACAATGCCTGCCAAGGAAATAGCCCCAGTTCTAACCCCCGCACACACACACACCAACCACCCGCCCACCCACCCACCTACGCGCACGCACACACACCCACCCACCCACCCACCCACCCGCCCGCCCGCCCACCCACCTACCCACCCACACACCCCTTCCCCTGGGATGTTTTTTTTCAACATCGGGTCGCCCAGGTGCTTCCTTCGCTGCTGATTTACAAGGCCTCAGCCAAGAAGAGAGGCGCAGGGGTTGTCCTCGGCGGTTGGGCGGTCAGTTTCTTTCGCCTCAGGTGGGTGTGTTGTTTTTGCGTTTTTGTTGTTTGTTTTTCTGTTGGTTTCTCTTGAAACACCGCAAAACAAATATTGTTTGACCAAACTTTCTGAGTTGCCCGAGTCCCGCTGGTGCTAAATCGCCGACAGTGCAAGTTTCCCAAAAGGAAGCCAACAGCCGATGGGTCATATGTTATGTTTTGTCCAGACCCCCTATGTTTGGTGGTTCGTTTCTACTGTGGATGGACGAAATCCTGCACCAATTTGAAACCATGGGACACCATTCCATTTGCGGGGTAATAATCATTCCAGGGCTTCTTAGGTGGTGCGAAATTGATTGCGTCCATCCACAGTATGAATCTGCAATTATTGGTTAATCCAGTGGCCGGGGCCCAACCATAAATAGCTGCGGATATCCGCCTTAATTCTTGAAGCATGGTTCTGGGATTAAGACCATCTTACCGGGTTTTGATTGCAAGTGACTCAAATGGGAGGCCTTTTGGAGGGCTCCCTCGGCATCACAAGCAGTCACAACCGACCTCTTTCGGAGTCGCCACATTGACACATGTAGGCAGGCCCCTTGTCAAAAGTTATCGTGTCGGTGTCATTGTATGCCTTTAAAGGTTCACCGCTTATTTTGGGTCATTCAAACTGGACAAACATTTCACGATCTCTCCGATCCGGGGGGAACCGAGTAATTTCACCCATCTGAGCTGAGGGAAAAGCAAGCTCACAATGAAGGTTCCTTGCTTGGGATTCCACATTTCAGATGGAGATATGCGCAGGCCCATGATCAAGGGTCCCTTATTTGTTTTGATTCCCTTGTTTCCGGCGGAATGACAGATTTCTTTTCCCAGGTTGAGAGGGGTGAGAGGCTGACGGCTTTCGGAAAGCTAATGCCTTTTGCAGACACAGCTACCCCTTGGTTTTTGTCTAGCGCCCAAAACCGATTCCCATTGGCCATGTTAGTGGTAGTTCTACTTCCCACGGGTTATAGAAAGGCCTATGGAAAGCTCTATACCCTTCTTAGAACCGACAGTAAATGCGTTTCGGTGGCTCAATTGGAACCCACTTGTCCCCGCAGTCCCATTGCGGGCGTTTTGAGCAAACTTTTGGCGGGACAGATCCTGATCCATTAGGCTGGCTCAGCCGAGCTTCACATTCGATGCAAACATGGACCCCACCCCCACGCCACACCCCCAAAACGCAAATGTGAAGCAACACCCATTGGAAGCTTTCTCTTTGGCGTGGTCCTTGCCGTTTCACGCGTGCCAACCCCCAAAAAACATGTGAACAACAAAATGCTTGAAGCTTCCTTGGGAGGTTTGGGCCATGCTTGCCGGTGCAGGCAGCAGCGCGCAGAGGATCCCGGCTGGGCCGCTCGGTACCTGCAGTCCGCCGAGAGCCACGGGAGCTTCTACGCCCGAAGCCCTGGCTGGCTCCGAAGCGTTCGCCAGGGGTGGCTCCATGGGTGGCTCGTGTTTTTTTTAAGGGGGTCCTCAAAATCAGGGTGTGTTCCTTTTGGATTCCCTGAAGAGAAAAAAAAGCAGCAACATCAAAGAAGGGGTATTATCAAGAAAGACACCCAGTTCCTTGCAATGGGAACTGAGGATTAGCGAAGCCCTAGTGGATTAATAGGGTGGGGGTGGGGGTTCGGACCACTTTTAGAGGGGAACACCCCAGCTATGGGAAGGGTTTCTGAATCCGGGTCATAAAGATATCACCAACGAGTTTCTGGTTGCTTTGGTCACTGTTTGGGTTTGGGCGAATTGTTTTAGTGGCAAACTAAAAAAAGAGGATCTGTTCGGCCAATCCACTTAAGAAGTGATGTAGGTAAGAACGGAAACGAAACAACCCTTTCAAGCCAAAGGCACAATGGTTGGTTGCCTAGACACAATTAGAGAACTGGAATTTCGTGAATCTACTTCCGGGCATTTCCCACCGGCAAACGATTTGGTCCCTTGGAGATTGTGAATTTCGGCCGAGAAGCCCTGCGTTGCAAGCCCTGTGTTCAGTTTGTTGAAGAAATCTCACTACCCAAACATTGAGGCGCCCCTTTCTTCTCATGCAAATTATAGTGGGTGAATTGTAGTATTTTTCCGGATACTTGGGGTGGTCAAAACACGTCAGGTAGGCTAGAACTATATGACAAGAAGGACTGGGGTTTAAGTATAGTCCCCCCTTTCGGTCTTTGAAAGGCTCTCCTTTCAGTCTCATTTCGGTTGGCGATATAGGGAACGCTGGGTTTGGCCAAAGTGTCCAGATGCTCACATTACCCGTTCAATGCGGGTGACGTACCCCAAGAAACAGCTACCTTTCTGGGGCATGTTGTTCCTAGTGGTCGTCGTTGTGGTAGCTGTAGTGAATATGATAGTACGTCACTCAGGTTTGTCAGGACTGGTACATCACCTCTCAACCCCCTTTTTTACTGCTGGCGCAGAAGCAGTTCTTTGGCGCCGAGCGTCACACGCAAGGTGACTGATGCGTTGTAAAGCCAGGTCAAGGCAGTGTTCAATGTCACCTTTGGTCCAAAGGCAGGAGTTGCTGTACATCCTCCTGTTTGAATATGTTGTTTTGAACGACCGCATTGTCAAGCGGCCTTGTTTGTGACACACCCACGCTGCTTGTTTGTCGCAACAGCAACATCGACGCCAGAGATGTCAGCGGCTCAGTATCCCCCCATTCTGTTCAGGGATCCTTCCCTTCAGAAAGTCAGCTCACACCCTTAAGATTGGACAATAAGTTGGCTGTGAAGAGAACGATGCGTAAAGAGGATGGAGAATCATCAAGACCCGTTGTACTCCAAAGCCTTCAAACAAAAAAGGCAAGGAATGCATGCGCATCACTGGCAGCTTAGTGTTACTTGCATGGGAATTTGCAACTCTCCTACAAGCCCAACTATCTTATCAACAAGTGGAATGTAAAAGAAGGCAGACACCGTTTCAGAGGTGTAACCAGGGAAGTCATGGGAAGTTATGACGTTAATTCTTCTGAAAGCCCGTGTTTATGGCTCATCAGTTCTCGATGTGTTCGGCTGGTGTTTTTCACAGAACTGACCCCAAAAAGAGAGGTGTTTTGTTCTAACAGGGTCACTCAACTGAGAGCAAGTCAAACCATCCACAAGGGTTTGGGTTTAAGGCTTGGCTTTCCAAGGAAGAAGGCCAAATCGGACTAAATCAGGGCTTAAGGGTTGAGGGAGTCTTTGGGTCAGGGAGGTAGGTACTGCGGATGGACAAACTCCACTTTGGACAAACTATGGATGGCACCCCACAAATTAAAATATCGGATCAACCACCTACGAACCGGTACTGTTGACCCCAGATTCATTAATACGTCCTCTTCGTAGGCAGGTATTTCCCTTAAAAGCGCCTCGGAGTTTGCTCTTTTCAACGAATACCAAACCAGGGTTTCTACTTAGATCCGGGGTTCCCATTGTTTACTGGGGGTATGCGTCAAAATTGGGGAACCCATTCCCCACTTGCGTCTCAAAGTGGTATCTGAAGACTGCTCGGACCCAACAGCCCGGAACCCAGAGCCAAAATTTGGCTTGCTGGTGCGATAGGGGAAGGACCTTCCAGGTCTTGGGAATGACCTTTGGGGATTTTGTCTTACAGGAAATGCCAACTCGGGGATGGCTTTTTGCCGGGGTTTCTCATTCGTTGCCTATGGAACCAGCAAAATGGAGCCTATCGACCCCATTGCCGTGTCCGGCGCGTGGGTCACTGTACCCCAAACGCTTGTATTGAATGATCATCTTGTCCCGGAATTTAGCATGAAGTAATTGATGATGTATCTCGGGGATTCTCATTTCCTGCTTCTCATTCCCTGCCCTATCGACCCCATGCCCACCACCTCAGAGACCCTGGAGGGATGATCAAGCCTATGGTTTCAACCAGGGTTTCCAAGTGGTGCGACATGGATTTCGCCACCCTCCCCAGTAGCCAATCCAGCGGTCGGAATTCCCAGCCGGACGTGTCGCTAGGACTGGGCCACGAGCGCGGAGTTCGTGGCCACCGGCTTCGGCGGCCCGGCGCTGCCGGGGGGGAGAAGCGCCACGCGCCTCGGAGAGCAGAAGTCGCTGCCGGCCGGCCGCCTGCGAAGAGATCGATCTGCGAAGAGGTGGCCCTTCCCTTGGTCTTCCAAGGGCCCGCGAAAACGGGGTCCTGCTTGAGTTGGCTCTTGGTTGAAAAAAGGCGAATCAGCCAAAGGCCTGCTTTTTCAGGGTCCTGGAAGACCAAAGTTCTGTCCCACTCCCCGAGTTCATGAACTTTACTCAGTTTTTGGGTTTGGACCATTTAGTGGCAAACATTAAAACAAACATGGACTTTGTTTGTCCAGTCCACTCGGGAAGTAAGTTGTGGCGCTCTGTTCTTTTTGGCATCCTTTCGTCCTGGATGTCCTTCATTCTTCCTTTTCAGCCGACAAAAGGTTTGCTTGTTTTTTTTTTGCTGGGGTCTAAGTCTAGTCGTTTCTGGGGTCGCGGTAGACAAAATGGAACGAAGTTAGAAAACACGATTTTCAGTGTACCCCAGCGGTGGGGTGACAGGAGAGTGGGTCAAAAGGCAAATGAAGGGTGCTCTGCTGCACTTTCCCCTATTGCAACTGAAGTCGCGAGTTTGATGATTGATTAACTTAGGTGCAAGGAGTCTTCGCTGAAATTTGACATGTTGGGCCTCGAGATGCTACTGGTCTGTTTATGCCATGATTGTCCGGTTGGCTTAGTTGCCAGTATGTTTCTAAATGTAAACCAGGTTCTGTGTGTGTGTGTGTGTCTTGGCATAATATGCCAAGTTCATCAAACAGGTAGTGATGTTGTTTTTGTCGAGCTGTTCTGGTCCCATTCGTTGTGTTTGTGTGTGTGTGTGTCTACCATACGGTATGTTACTGTCCAGGCCTTCTTTGGCGGCAAAGCACATGTCGCAATCCCCCCAACATGCGGGGCATCTTGACTGCTTGATATGTGTGGCTCTGTAAATTGTATGAGAAGTGTGGGATTCCCATTACTAGCTGTGTATACCTGTACTTGTTTGCGATTCTGCCGTTTGCTCTCCTGCACCTTAAGGTTTCAAGGGCAAACGGAGCATGCTGGCCCTCCAACTAGGGCGTTTACTAAGGCGAACCCACTAGGACTCCTCTACGGTACTTGTTCATACGTTTGCGTTCCATCTTCGGCAGATCACTGTGAATTGGAGGAGGGGTCACGGTGGAAACAACCTGAAAAATGACATGACCCTCCCCGCATCAGTCATGAAAGTATGGAAGTGGACGATCGAGGGTTCCCAAACATGAACATCGTCTTAAACCCCGTGGATCGTCCAGGTTGCGGAGAGCAGGGAGAGCCCCCCCTCCTCCAATAGGGTGGGGGCGCGCACGCCCCACCCCCCCACCCGACCCCACGCCCGGACCCACTCACCCCCCAGCGCACAGGAGCACCTCCAGCGGCCTGCGCCAGGTCACCCTCGACAGCGCGGCGCCCAAATCCGAGCGCCCACATCACCCCGAAAGCTGGGCTATCCTTCCCTGGGGTACGCAAGGAACTGGGGTACTGCATGCTGGGGTCATGTTGGTGGGCTTTCTCAATGTCAGCAACTAGGGTGTGTCCCTTGAATCACTTTGGCAAGGACCTTGACCAGGAAAAAGTGGATCCAGTTACCCTCAAGGAACGACAATTTTCCTCTAAAATCTCAAAGAGGAGTCCATTTCTCTGGTGGGTTCCATGTTGCAAGGTTAGTTGTTGAAAGAGAATTACAATTGAGCAAGGGGGACCAAATCACCGAAATACCGGCTGACTCAGAGGATCCCCTGAAGTAGCTTGTTTTCGTCGACTTTCGGCTGTCTGCGAAGCCCTGATCAAGCGCATGTCGCTCGAACGAACTCGCGGAAGTGGTGAGTGATATGGCGATCAACGGGCTGGGCGCTCGTCAGTGACATGGAGGGCTGGGATGCTTGCTGGCGCCTCTGTCACGAAGCGATGGCCGCTTGCGCGCGCCAAGCGCTTCTGTCGATGCCGCACAAACTGGACCCGTGGAAAGGGTCTTTGCGCCAAGGGGCCTTCACAGACCCGGCGGCCCGGCGAGCGCCAGAATTGCTTGGACAACACAATGTGTTCACTCGCTCGTCAAAGAATCATGGTGCACGCTGGGCGGCGCGCGCATGCCCTGCACGGAGATTGTGAACTCTTGCGTTGGCCTTCCGTTTCTTCAAGAAGTCCTGGAGCTTGCTCTTGGTTGTTTCTGGACAGCCCCTTTGTTGCGAAGATCATCTTAGGTAACGACAGGTCCGCTTTTCCTCCCTGGACAGACTACTCGGGGGGTGAGCGGTTGTCAAAAGGTTCTTGCTGGATGTGCGATCATGGTTGATTCAGACGGCGTGTTGCTTTCATGCGCTCAACAGAGTCTGCTCTGCAAGGAAGCATCCTGCCAGGCAACCCCCATGTTTGAAAAAACTGAAAAAAATAGGCCAGCCATGTGCAACCGCAAATGGTCTCTAGTTTTGATACTTCCCCAAGCACGATTGAGTAGGTCATTAGGTCAAACTATACTGAGCTGACCGATCAGGGGCGACAGGAGCTCATGCATGTTAAAAACTCCCTCATTTCAAAGGGTTCTTGCTTCCTGTGTTGATTTCAGAACGCACTTGACAACGAGCGCGACCCGAGACCCGAGACCCGAGACCCGAGACCCGAGACCCGAGACCCCGAGACCCGAGACCCGAGATCCGAGACCCGAGACCCGAGACCCGAGACGCGAGACCCGAGACCCGAGACCCGAGATCCGAGACCCGAGACCCGAGACCCGAGACGCGAGACCCGAGACCCGAGACCCGCGACCCGAGACCCGAGATCCGAGACTCGAGACCCGAGACCCGAGACCCGAGAGCCCGAGATCCGAGACCCGAGACCCGAGACCCGAGACGCGAGACCCGAGACCCGAGACGCGAGACCCGAGACCCGAGACCCGCGACCCGAGACCCGAGACCCGAGACCCGAGACCCGAGACCCCGAGACCCGAGACCCGAGATCCGAGACCCGAGACCCGAGACCCGAGACGCGAGACCCGAGACCCGAGACCCGAGATCCGAGACCCGAGACCCGAGACCCGAGACGCGAGACCCGAGACCCGAGACCCGCGACCCGAGACCCGAGATCCGAGACTCCAGACCCGAGACCCGAGACCCGAGAGCCCGAGACCCGAGACCCGAGACCCGAGATCCGAGATCCGAGACCTGCGACCCGAAACCCTGAGACGCGAGACTCCGAGACCCGAGAACCGAGACCCCGAGACTCGAGACCGGAGACTCCAAGACCCGAGACTCCGAGACCCGAGATCCAAGATCCGAGACCCGAGACTCCGAGACTCCGAGACCCGAGACTCGACCCGAGACTCCGCGATAGGACCCGAGACCCAAGACCCAAGACCCGAGAACCGAGAGCGTTCAACACTACCAAATGTAGCATGTCCGCACCCGCTTAGCACTGTATCCATGCCAGGCAGACGGGAAGAACACCCGTTCAAGTGCACCCGCTTAGCACTGTATCCATGCCAGGCACATGGTAAGAACACCCGTTCAAGCGCAGCCGCTTAGCACTGCATCCATGCCAGGCACACGGTAAGAAGACTCGTTCAAGTGCACCCGCTTAGGTTCAAGTGCACCCTTAGCACTGTATCCATGCCAGACACATGGTAAGAACACCCGTTCAAGTGCACCCGCTTAGCACTGCATGCGTGCAGCACAGTGCCAGTAAGAACACCCGTTAGCAATGTGCACCCGCTTAGCACTGCATGCGTGCAGCACAGTATCCATGCTGGCAAGTGCACCCGCTTAGCGCCATGCCAGGCACATGGTAAGAACACCCGTTCAAGCGCACCCGCTTAGCACTGTATCCATGCCAGGCACATGGTAAGAACACCCGTTCAAGTGCACCCGCTTAGCACTGTACCATGCCAGGCACATGGTAAGAACACCCGTTCAAGTGCACCCGCTTAGCACTGTATCCATGCCAGGCACATGGTAAGAACTCCCGTTCAAGCGCACCCGCTCAGCATTGTGTCCATGCCAGGCACATGGTAAGAACACCCGCTCAAGTGCACCCGCTCAGCACTGTGTCCATGCCAGGCACATGGAAAGAACACCCGCTCAAGTGCACTCGCTCAGAACTGCATGCCAGGCACATGGTAAGAACACCCGCTCAAGCGCGCCCGCTCAGCACTGTATCCATGCCAGGCACATGGAAAGAACGCCCGCTCAAGTGCACTCGCTCAGAACTGCATGCCAGGCACATGGTAAGAACACCCGTTCAAGCGCGCCCGCTTAGCACTGTATCCATGCCAGGCACACGGTAAGAACACCCATTCAAGTGCACCCGCTGAGCACTGTACCCATGCCAGGCACATGGTAAGAACACCCGTTCAAGCGCACCCGCTTGGCACTGTATCCATGCCAGGCACGCGGTAAGAACACCCGTTCAAGTGCACCCGCTTAGCACTGTATCCATGCCAGGCACATGGTAAGAACACCCGTTCACCCGTTCAAGTGCACCCGCTTAGCGCTGTATCCATGCCAGGCACATGGTAAGAACACCCGTTCAAGTGCACCCGCTTAGCACTGTATCCATGCCAGGCACATGGTAAGAACACCCGTTCAAGTGCACCCGCTTAGCACTGTATCCATGCTGGTGAGAACACCCGTTCAAGTGCACCCGCTTAGCACTGTATCCATGCCAGGCACATGGCAAGAACACCCGTTCAAGTGCACCCGCTTAGCAGTGTATCCATGCCAGGCACATTGTAAGAACACCCGTTCGTTTAGCACTGTGTCGATGCCAGGCACATGGTAAGAACACCCGCTCAAGTGCACCCGCTGAGCATCTATGCCAGGCACATGGTAAGAACACCCGTTCAAGTGCACCCGCTTAGCACTGGTACGAACACCCGTTCAAGTGCACCCGCTTAGCGCTGTATCGATGCCAGGCACATGGTAAGAACACCCGCTCAAGTGCACCCGCTCAGCATTGTGTCCATGCCAGGCACATGGTAAGAACACCCGTTCAAGCGCGCCCGCTTAGCGCTGTATCCATGCCAGGCATATGGTAAGAACACCCGTTCAAGTGCACCCGCTTAGCACTGTATCGATGCCAGGCACGTTAAGAACACCCGCTCAAGTGCACCCGATCAGCATTGTGTCCATGCCAGGCACATGGTAAGAGCACCCGCTCAAGTGCACCCGCTCAGCACTGTGTCCATGATAAGGCTCAAGTGCACCCGCTCACCACTCTATCCATGCCAGGCACGCATATTACCCGCTCAAGCGCGCCCGCTCAGCACTGTTTCCATGGCAGGCACATGGTCAGAACACCCGCTCAAGTGCGCCCGCTCAGCGGGTAATGTGTGTGCCTGGAAGGGATAGAGTGGTGAGCGGGTGCACTCGAGCCTTATCATGGACACAGTGCTGAGCGGGTGCACTTGAGCGGGTGCTCTTACCATGTGCCTGGCATGGGCACAATGCTGAATGGTGCACTTGAGCGGGTGTTCTTAACGTGCCTGGCATCGATAGAGTGCTAAGCGGGTGCACTTGAACGGGTGTTCTTACCATATGCCTGGCATGGATACAGCGCTAAGCGGGCGCGCTTGAGCGGGTGTTCTTGCCTGCCAAACGCTCCCTCATGCGCACCCCAGCACTGTACACATACCCGAGACCCAAGACCCGAGACCCGAGACTCGAGACCCAATACCGAGACCCGAGCCCGCTCAGCACTGCGCACATGCCTGCCAAATGGTAAGCACGACCCTCACGTGCACCCGCTCAGCACTGCACACATGCCTCTCACGTCACCCGCTCAGCACTGCGCCCGCCAAATGGTAAGCACGCCTGCTTACGCGCGCCCTAGATTCGAGATTCGTGATCCGAAGCCCGAGACCCCGAGACCCGAGACCCCGAGATCCGAGACCCGAGACCCCGAGACCCGAGACCCGAGACCCCGAAACTCCGAGACCCGAGATAGACCAGACCCGAGACCCGAGATGCAAGACCCGAGACGCCGAGACGCCGAGACCCGAGACCCAAGACCCGAGACCCGAGACCCTAGATCCGAGACCCGAGACCCGAGACCCGAGACCCGAGACCCGAGACCCCAGACCCGAGAGACACCCGACGACCCGACACCTGAGACCCGAGACCCGAGACCCGAGACCCGAGATCCGAGACCCGAGACCCGAGACCCGAGACCCCGAGACCCGAGACCCGACACCCCGAGACCCGAGACCCGAGACCCGAGACCCGAGACCCGAGACCCGAGATCCGAGACCCGAGACCCGAGACCCGAGACCCCGAGACCCGAGACGCGAGACCCGACACCCGAGACCCCCGAGACCCGAGACCCGAGATCCGAGACCCGAGACCCGAGACCCGAGACCCCAAGACCCGAGACCCGACACCCGAGACCTGAGACCCGAGATCCGAGACCCGAGACCCGAGACCCGAGACCCGAGACCCGAGACCCGAGACCCGAGACCCGAGATCCGAGACCCGAGACCCGAGGCCCGAGACCCGAGACCCGAGACCCGAGACCCGAGACCCGAGAAGTGTCGGGGAGCCGCGGGCCCATTGTCAAGTTCGATCTCGTTGATTTGTAAGTTGGCCACAACATGTGCTTCAGAAACAAGTGATCTAAGTGGGGGTTGTCATATTGGGAGACCTTACTTCAGGTGTGAGCCCACAATCAAAACCAGGGCGCTTGTGAAGGTTAGGGGACTGCCCATTTCAGAATGCGGCCGCCCTCTAGATTCTTCGCATGGGTTTTCGGCACCCCCCCCTCCCACAAAACATGGCACCTGTCGGAGGGTGGACGAACCAGAAGGGATCCCCTGTCAGGTGCCATGTTAGTGGGAGAGAGGGTAGACCATTCAAATATCAGCGTTTGACTACCCAAGTCAAGGTACTAGAGTGAGAAGGTCCGCTTTCCATATTGCCTCTTGAAAAGGCCCCCCGTGTCCACTTCATTGGAGGCGAAGACAGGGCAACCTTTTGGTTGGTAGGTGTCTTCAACTTTCTGGTGAAGGCCAACAGATCAGTGTTTTTTGTCTGTCCAACATGTAGATTCGGTGCAAGTCGGAAGCCCTCTATGATTTGTTCGTAACCGTTCAGGATTGAGACTGGTCCGCATGGTCCCCTTGGTAATGAACGACTCGAATTGTCAAATTCATCCGCGGATGGGAGATTGGAGATGACTCCCTTTTTCCCTTTCAGACCGGGGATTTTGACAGAGGAATCTAGTATCCAAAGGGTTTGAGTCCAAAAGGTCGAACGCTTGTGTGAGGGTCTTCTAGAGCCGCTCCAAGCTAATCCGGAGCCTGAGCAGAGCCAAAAGCTGTCCCATGGGGGTTGATCAAAAGGTCTGTAGAATATATGGCACGACCAGTAGAGCAACCACCAGGAAACAGTGACTTTCACCACATGGGAAGATTGCATCTTGTTTGGACCTGTGAGCAACAAAAGACAGATGAGAAAGGTGGCATTTGCGAAACCTGAAAGGCAGCTACTCGACGTGAAAGACCCAACGCTCACAACATCCCTTTCTGCATGAGAAAACAATTCCACGGTCATTTTGGGGCCGAACCCAAATATTGATCAACCCCCACATGCAGAAAGAGGGAAACTGAGACTGGCCATACATTGCGCCTGTCTACCATGTTTAGACCTCCAAATGAGTTTGTCTCAAAATAGGCGCACACCCAAACTGCTTCTTGTTTTCCTTCTGGATTCCCCCAAAAAACACGCAACCAACCAGATGGCATCCTTGAGCCACCCAAATGGAGGTCTCCATTCGGACGGAGTAGGTCTGGAGGACTTTGTGGAAGCGGCGACCTCCTTCTGGTTGGACACCGGCGTACGGCAGCAGGCGGAGAGATCCAGAGATCCGGATCGGCAGATTTAAATGGTGGAAGGATCTGGTCAAATCGACTTTTCAGTCACTTTTGAGGTTTGGAACATTTTGGTGGCAAAGATACAGTGTTTTTTTTGCCAGTCCACTAGGGAAGTGAGTGAGGGGGTTGCCGTTGGGTTGCATCGAAACCAACAAAAAGGGTGCTCTAAAAAAAACACATATATGCACACTCTCAGAAGTTTGAGAGATTGACCCTTCAAACGCTTGGTGTTTTTGCTGATGGGTAACTTTGCATGGCGGGCCAATACGAAACCCAATCCCAAAGGGACTCAGCCGAGACTTATTGGGCAGGAGAAGGTGGCAGCCAGTTGAGGACACACCATCCTCTTTCCAACAAGGTGGAAATGGACAGGAGGGTTTTGGACGGCGGGCATCACTTGATCATTGGTTACCCTTTGCACACAAAGGGTATTAAAGCGGTTCAAAGGTCAACCCACGGAAATCAACACTGAATCTATCCTCTCTTTCACAGCCCTCCCCCCGTTTCCTTTTTGGAGAGGTTCAATGTCATGACCAAGGCGATGCCACTTTGAGTGGTTGCCCCGAACTTTGAGCTGAGTATATGTGTGTACGTGCGTACGTGTGTACGTAATATGATATTTATAAATATCTAGTGTTTGTATGTGAGTATAAGTACATAAATAGGTGTATGTGTATTAAATATGTGATTCCCGATTTGTGTGGCTCAAGAAAAGGCACCCGTGCGGTTTAGCACTTGTAGGTTATGAGCCCAACGCTGCTCGGGTAGGCCCCTCGGAATGGATGGTTGGCATGAGGAGAAGACGACCCAGGTGGAGGGGGCCGAGGAGCGGCCCAGGGACCTGCCGAGGGTTTCAGAAGGGGAGATGGCGGAGGGAACTCATCCGGGAGAACCGCATGGACATGATCGCGATCAAGAAGGGTGGCGCAACACGGAGATGACGAGCAGCGGCAGGTCGGAGTTCTGGAGCGATGTGAAACGGAGCTTGCAGGAGGACCTGGAAAAGGAAAGCGGGCCAAACGATGAGGCGGAGCAGAGGAAGCAGTGGCGACAGCCATCGTGGACCTCTTGGAGGGTGGCCTCCAGATGCTCGAGAAGGGGATTATGCAGGAGCACATCGACATGGAGCAAGATGGTGGAGGTCCCGGAGCTGAATGTGACCAGGATGAAGCCAGGGCAGCAAACAGGGCAGGCTTCGGAGCTCCACATGGTCTGGAATCCGGCGACCAAGACGTGGATTCCGGAAGGGAACTTGCCGTTGGGTTTGAGATATGAGGAGGACGATGAGCTCATCCCGGAAAGGAGATGGAGACATGTTCGACGCGCAGGAGGCCATGGAGAGGCAGCTCATGCATCAAAGAGTTTCAGCGGGTGAATCACGAGGTGCTGTCTGAGGCTGAAGGCGGCAAAGCTTCCGGCGAAGGAAGAGCAATGGAGGAGGCATGTGGAAAACCAGCACATCCCACATCGTCGAGATTGTCGTGTTTGTATCGACGAGTCCGTGCTCCCAACCAACATGTTCACTCGCAAGGCCGGGTCGGGCATGAGGAAGGTGCGGGCAGTTGTGTGTGGAAATCAGCTGGTCGCGAAGGAGACAAAGGAAGAGGTCTTTGCTGGGGGCGTGGATGGCATAGCCCTGAACACAACCCTTCGCAAGGTGGCCTTTGAGGAATGGAAGGTGGGAACTGTGGATGTCAAAGCAGCCTTCTTGCAGGCACCAAACCGACGGCAGCGGCTATTGGTGGTGACTCCGCCAAAGTTGTTCGGACAGGCGGGAATCACAAAGCCAGATGAGCGGTGGTTGAAGGCTCTCTATGGAACAGTTCAGATGGCTGGTGAATGGAAAGGAGCACAAGTATGTCGATGACATGCCGGTGGCGGCGGAGGAAACGGTCATGAAGGGATTCATGGATCGCTTGCAGCAGGAAGGAGCCGGTTTTTTGTGTGCGGCGTGGAGGTTTGAGAAGGATGGTGGGCTTTGGTTGGGCCAGTCGGCGTACATCTGGGACCTGGTGGAGAGACATCCGGAGGTGAAGAATGTGGATGTGCCGGCGGTGAAGGTGGAGCTGAGCCGGAAGAAGATCGGACCCCGGAAGAGTAGCGCAGGAGAGCTTCTGTGGGTGTCAACGAGAACGAGACCGGACGTGGGATTTGCGGTTGAGCAGGCATCAAGAATGGTGGCAAAGCACCCGACCAAGGCGCTGTGTGCGAAGCAGATCCTGGGCTATCTGAAAAATACGGACGACCTGGGCATCATCTACAGGAGGGTGGCGCCTGGGTCGTCAAGGTATGGGGACATTGAAGATTCAGGCGGACGTGAGCGGCAGGCCTGAATGACATTATCAACAGCGGAAGCAGAGCTGACAGGCTATGTGCAGGCGACAGCGATCGGAGAGGCGGTGTCGACACTGATGGAACTGCTGGAAGGATCCAAGGTCAAGAAGATGATTCTGGGAGACAACGCGGCGGCCATCAGCAAACGTGCGCACGGCGGTCAAGGCACCTGAGATGTCGGGCTGAGTTGGCAGAGCTCATCGAAGAAGAGGAGTGGAGGTTGAGGCATTTGCCAGGGAATCTTCTGGCGGCGGATGGGTTGACCAAACCGCTGGCAAGGACCCAGTTCGAGAAGCGCCGAGGAGGAATGCGCCTGGAAGTGATCGAGGTGAAGAAGATCAAGAAGGCGCTGGGCAAGAAGGTCATGGAGACGGTCGGAGCAGCAGGGTGGCTGACGGTGGACAAGTCAAAGGCAGTGATCGGCATGTTGAGCTTGGTGCCATCGAGGTGGTGGAGATGAACCAGCTGCGGGGGCAGCGGTCGTGTGAAGGGAGGGCCGCAGCGGCTGGAAAGGTGGAGTTGGGCATGGAGTTGGGCAAACCAGAGGACGAGAACAAGGCATGAAGATGCCGGAGGTGGTGGAGTGAGGACTGCACGGCCCGGGCCGATAGGCTGCTTTACGGGTGCAGAAGGCACCCAGGAGTGTGATTCCCGATTTGCATGGTGGCTCAAGAGCAAGGAGCCCTGCGGTTTAGCACTTGTAAAAAATAATATATATATATATATACATATAGCAGCATAATACATACATTTATTTGTACCCCACCCCACATTTCAGCCCACGGCCCCCTGCTTTTGGTTTTAGTTTTCCAGGTGCAGGCGCTGCGGAAGGGCGTGTGCGACGTGCTGGGCCGGTCGCGGGCCGGCGCCCTGTGGCTCTTCACGCCGCTGGAGCCCGGGACGCCCAGAGCGAGTGACCCATGAGCTGAACGAAGCCTCCCTAGCGCTGATTTGCAAACAGCTAAGAAACCCGAAAGGTCCAAGAAAATTGTTTTTCCCAAGGCTTCCTTCACAAACTCAAGGAAATGTAGGGAACTGCAAGAAATTGCAAGCGCTCCTAGCGCTCTTAGCTAGCAGCTAAGAGGGTGGTCCAAAGGGGGTTTCCCCTAAGGCGCCCTAAGGAACGCGAGGGAACCTGCAGGTGTCGGGCTTTCAAACTACCCACCCCCCTTGTACCCCTCAGCCTCTCTCGTCTCCTTTCTGGTGTTCTGAATTGGTGGTTTGGGTTGGTGGTTTGGATGTGAGGCCCTGGTTCTTGTAGAGGCTGGGAAAGCCTAAGCCACCAAACCACTAATTGGAGGGAATCCCTAGAGGGCGGGGGTGATCCAAGGGGGGGTTGGTTCCTTAAGCCTGCCCAAAACACCAAAGAACCGTAAGGAACCCTGAGGAACCCTAAAGAAACCTAGGGCTCTCAACTACACGCCCCCCCCGAACTTACCTACCCCCCCTACAGATTCCGTAAACCGAGGCTGCGAGAGTTGCTCTGCGGGGCGGAGGATGTCACTTGGACCAGCCAGGAGTGGCCGTGAGCTCGCTTCGGCGTGGACGAAGCGAGTCTTCCCAAGTTGCGACTGAACGCACGTGCTGTAAGGTTCTTGGTGTAGAGATCCTTGCTTGGAGTTACAGTGATTTTCTCCCTGCCCCAGCAAATATTATAAGCTTCCTTTCAGAGAGATCCATTGTAGGTGGTGGATTACTACGCCAGCAAGCATGGCTTGGTGCAAAGACCATGTTGGAAGGCTACTACGTATCCTTTTTGCGGGCTTCCATGGAGGCGACCCAGAAGAAAATCATGATTCCGCCCTCGGGACTTGGGCAAAACAAGTGAGACGGCCGCTTTCATACTGTGGATGGACAAAATCCATTCGCACCTCTTTGAATCCATGGGAACCCATTGTTTGTTGGCGTTTGTATGGAATCATCCTTCCAGGGCTTCTTAGGTGGTGCAAAATGGATTTCGCAACCATCCACAGTATATAATACAAAACAGTTTTCGATTCGTGACTCGTATGATGCACCCAGACTCAGTGTGAAACCCGAGTTTTGGCGGCTGGCAAAGGCCCGCGTTTAAACGGAATGCAGCATAAGATCTTCCTTTACCCATTTCCGGCTCAAGGAACGGGTTTCTGTCAAACGGCATATGCAGCAGGGGTACGCATGTCAAGGAAGGTGCCCGCCGTCGTGTTCGGAAGTCATGTTGAAGCGGCATCCGGGGGATCCAGAGCCCAGCACTTGAAGGCTGAAGCATACAAGCAGAGCAGCCAACGTGCCTGGCACCCGCGATTCCTCACGTTGCTGGACTTGATGAAAAGCCGCAGGTTTCTGGAATGATATGTTTTGCGCTCACAGAAGTCCAGCGCGGGACTCTTGGCAGATGCCAGTGCCGAATTCGGCCGGTACAACCTTATGTTGTTGCGGTTGGATCAGCAACCGACCAGGAATCTGGTCCAAGAATAGTCGCCAACCTGAATGATCCTCTTGGAGGTTTGGCGGAAATACAAGTTTATTGGTTGTATTTCACAAAAAGCAACCCCAACCCCAAAATGACCTTCGCCAAATCGCCCTTTGGTATTGAGGAATCGGGTGTTGGGGAATCGGCCCTTGACAACCATAGCAAGGATGGGAGTTCCTAGGCGGAGCTTGGCGTGCGAGTTGAGCCCACAACTTCTGTTTTGCAGGTGCTTCAGTTGGACACCCTGTGGTTTTGGGGCGGTTGACCATGTTCAGGTTCTTCTCAGGTGTTTTCGATTGGTTTGGAAGTTTTCACTCTCGGCTCTTCTCCCAGCTGCTCTCCCTGACAGCTCGTCCAGGACCTCTACGAGCACTTGCACGTGGCCGGGGGTCTGGCGCGAGAGGATGAGGTCATGGTCTGGCTCCGGGACGAGCTCTTGGAGATGAGTCAGGCTGCGGAAGCGCGAAGCGCGCGCGTGGAGTTTTGTCTGGGCAGCTTTCAGGAGATGCCGCAGAAAACCCAGAAAGCGTGAAAGGGAACCCTTTGTGACACGGTTTGACAGCGCTTCCTGATTTGTCAAAGGCGTTTCAATCATTTTTGTCCAACCAATGAAGCTTGGAGCAGTTTGTAAGATATCCTCAAAAAGATCCAACCCATTTTGCATGTTGTCGGAAGGGCCCGGTATATGTGTCCAAAGTCTAGAAACAGGGAGACCCGTTTAGGGGATTTATGTCTACGATTTTGCGGGGGTCCCATAAGTCATATAAACATAATATAAACATATTATGTCTCAAGATGGTGATACGTGTTTCACACAATGGTAGAACCTCTTTTGTTTGGCGTTTAAAGGGAAACCAAAAGGACACCAACCTCTTATTTTAGGGGACTCCTACTTTGAGACAAACCCAACTTGCATGTTTCTTGTTCGCCACTTGACTGTTGCTTCTTCTCTGTGCTTGTTTGCTCTGCTTATGTCTTCATTCCCCAGCTTGCATGATCGGAGCTTCCGTTTGCGTTTTTGAGACCACAAACCCCACACCAGTTAGGTCACTCAAAGCCAATAGGACCAAAGCCATGAGCAAATGGAAGACGTGTTTGTTCCATGCGTCAGAACATTTTGTTTTTGAGACAAACCCAATGAGAGGGAAGTGGTTGGTCCTTTGTTTAAAGGGAAACCACAAGGACACCGAAGCCTTTTATTTGCGACAAACCGGAAGAAGCTCCAAACCCCCTTTTGGTGGGTTTTAATGGGAAGCCGAAAGGACACCGCGGCCTTTTTTTTTAGACAGACCCAATGAGAAGAAGCGGGCGAGCTTTGCAACAAAACTCGGCAGGGCCTGCGTGCGCGGTTCCTGGACTTCGCCACGTCGTGCCCTCGCCTGCCCCCGGGAGGCCGCGAGCCATGGGGAGAGCCTTTGAGGGGAAAGGGCAAGGTGGGAAGTCTCTCTGCATGGGGAGTTGGACCCCAGAAATTGCGGCTTTTCCAGTTGTCCCTGAAAGAAGCAGCCCAAAATGGTACCCTCCAAAACTCACAAGGACTTGGAGCCGTTTTGCAGCCACAGCCTGCTTCGCCATTGTTTTGCTTTGGCTCGTTCCAAGATAGTCTCCTTTGGCGCGTCATGCGGGGAGGGAACCTCTTGTTTGTCCTTTTTAGCACCAAATGCCTAAAACCAAGGCCTGGTTTTTGTCCAAATCCACTGGGCTTCAGGGGCAGGGATTCGGCCTCTCGATTTCAAGTTCCTTGGAGGTGCCGACGCAGGAAATCGTTGGAGGCTGGGGTAACTTCAACGCTTGGTTCGGGCAAATCCAGTGACAACTGTTGGATCCCCTGAAGGGTTCCATGTAGGTTGTCAGGAGGTGTATTTGGAGGAGTAAGAATCGGGTAGCTTGCTTGCTCTCAGTAGATGGTATGAAGTGACCCCCTCACATTCAAGGATCCAAGCATAAGGGTTGGTTGGTGGGTGGTTCTTCCACCACATGTCCGGCCACAAACATTGATCCGTTTGGGTGTGTCCTTTTTCCAGCGGGCCTGTCTCAAGCCTCCGCTCAGACCGCCAGGCTTGGCCAGTCTGAAATTGACGGCCTCCCCGTGCGCAGGACGTTGGGTTTTGGGTCCGCGCTTGTTTCCCTTTAGCCACTTACCGGGGTGCCGATGATAATCTCGCTCAAAATTACCGAGCTAGGGATACGCAGGTTTTGGCCTTTGGTTCCATTTACCAAGGTGCTATCTTAGGTACGATTTGTTGAGCCACAGCCATAAATATTGGTTGGTGGCAAAAGCAAAGTTTTGATTTTTTTGGCCAATCTACTCAGGAAGTGAGTTTAACAGTAGATTAGTGGCTTCAATTGTGTCTGACAGGGACATGGAACCCGAATCATTGGATGGTTTCCCATTTGTTGTTTCTTAAAAACAATACCGAAACAGGTTAGCCTTCACAATACCCGCCAATTCACATCAAACTGTCATTGAAAGGGTGCTTTCCGACTACGTTCCTGCCTGTCGCTGGCCCCAGGAGCTTAATAATATGAACATGGCCTCATTCGCTCGCATCGCTCGCAAGTGCGCAAGAAGAAGCAAGCAAATGTTGCAACTGGTGGCCTGCTGCGGGAGTGGCCTTGTTCATCATGCTACTCTAATCTTGCAGTTTGGACATACAGCAAGATCTGCTGCGCTAGTCCCAAAATGTTTCCCTGTTTCGGGAAGCCTTCCAACTTATCGTGCAAGAGAGAACGAGAGTGAGAGAATGTAGAGAAAAAGAATAGAGCGAGAGGGAAAGAGAGAACAAAAGAAACATGCAAGAAGCAACACAGCCACTGTTGTCTTGAGAGGCTCTGATGGCTCTACCACAAAGAGTAACAATGGGAGGCACAGTCAGTTGCCCTCCCCTGTTAAAGCTCTCCAAATCAACCTAGCGACATGTGACTCTTCCATTGGCTTTGGCTGCGGTTTGATGGAGTTGTGTCGACTTGTCACGGGAAATTCACACTTCTGAGGCACCCCTCTAGGGCACCTCAACTTGGGTATGTCTGGTTGAGGATACCCTTGCTGGGAAGGGAAGCCAAGGGACCCGTCGTGCGTTCCTCAACTGGGGCAGCCCAATGTAATCTTACGCAACCTGACTTGTGGCGTTGCTGGCGGGTGATCTTTCTACCATAGCCGTCCTTTCAGATTTCTCATGAGTAAAGGGCGGCCAACCAACTTTAGCAGATTCCGTACATTTGTGTTGAGGCTGTAGAGTTCTTTTCGCTGACACAAGTCAGAAACATTGCTCTACCAACATGGAACAGGCAACCACATTTAGTGTCCTCAAAAGCTGATCACCTGTTATTTCCGGGTCCAAACTGGGCTGCCGTAAGATCAGTCTAGGGGTTGATTCCCGATTCTTTTCAACCATCGTTCTTTCCAAAAACCGGTTCCCTCGGTTTCCGGAGGTTTTCTAGATTCTGAAGGATCCCTGCAAAGAATGGGGATCCGGGAAGGCACCCCTAGAATCAGGGGTCACTGGCAAAGTTTTTGCTGGACCGAAGCTATCGGCCTCCATGGCACCCCAGCCGGGGCGGTGCCGAAGGACGCTTCCCCAGAAGCCGGGCCTGTGCGAACCAGCTGTACCTGCCCAAATACGAGACACGGGAGGAGTGCCGTCGTTTTGGTTCAGTTCTCGTTTTGGGATGGGGTTTGCCTTACAAGCGTGGGCTTCCTCCATTCACCAGTTTGGAAATTGTTCCAAGGGAAACCACCAGTCAAGGGCAACTTATCAAGGGGAAATCCAGTGACCCCTGTTGTTTGCGGGAAAGCCGCTGCAGGTCCCCCAGGGGAATGTACGGGTTTATTGGTCATGGGTGCCACACATTTGTAGCGGAGACGCAATTTCGCTCGGATGGAACCATTCTACCGTGGGACGAAATTCCGCGACAAATTGAAACCGTGGTTGGCCCCATTGCTGGCGGTATTTGCAGAGGAATCGAATCAGAAACCAGGGTTTCTAACCATCCACAGTAGGATTCTCGGAAGCGAATTCACAGTTTTCCTTCCCAGCTGTGCAGGTGTGGCTACCCAAGTGGGCTCGGAACGTCCCTCCCATGTCCTAGAAACTGAGTTTGAGATGCGATGGCAAGTGATGTGAAACGGGTTCTCAGAAATGACCCCCCCACAAACCCTCAAATTCAGTGGCTTCCGGTGGGTTTCCCTTGAAAGCAAGCCCAAAAATGACACCACAAATGAAGTGCCACATTGGCTCCAAGCCTTGCATGGCCCTGACGGGTGGACGCAAGTCCGACCAAAACTCTTGGATCTTCCGTGTCAGGACAGCAGGTGCCTTGTGGATGTATACTTTATGCAACCCTCTTGGAATCAGCCGAAAGCAGGGGTGGGGAATTTGAACCTCAAGGCCCTTGAGGTTCAAAACCAATGGTCAATCCAGACTCCACTGGAGGCTCCTTTCTGATGCTTTGCTTTCCCTAGGGCCGCAATTCTGCGACTCCCATAACAGGATTCGTTTGGAGAAGGGGGCGAACCGGCTCGGTCCTTCACGAGCATGAGCAGAGTAGCAATCAGGGCAGAAGGGTCCCTCATTTACTTGTTTAAGTGCCTATAGACGCTTGAGCAAGTCTGCTGACATGCTTTGCTTGTTGTTCGGACATCATAAAAGAATTTGCGGGCTAAGGCCATGTGCGCCTTCATTTATTTTCAAACACCCGGAGTTCTGAAGGTCACTTTACTATATCCATTAACAAAAAAAAGCCAATTGCCGGAACAAAGTCAGAAACTGAGTTATTCACTTTACCCTACCACTTGGGCTGACTTTGGAACAACACATGGTCGGGCAGATTGACCATATCGGATAAAACACCGAACAACCACGCACGGTTCTTGACATGTTTGTTTGGTTTTTTTAGTTAATTATTTGGTTCTAGGTTCATTTTCAGCTGGGGCTGCAAAAAGCAAAGTTTTTTGCAACCATACCAAGGGTTGTGAAGTAATAAAAATGATGCTCAGAGATGGCTGTGTCCAATTCGCATGAATGGCCGGGGGGGGGGGAGGGTCAGACCACTCTTGAACACCCCGCCCTAGAAAAATGGATGGGTTGAATCTGGGGTCAACATTACACGGTAGCATGTGTTACACCACACTCCCAAGGTGTCTTCAATTGAATTATTTGTCTACATTTGTCTAAGGCACTACACCGTGTTTGGTGACATACCTCTTAGGGTTCAGCGAGGTTTTATGCCATGAGTTTGCATTTGTGAGGTTCCCTGCTTCTTCGGAACCGGAACCTTGTACCAGGAGCTGCATGAGAAGCTGACGGAAGCCTTGCTGGCTTGTGAGGGTCACCATGAATTGGACCACTGACACCCGCGGATCATGTCGTCTTCTTTTTTGTGTGTTGTGCAACTTCTCCCGTGTTCGCACCCGACATCTCGCCGTGCGAGAGGTTGATGCCCCCCTGATCATACAGCATCCGTTGAAACACAAACTGTGTTCCAAAGTAGATGCCTGCCTCATGGTAGAAGGCGATGCAACCATTCATCACGCTATACCTTTACCTAGGGTTCCTTGCCCCCATCAAAAGACTGGCCTTGGGACCCCAATTGGGATGATGACAATCCTGAAAGTGGTGAAATATGATGCCAAGCATTGTAATGGTGGCCTGCCCGGCCAGCGCCGGATCGTGTGTGTTTTGCTTGCTTTGAAATAGGCGACAAAATTTGCAAGGCTTGTACACAAATAAAAATGGGACTGCCGGAGGGGGAGGCGGGCAGCCCTGACGAAAAGGCCCTTTCTTACGCCAAGGGCTTATTTGGGCTCCCTCCCGCACACATGAAAATGCATGAGTCGTGGTTGGCAGTCCCAGTCCTTTGGAGATCACAATTTGAGCAGCCCTATGTTGATCACCATTACACTAGGCATGGTGCGGGCCAACTGGCCCAGTGTTGGACGCGTGCATCACATGAAATGGGGCCCCAACCCAAGGTTTTCACAACAACCAGGGCCCACAGGTGCAGGAAACAAGGACATGTTGCTCAGGACGTTGTGCAAAGACTATAATTATTCGATGCTTCTTATGCTTCTTCTATCTAGTGGACAGCTGGGTGAATGTGGTCCTCTGAGTCTCCTCCTTGCCCACCCTGCAAATGCAGGCAGGGGCAGGGTCTGGTGCAAGTAGATTCGTAGCTCTTTCCGAATTAGACCTAGCGCCAGTTCCGAAGTTCCGGAAAAGAGCCCTTGGTTTCGTGTCTTGAGGCCTGAATTGTTTGCTACGTAGCAGGTAAATCTGACAACATGTTCTCAGTCCGGTGTTGCCCCTATTTTTGCTTGTCGTAGATTTCCCCTTAAATAAACTAACAAGAGAAAGGTGCCCGAGTTTTCCTCGGGCACGCAAGCAATTTGGTTTCGCAAGATACATCTGTCCGATTTGTTTGGCCACTGGGCAAAATCCATTGGTCCCCCAGCCCACCTGCAGTCTGAGTCGTCGCTTGAGCATGTCCCAGTGGCAGGCCGTCCGGCCGGGCCTTAGAACTGAAGCCCCTTCAACTCGAAGAAAGGCATGGCCAACACAGCAGTTTTTTTGTTTGGTACCCGTCATAGGGAAACCCGCTTTGTGTGTTTCCAGAAGTTGGTTGAGATCTCAGCTTTTGGTTGCTCGCGTTTTGCGATCCGATCCGATCAAAGTTTTGATCCGATCCGGTCCGCAAAGGAAACATATGAGACTCCTCAACAAATGTCCCTCAAAGCCCGTCCAAAGTCTCAGGGCGTTCAGCTTGTCCTTTGCAGCGAAGGGATGTGTCCTTTTGTGGAACGTGGCTAGTTCCCGACTTTTTGGAGACCCCGCAAATTTGAGACAGGCCCGTGCTGGAAAGGCATTTCAACACCGTTCAATGTAAAAAGGGCACTGGGGCTTCTGACGTTGCGTTCCAAGTCAGTGGGTTCGGCCAAGTCAAACGCAAGAGGCGCTACTGGAAGATGATGTGTGCGCCATGCATGTCCCCGGAAGCCACGGCTGAAACCGCGTTTCAAGCCAGAAGAACGCCCCGGGGCAACAAGTCTGGGGATCTTGATGCGGGTTAAGGTGACGGACTGGGATGTCGGCAGTCGAAGCCATGGAGTCCAACGCACCAAAGTTTCGCGTGCATCATACCGCCGTCTAGCCACAGCTTCGCGTGAGAACAGACGTGCTCCTCAGCCCAGACAGCTACCCAGCCACAGCCCAAACCGATTTTCACAGCCAATGAAGGCCTGATGGGAAGAGTTATCCAAATACAACCAAGAGACACTGTCTTGCTGGTTTTCGTGTATCTGAAGGTCCTAAGAAAGCGGAAACCTGCATTGCTTAACATTTCGCGTGTTTCCCACCTTTCACCAAAAGTGATCACCTTTTGCAGCGGGTCTGGGAAGAGTACAACTCACCTGAAAAAAAAAAAAAAAAACGAAGACGGGTCTCAGAAATCCAGCTGTTGCAACTAGCGTCACAATCCATTCGTCGCAATGCCCGGCGCGCGGGCGCCGGGCTTGCGACTGCCGAGCCTCCGGCCCCACGCAGGGCACGCGGGGCGGTGCGGAGGCTTTGGCGCGGCGCGGCCGGCTGCCAGCTGCCCTGAGGCGAGTGGGCCGGGGGGGATTCGCTTGGTTCGTTCTTTTTGAGGATGAAAGGCCAAAAAGAATGGTGCTTTCTTCGTTGTTGGGCCTTCTTTTTTTAAATGGAGCGTACCCCTTTTTGGCTTGGTTGAAGGAAGCCAAAAGGAAAACCGAAAGTTGTTGGGATCCCCCCACTTTAACTGTTGTGGGTTATGAGGGTCATAAACTCCATTTCCCTTGACCGGATAAAGGCGGTATACCGGCATACCCAAGAAGTCCAAAGCAAACAGGACCATTGAGAGCGTTTCGGTTATTTTTTGTTTGGGAGAGGAATCCCGTTGGACTGCCAAGAGTACACCAATTTCGGGGTTCGCTAGTTTTCCGCACCTTCAGCGGTGCCTTTTTCCAACATGCGTTCCCTTAACATCAATGACCAATATCAGCACAGGAGTTTTCAGCTCAACCCCAAGATGGTTGGTTCCTCTTGGCTCCCTTTGGTTTTCGAGAAGGGCAATCTAAAAACTGACGCCCAGCGCAAAGTTTCGCTCGTCGCTCACTTGTGCTTTTATCATGTTCCCTCCAAGCTGAGTCAAGGCCTGGGAAAGGGAAGGGGCCAGGCTGCATAGTCCAAGTTGGTGGCTCCCCGAAATCTTTGGGTTAGAACAGCCCAACCAGTCTAATTCACACCCAAGAGATGTCCCCAAGTACCACGCAGCACTGATTCGCCTTTCAAAAAAAAGGCCTGAAAAGAAGTGGGGAACTCCATATGCTCTTTGATTTAGTTGGTGTCCGCCCTTTTGTTTGGAAACGCGTCAGAGAAGCCGCGCCGATTTTTTTGACCCCTCAGTCGAGGCCAAGACGCCCTGGCTGCAGCGGCTGCCGCTTCTTTGCGGCCCCTTCTGGCGCGCCACGAGCTTCGGCAGACAGGAGCCTCGGCCTTTCGGGCCAGGTGGCTTCGATTCGAGCGAAGTGGTTTCAGAGGGAATTGGTACGAGGTTCGTTTTGAGTGGATTATAGTATGAGGTTGTGGGGGGGTACTATACTTACAGTATGGGAGGTATTATACTTATAGTTTGGCGGGGCAATTACTATTCTTATAGCATGGGGTTGTGGGGGGCACTATACTTATGATCTACGGAGATAGATGTGACTGCGGGATTTAGCCCGTTGCATCAGCCATTTACTCGTTGTGCAGCAATCAATCATGGAAGTGGACGTTTGCGTGGGGCCTTCTCAAGAGGATGGTAGTTTGCAAAGCCCTCCGCGTCCAGTGTTGGAAAGACAGCAGATTATGTACATTGTCACTTTGCGAACGGACAAAAGGTCCCGTGTTGTTGCAGTGGTTTCCAGAGATTGAGGATTGGGATTCGCCAAGCCTCAACTTTCAGTCGCCTGTGAAGAACGCGGCTTGTGGCTGCCAGAGCTGTATTTTTGCCTGGGGGGGCACACTGTAGGACTGCCTTTTTACCAACCGCACTTTACTGTGTGCTTCTTCGGTCTTTGTTTTTCAGGCTAGGCTGCTTGGAGCCATGTTAAAGTGGAACCAAAAAATCGCTTCTCCACGGGCCCAACCTAAGATTGCGGGAGTCCATGGTGGAGCTGTCCAGAAAATGCCAATTGGTGACTGGACCTGAGATGGCGATGTGTTTTCCCATGGACTCAAAAAGTTTCACCCAGGAGTGGTGGACATGCATCACCAAATGTAGAGGAACCCCCCCAAAGTCAATAGTTTCCCTCCTAAAAAGAGAGCCACCCCAATTTTCCAGAATCCGAAGTTGACTTTAAAGGTATGATGCCTTTCCGGGTCTCCAATCATGATTGAATCCATAGGTGTCATTTTTGGTTGTTCACGTAGCAAAATAGATGGCCCTGGTTTTACCTGACATGTTAATCATCTACCAGGGACATGCGTTTCCCCTAAAAGGACCCTATGTTTCAAATCTTATCCCCGTGATCAGCTATCCCGATTTTGGGGCTTGGAGGGCTCCAGGAGCCACGAAACGGAGGATTGATGGCACATGGAGGTTGAGACCAATCCACGGGCCAAATTTGACCATGGGTAACCTTTAGCTTTTCAACATGGTTGAAATATTAATTATTTCTTTAGTGGTTCCCCCCAAAGGTCATCCCACACGGAGCTTTTGATTTCACCCTCCACATCTCAGTCCATGTGCCGCCCAGGAGCTTGGCGAGAATGCTACGAAGGCTATGGCCATGGGAGAGATCTGGAGTCATGGCCGCTTGTGTTGGACTTACACTCGCTTACTGAAAGTAAGTAGATGCCAGAACCTGCATGCGAATGCTTCCCCAAAAGTGGCTTGTTTCGCGTTCCCTCTCAAGCTGTTTGGCACTAAGGCCATGTTGTGCCATTCAGGGCAGTTATTCAACACCCCGCAGCTCATCAAGTTACATATCGTCCCATCCTAAGCGTTGATTTCTGCCGGATTTTGCTGGATCACTCAAACTACATCTCGGCTATAAAGCAAAAACAGGCCGACCCAACGGCTGCCTGGAGACAAAAGTGTTCGTCCTCTAGAAGGGCGGTCTGCTTCACCTCTACATGTTCCCCAACTCTTTCAGACCGTCCGCTTGCTTCCCTTGAATGTCGCTTGTTGTGCTCACAAAAACGTAGACTTTTCGCCACCTGGAGGCCCTCCGGTCATGGGCAGGAAAAAGGGAACCAATATCAAATTGAGCCGCGGGTGCCAAAAAAAAGTGGTTTCCCTGAAGGCCAAACAAACCATCTTTGAAGAAGCTCAAAGAAGCCACGGGCGTCTTCTTCGAGTTTGTTTTTTCCCCCATACCGCCGAGCCATCCCCCGGCCAGGTCCGTTGCTTGGGCGCCGAGGAGCAGGAGGGGCCAAATGCGCCAAGCTGACATTCCGGCCTCTCAAATGGAAGAAAATCCGGCCCACCAAATGGAAGAAGAAACCACTTGGTTCCCTTTTTCCAGTGAACAGGTCACTGCACACCTGGATAGCTGGGTTTTCGGGGCCCCATAGGAGGCCACCTAAATAGAGCGCCCGGCATCGTTTCATAAAAAGACCTCATGTTGGGCAATTTGGAAGGGTGCTTCCTGGAATGCGTGCGTAAAGTAAATGCAGTGGAGCGGTGAACAAGGGCACCCGCCAAGTAAATACAGTAGAGCGGTGAACAAGGGCACCCGCCAAGTTGTCCTGCCACTCTGAGATTTGTGGATGAGGAATCTTACACTAAGGCCAGTTTGAAACAGAAAGTCCGTGGGTTTTATGATAGTTTCTGCTTGGAGCACCTGGGCTGAAGATTAGAGTCCATTAAACAATTTGTGCAAGTAGCACTTGGGTGTGTGCTTTTGAGGGTGCCATTGCTGGGGGTTGGTTGATTGGAGATTTGGAAACCAAAGGTCCCCCCGGCCCCAACATATAATGACACATCCCCGCTGTGATTCTGCTTCCCTTGGAAACTGCAGGGGAGTTCTCCCTGTTTAGGCCGTGATGCCGTTACACCTATGTGCCCAAGTCGCCACACGCCTTCAGTCAGGGATGGTATTTGTTAGGATCAGTTTCCCTGAGGCGTACGTGACTCAGCCCTCTTGCGTCTTTCCAGTTGGGAACTGTGGATGGACAAAATCCATTTCGCAGCACTTTGAAGCCATGCGGAAAGCATGGTTTTGTTGGTATTCACAAGAGAATCATCATTCCAGGGTTTCTTAGGTGGTGCAGGATTTCGTCCATCCACGGTATGATGTACGAATTGCGAGCCATAGCAAGGGGAGCCAGTGCAACCGAATAGCGATTATATAGGTGATGACACAAGCCTCCTGTGAATCCACAGCTATGACTGCAGACCAATATCGGAAAATAGAGCTTGTTCAGGTCCAGATCGATCTACCTTGCTGACTGTTGGAACGACCAGGGAATATCGAATGTGTCCACCAAGAGTCTTGGCCGCCCAGGCCCCAACATGGATAAGCTGATTTTCGGCTGACTTCAATCTGTTGCTTGCAGTGTTCAATTGTAGGTTGCAACATTCGTCAACTATTACCGGCATTGCTTTGTGAGGGTCTGCTTGCATCTCAGCAAGCCGAGCTCCGCCCCCCCAATCGTCCCAGGCTCCACGGCTTGACTGTCACCAGAGCTCGTGTCTCGAAAGGCTTGCCCATACCGGTGTGCTGGTTTCCTGCTTCATATCTTCCAGTTGTTGGCCGTTGCCGAGCGCGTTCCTTCAGGTGGCTCGTCTTTGGAGTCCCTTTTTGTGGTTTGGTCCTACGTGCGCTGCACCGCGCGAGCTGTTTTCTTGAGCCAATGTTTGAAGTGCGACCGTGTTGTTCACAGCGGTTTCACACTCCCCCTAAATGCTTCGCGTCCACTAAACTTCCTGCTGTTGGCACTATTGGCCAAATGCCCGTATAGACCATTGTCCAGAGCGGTTTGGCAGGCTTCGCAAAAGGCCGCTATGCCATCTCAACGTCTGTCCCCGCCCTCAAACGCCTTCTTGATCTCCTCCACTTCCGGCGCCGTTCCCGCCGCCCAACTCGAGCTCGACGTAGCCCCACCCATCTGCTCAGCTGCTGCCGCCTCGCCTGAGCTTGATGCTGGTGAGCTTGATGCTGCCCCACCCAAGTTGATCGGCCCCGCAACTGCAGCCCGGTCCATACATTGACTTCGCTGCCGCAGCACTGCCGCCGTCCGATCATGCCGTAGGTCATCTTGTTCTTCTTGCCCATTCCCGAGCCCTCCAGGCCTGGGGTTCCACCCACCTTCATGCCAGAGCGCTCCTTGGAGCCCGTGAAGAGGAACTCCCCGGCTTCTTGCTTCCAGGAACGCCCATCTGTCCTCCGAGACATCCGCCGCCAGAAGAGTTCCCGGCAGACGTCTCAGCCTCCAATCCTCCTCCTCAATGAGCTCCGTCAGCTTCCCGGCTCTACACTTCAAATGCCTTGACCGCCACGCGTAAGCTGGGGTAGTGATGATACTGATGGCCCCCGCATTATCCCCCAGGATCATTGACCTTCTTGACTTCCAGCATCTCCACCAATGTTGACACTGCCTCTCCGATGGCTGTGGCCTGCACGTAGCCCGTGAGCTCCACTTCCGCTTTAGACATTGTTGTGTATGCCCTCGTGGATTCCCATATGATTCCGCCATACACCATGACGCCCTGAATGGAAGGTCCTGGCGCATTTCCAGGTCCCCATCTCACAAGGCCCGGGAATCGCCCTCTCTGGTCTCCATACCCTTCTTGTAGATGCCGACTTCGTCCGTGCCCTTCAGATAGGATTGGCTTCGCCGCCTGCGCCGCCTGCACCGCCTGCTTCGGATCCCTTGCCACCATCCTCAACGCCTGAGCCACCGCAAACGCCACATCTGGCCTTGTTCGAGTCGAAACCCATCCCAGGGCCACCTGCGCCTCCCGGACATCATCTGCTGTCCTGTCCTTCTCTTCCTCCTTAAGCAGCTCAAGCTTCACTGCCGGCACTTCCAGGTTCTTCACCTCGGGATGTCTTCCCACCAGGTCACGGATGTATGCAGACTAACCCAACCAGAAGCCCCCGTCCTTCTCACAAATCTCCATACCACAGAACGTAACCGGCACGTTCCCCTTCACCACTTCCGGAGAGGATGTCTTCCACTCCTGCAGCCGCTGCATGAAGCCTTTCATGACGTCCTCAGCCGCCACCAGCATGTCGTCCACATACTCCACGATTTCCCCACCGTGACCCCGGATCCAACATCCTGGCCCACAAGTTGCCCTCCAGATGGATCCTGAACTCAACCTCATCGACCGGGACCGTCCGGAAGCTGGCCATGGTGTCCCGATCCCCAGTCCTTGGGGCTTGTCTTCAGCCCGTGCGCCTTGAGCAGCCCTTCGCCTTGTTTGGTGATTCCAGCCTGACCAAAGATCTTGGGCGGGGTAACCACCAAAAGCTTCCTCTGGTTTGGTGCCTGCAAAAGGCCGTCTTCATGTACCTTCATCTGCTCCTCCGCCGGCAGACCATCACGTCCAAAGTGCTCCCGACCCATCCTGCTGCGAAGGGCCTATGGGCCTGAAGCTCCACCTCCGCCCTTGCCCTCTGGCTCCAAAAAGGGTTCACCTCCACCGGCCTACCTGCCTTCTCCCCCTGACCTCGCCCCCGTTCGCCTCACCGGTTATGGCGACCTCCCCCTCCGGCTCGGCCACCAGGATGCCCATGTCGGCCGCGTCCACTGACCGTGACCTTCTCCTCATGCCGGGATCCATCGCGGGCCCGGTCAAAACGCATTGGGCTCAAAACCTACGTGCGCTGCACCGCGCGAGCTGCTTCCTTGAGCCAATGTTTGAAGTGCAACCGTGTTGTTCACAGCGGTTTCACAGGTCCAAAGGGAAAACCGATGTGCCAGTTTGGGGGGCAATTTTGCTTGAAAAGGAGCCATACCCTATCCTTCCACGTTGCCTGACAAAGCAGAGGGTCCTAAGATCAAGTTGATCTTCTAGGTACCCTTCTACAGGTGCTGTGGACAGAATCCTGCACCCCAGAAGCCCAATGATTCCCCAACAAAGCATAGTTGTTGTTTAATGTTTTTTTTTGTTTGGTTTAAACCATTGTGTTTTCGTAAAATGCAAAATGTGTTTTTCTTTTGAACTCAGCGGTCCAGTTGAAACCAGGCGGACCTCGCCGCACAGCTCCGTATCGAGACCGGCCGCAAGGATGATTGTGGGCGCCAGTGCAACAGTTTGCCGGAGTTTAAAGGGGGGTGCATGTCTGCCAACTGGTGGCGTTTTGTGGAAGGTGTTCTAACTAAGAGCAGACAATTAGAGACTAAGAGCTGAAAAGACCCGCTTTTATTTGGCGCTCTCTTGTGGATTTTTGTCTATTTCTGGCTTGGCCAAAGGCCAACTTGGTCTTTTGTTCTAAAGGAAGGAAACAGTGGAACCTCTGATTATTTTCTAGGGTTTCAGGGTGTTGACTCAGTCAAACCAACCAGCCCTTTACCTGCTGCGCATGACTACTTTACCCTGGTATGTGCAGACGAATCATCATCGTGTTTATACACTCACTGCCTCGGTAGAGGCGAGGCCTCCCACACTTATGCAGTTTCTCGCTTCCATACGCCTGGGAAAAAACGGTTTGAGTGGGGAGCAACCTGTTGAGAGAACTGTTTGGGAAAACCGACTCATGAAGCGCATGCATGTTGTGGCTAACGATGGAGAGAACAGACCTGGCAGAGCATTGCAGCCTTGCTTTGCGGACTGTCCATCATGTTTCTGTCGACCAGCGCCAGGGAGCAGTACCTACACTTGTCACCAGAGAATTAAGCAAGTTTCAATAGACCTTGACATCATTTCGGCAATTCATGTCCACCACTTGGGTCTCCAATTGAAATGCCACTGCCACATAAGTCATACCTCAAAACCCGGTATTACAAGTCGAAGGGAGTAACGCGGTTCGGGGTCTGCACAAGAAGCCTCTGGGTGATGGCCGTGGCAGGCCATGAGTGCCTTAATGCTGTGGAGTGCTTCAGTCCGAAGGGCCCAGCCGAAGAAAGTCAAGCCCAAAGGTTGAGAAGCAGAATCAAGCCAGCCCAAGTAATCAGCGAACGAAGCAACTAGACCCATCTAAAGCAGTATCACTTTTGGAGGGGCCCCCACCCCCAAAATGTTAAAGAGGGTTTTTTTCATCCGGGGGCAACATAAACCAGCCCAACCAAGCAACGAGAGGAGCTCCTGGGGCAGCTCTCCAAGGGCCTCGAGGACAACCGGCGCGAGGCGAATTTTCCGGCGCATGACCGGCTTGGAACACCGAAACCAAATCTCCAGCTGATGAGCACAAATTCCCGCGAAAAAAAGAGTCCACCCAGAATGTGTGTAGAGTTGTTGTTTTGTTGTTTTAAACTCGCGAAGCTCAAGGCACCAAATGTGGTGCTCAATTGCTAGGTCCCCCAGTAGTGCCCTTTTACTCTTTTTTGGGGGAGGGTTCCCCTACTAAAATAGACTACAGAAAAAAATCGGGTACCCTTATTCTAACCTCTCTACTGAAAGACCTAGTTTGGGTTTCCCTTCAAAACGACCAGACACAAATTGGCGGTACAAACTCAAAAGACACCCCCGTTTCTGGACTTTTGAGAGGCTTCCATTGAGGAAATGTGGCGGGGATTTGGCCCATCTGTAGAGACTCCTGCTGGTTTCCATGATTCCTACGCTTTTGGCATTCTTGTGGCAAAAAGTGCAAAAGGTGAGCCACAAGGGTAGAGATTTATCATAAGAGGTTTCCCTGCTACCCGGGTTTTGCGTTGAGTTTCCTGTAGTTTCTCCTCTGATCAATTTAATGTGGGTGTTTGAAGCAACCTAGAGACCCAGGGTTTTGCTTTTGAGACAGTGGGAAAAATGGAAAGGAACGAGCCCTGTGGAAATCATTCAAAGTTTTGGAGTTCAAACCAAGCTTGTTTTCTATTCGTTGAAATTGTTTTTGTTTAATGTATTCCCGTGTTGGGATGGAAAGGACATGTATCACCATTGAACATGTTTTTTTCTAGGGGACGTAGTCGCAAATGGAGGTTGTCCCAACGGCAGAGAGGTGCCTTTGTGACCAGTTTGCCAGGGCGCTAACGAGGGGGATCAACAAAGGCGCCCTTTGAATCGGCTAGTTTGGGCAATGCAATAGATGGATTCCACTGGTTTGATTAGTTTCATGTCATACATTTACCAAGGGAAACCCATTGATTTTTCCAACAGGACGCCTGGGGATATCAATCTATCCTGTCAGCCAGCATTGTCTTTGTTTGAGGCACCAAGTGCCCTTGTTCGGGGCTTGGCAAAACAGGAAACCAGCGGAACAGCCCAAATTGATGGAGGTCCATATCCCATGTGAAGATGGCGATGAGCTTCCAGAACGCCCTCAAAAGTGGTCGGACACCACCCGCAATGATGTCAACTACAGGGTTCCAACTAAAATTCCGACCCAGTCCAAATTACTATCGGGGCATTGGTTGGGATATAAGAAAAAACTTGGCTCTTGAGAAAGCCAACGGGGAAGTACCCATGAGGATTGCCTTTTTCACCCAGTTTCTGACTTTTACAGTTCTGACTTTCACCCAGTTTCTGACTTTCACCTTTGACCCAGGTTCTGACTTTGACCCAGTTCTGACTCTCACCCAGTTCCTGACTTTCACCCAGTTCCTGACTTTTACAGTTCTGACTTTCACCCAGTTTCTGACTTTCACCTTTGACCCAGGTTCTGACTTTGACCCAGTTCTGACTCTCACCCAGTTCCTGACTTTTACAGTTCTGACTTTCACCCAGTTTCTGACTTTCACCCAGTTCCTGACTTTTACAGTTCTGACTTTCACCCAGTTTCTGGCTTTCACCTTTGACCCAGGTTCTGCCTTTGACCCAGTTCTGACTTTTACCCAGTTTCTGACTTTCACCCAGTTCCTGACATTTACAGTTCTGACTTTCACCCAGTTTCTGACTTTCACCTTTGACCCAGGTTCTGACTTTGACCCAGTTCTGACTTTCACCCAGTTTCTGACTTTCACCCAGTTCCTGACTTTTACAGTTCTTTCACCCAGTTTCTGACTTTCACCCAGTTCCTGACTTTCTGACTTTCTTTGACCACAGTTTCTGACTTTCAGACTTTGACTTTGACAGTTCTGACTTCACCCAGTTTCTGACTTTCACCCAGTTCCTGACTTTTACAGTTCTGACTTTCACCCAGTTTCTGACTTTCACCTTTGACCCAGGTTCTGACTTTGACCCAGTTCTGACTCTCACCCAGTTTCTGACTTTCACCCAGTTCCTGACTTTTACAGTTCTGACTTTCACCCAGTTTCTGACTTTCACCTTTGACCCAGGTTCTGACTTGGACCCAGTTCTGACTCTCACCCAGTTCCTGACTTTCACCCAGTTCCTGACGTTTACAGTTCTGACTGTCACCCAGTTTCTGACTTTCACCTTTGACCCAGGTTCTGACTTTGACCCAGTTCTGACTCTCACCCAGTTCCCGGCTTTCACCCAGTTCCTGACTGTTACAGTTCTGACTTTCACCCAGTTTCTGACTTTCACCTTTGACCCAAGTTCTGACTTTGACCCAGTTCTGACTTTCACCCAGTTTCTGACTTTCACCCAGTTCCTGACTTTTACAGTTCTGACTTTCACCCATTTTCTGACTTTCACCCAGTTCCTGACTTTTACAGTTCTGACTTTCACCCAGTTTCTGACTTTCACCTTTGACCCAGGTTCTGACTTTGACCCAGTTCTGACTTTCACCCAGTTTCTGACTTTCACCCAGTTCCTGACTTTTACAGTTCTGACTTTCACCCAGTTTCTGACTTTCACCTTTGACCCAGGTTCTGACTTTCACCCAGTTCTGACTTTGACCCAGTTTCTGACTTTCACCCAGTTCCTGACTTTTACAGTTCTGACTTTCACCCAGTTCTGACTTTCACCTTTGACCCAGGTTCTGACACCCAGTTCTGACTTTCACCCAGTGACTTTGACCCAGTTTCTGACTTTCACCCAGTTCCTGACTTTTACTTTCACCCAGTTTCTGACTTTCACCCAGTTCCTTTTTTACCCAGTTCTGACTTTCACCCAGTTTCTGACTTTCACCCAGTTTCTGACTTTCACCCAGTTCCTGACTTTTACAGTTCTGACTTTCCCAGTTTCTGACTTTCACCCAGTTCCTGACTTTTACAGTTCTGACTTTCACCCAGTTTCTGACTTTCACCTTTGACCCAGGTTCTGACTTTGACCCAGTTTCTGACTTTCACCCAGTTTCTGACTTTCACCCAGTTTCTGACTTTCACCCAGTTCCTGACTTTTACAGTTCTGACTTTCACCCAGTTTCTGACTTTCACCCAGTTTCTGACGTTCACCTTTGACCCAGGTTCTGACTTTGACCCAGTTTCTGACTTTCACCCAGTTTCTGACTTTGACCCAGTTCTGACTTTCACCCAGTTTCTGACTTTCACCCAGTTCCTGACTTTTACAGTTCTGACTTTCACCCAGGTTCTGACTTTGACCCAGTTCTGACTTTCACCCAGTTTCTGACTTTCACCCAGTTCCTGACTTTTACAGTTCTGACTTTCACCCAGTTTCTGACTTTCACCTTTGACCCAGGTTCTGACTTTGACCCAGTTTCTGACTTTCACCCAGTTTCTGACTTTCACCCAGTTTCTGACTTTCACCCAGTTCCTGACTTTTACAGTTCTGACTTTCACCCAGTTTCTGACTTTCACCCAGTTTCTGACGTTCACCTTTGACCCAGGTTCTGACTTTGACCCAGTTTCTGACTTTCACCCAGTTTCTGACTTTGACCCAGTTCTGACTTTCACCCAGTTTCTGACTTTCACCCAGTTCCTGACTTTTACAGTTCTGACTTTCACCCAGGTTCTGACTTTGACCCAGTTCTGACTTTCACCCAGTTTCTGACTTTCACCCAGTTCCTGACTTTTACAGTTCTGACTTTCACCCAGTCTCTGACTTTCACCTTTGACCCAGGTTCTGACTTTGACCCAGTTCTGACTCTCACCCAGTTCCTGACTTTCACCCAGTTCCTGACTGTTACAGTTCTGACTTTCACCCAGTTTCTGACTTTCACCTTTGACCCAGATTCTGACTTTGACCCGGTTCTGACTTTCGCCCAGTTTCTGACTTCACCCAGTTCCTGACTTTTACAGTTCTAACTTTCACCCAGTTTCTGACTTTCACCTTTGACCCAGGTTCTGACTCTCACCCAGTTCCTGACTTTCACCCAGTTCCTGACGTTTACAGTTCTGACTTTCACCCAGTTTCTGACTTTCACCTTTGACCCAGGTTCTGACTTTGACCCAGTTCTGACTCTCACCCAGTTCCTGACTTTCACCCAGTTCCTGACTGTTACAGTTCTGACTTTCACCCAGTTTCTGACTTTCACCTTTGACCCAGATTCTGACTTTGACCCGGTTCTGACTTTCGCCCAGTTTCTGACTTCACCCAGTTCCTGACTTTTACAGTTCTAACTTTCACCCAGTTTCTGACTTTCACCTTTGACCCAGGTTCTGACTCTCACCCAGTTCCTGACTTTCACCCAGTTCCTGACGTTTACAGTTCTGACTTTCACCCAGTTTCTGACTTTCACCTTTGACCCAGGTTCTGACTTTGACCCAGTTCTGACTTTCAGTTCACCCAGTCAGTTCTGACTTTCACCAGTTTCTGACTTTCACCTTTGACCCAGGTTCTGACTTTGTTTCTGACTTTCACCTTTGACAGGTTCTGACTTTGACCCAGTTCTGACTTTCGCCCAGTTTCTGACTTTCACCCAGTTCCTGACTTTTACAGTTCTGACTTTCACCCAGTTTCTTTCACCCAGTTTCTGACTTTCACCCAGTTCCTGACTTTTACAGTTCTGACTTTCACCCAGTTTCTGACTTTCACCTTTGACCCAGGTTCTGACTTTGACCCAGGTTCTGACTTTGACCCAGTTCTGACTTTCACCAAGTTTCTGACTTTCACCCAGTTCCTGACTTTTACAGTTCTGACTTTCACCTTTGACCCAGGTTCTGACTTTGACCCAGTTCTGACTTTCACCCAGTTTCTGACTTTCACCCAGTTCCTGACTTTTACAGTTCTGACTTTCGCCCAGTTTCTGACTTTCACCTTTGACCCAGGTTCTGACTTTGACCCAGTTCTGACTTTCACCCAGTTTCTTTCACCCAGTTTCTTTCACCCAGTTTCTGACTTTCACCCAGTTTCTTTCACCCAGTTTCTGACTTTCACCCAGTTTCTTTCACCCAGCTTCGTTCACCCAGTTTCTGACTTTCACCCAGTTCTGACTTTCACCAAGTTTCTTTCACCCAGTTTCTGACTTTCACCCAGTTTCTTTCACCCAGTTTCTTTCACCCAGTTTCTGACTTTCACCCAGTTTCTTTCACCCACTTTCTGACTTTCACCCAGTTTCTGACTTTCACCCAGTTTCTTTCACCCAGCTTCTTTCACCCAGTTCTGACTTTCACCAAGTTTCTTTCACCCAGTTTCTTTCACCCAGTTTCTGACTTTCACCCAGTTTCTTTCACCCAGTTTCTGACTTTCACCCAGTTTCTTTCACCCAGTTTCTGACTTTCACCCAGTTTCTGACTTTCACCTTTGACCCAGGTTCTGACTTTGACCCAGTCCTGACTTTCACCCAGTTTCTGACTTTTACCCAGTTTCTTTCACCCAGTTTTTGACTTTCACCCAGTTTCTTTCACCCATTTTCTTTCACCCAGTTTCTGACTTTCACCCAGTTTCTTTCACCCAGTTTCTGACTTTGACCCAGTTTCTTTCACCCAGTTTCTGACTTTCACCCCCAGAAAGAGACCAGAAGTCCTGAGCCCGGTGTGGGCAGAGGCATTGGCAGACGGATTTGCAGCGCAGGGCCTGCTGGAACAACAGAAGGCCCAAGCCAAGGCGCGCCATCGAATGGCTCCTTAAAAGGAGCTCATCTTGCTAAGGGTCGGTTTTGGTTTGTTTAGTTTCCATGAATCAACCGATCCCCAAAAGGGTACCTTTCGCCTCAAACAAAGCAGGGCTCCTTAAAAGATCAAACCATGTTGCCTTACTATTTGATTCATGTTGCTTTTTCAACACCAAACTACAGGGACACCACCATTTACAAGCGGCAATGTTCAGGTGTATGGATCTCTGTTAAAGAGCAAAACGGATGGACACCTACCGTGTTTTGGGGGTGCCCCATTTCAAGACACCCTCACCCCCCCCCCCCCCACCCGCGCATTTTGCGGGGTCCAAATCCTATTTGTGGAAGCACACTTTTGGTGTTTGCGGGAACTGACCACTGCTGGTACAAACATGGGTCCCCTGCTGTGGACGGACAAAATCCAGTTCGCACCACTTTGAAGCCATGCGCAAACCATTAGTTTGTTGGGCATTTACCAGAGGATTTATCATTCCAGGGTTTCTTAGGTGGTGCAGGATTTCGTCCATCCACAGTATTTCAAGACTCCCTGGATCGTTACAAGCTGGTGCCACTTAGATCTGGGAAGAATCGCTTGGCTAGTGATCACGGTAGGGTTTACAGGGGGTCAACTGGGTACGAGCTCCACTTCCCTCCTTTAATCCATGCGCGTGTGTCTCAAAACAGGGGGGCCTTTGGAAGGGGTATTCCCTTTGATGTCCTGTTCGACCTAAAAGTTCGTCAAGGTCCCAAAATGGGCTGAGCTGAAGGTGCAACTCCTGGGTTTGTGGGGAATGAAAGCTACATTGAAGAAGAATAGGGTTCTGGCCTGTGCTTAAGGAAAGATCTGGGCACGCCCTGCCTTTGGAGATGCCCTTGAGGTGGAATCAAAAGGGAACCTGGGAGCTGTATGTAGAGACACCCCCTTCCCCCCATTTCGGCAATGCATTCTAGGTACTTCCATACTTCAAGAACCTACTAAAGATGACATATGAGCCATAATCAGAACAGGGGTAAGTGCCATGTCCGCCTTTGTATTTCTTTGCATTGGTTTGGGTAGACCATTGTAATACCGATCGGTTTTGATTGACTCTTATGTGTCAGTCGTCCCAAGTTCTCTTTCACACTTGGGCAGGTGGGGGTGGGGATCCATGAAAGCAACACCAAACTGTCGTGATTTTTTGCTGACTTGCTGAGAAGGGGCGGGAGGGGGGCGACACCCCGGATTGAGAAACCTGGCAAGCTCATAGGGGGAGCCCACGTCCATGAGAAGACTACGAGAAGAACCACCCCCTGCGGTTGATGAATCCTTTGTTCCCATAGATGGATTCAGTTCTTCTATCTATGGGAACCATTGATAAATACCAAAGGAATCGTAAATTGTCAATTCATGTTGGTTTAGCTGTATTCGGCAGGAGAAAAACAACGCTTGCAAGCCGTGGCTTTGGCGCTTTGGCATTAGCATGTCTTGGCATCTACACCATCTGCACATTGGCTCCGCCCATGTGTTGGCCGTGGCATGCGCGCTTGCTCTGCTCACGTGTTTGGTTGGTGTGGGAGATTCTTCGGCATGCTATTGGCAGTGCTCTGTGACTGCTTAGTGAACCTTGAAGCGTACGTTTGTTGGTCCGTTTGTTGGTCCGTTGGTTGGTCCGTTTGTTTAATTGCCTGTCTGCCTGCCTGTCTGTCAATCTGCGTGCTTGCGTGTTCGCTTTGTTGTTATTCTTGAGTTGTTTCAGGCAGAGCTTCTGGCAAAGCACCGGGAGCTGAAGTTCAAGATCTCTGCGAAGGAGCTAGGGGCACCAACTTCTCATCCGTTGGGCAAAAGTTAGGATTGGTTAGTTCCGACATCCTAACCCTCCCTGGCAGAGAGAACTCAGTTGTTGCAAGCTCAAGCCCCGAGCTAAAGTGTTCAACTGTCTTGACCGGAAACAATCTGGGTTCCTATGGCTAGTGAGTAAACAGTGTTCAGTGAACAGTCTGTTTTTCTTTGGTGGCCGCGAAAATGTTCACTGGAAGTCACCAGTTGCAACTGAGAGTTTGTTTCCTGCTAGCATCAATCCCGCAAGGTGGTTTTGTGCAAGTAGGTTTAGATGAACATGGTTTTCAAACGGTAATTTTGTTGCTTGTTTAGTGGCATCGGTGCACAGCCCATCGGTCTGGATAAAGCTGTTTGTGGTGTCTAGAACTTCATCTACCCAAGTTTTGATTGTGGTACTTAACATTGAAGGGAAAATTTCAGCTTGGGGTACAGTGACCCATGCGCAGGAAACGGCACAAACAGAGCAGGCTGAAACACCGGCCTACCGGTGGGACAGCCGATCCAAGAGAAAGGGGTGCGAGTGCATACCACTCGTCAAAGAGCAACACATGCGTTGGGCAGTATGCTAAACAAGTGAAACCCTACTTGCCCCTCAGTCATCCGCACAAGCCACACCCTCAAGCAAATAAGCATGATCAATTGCTGAGCGCAATTCGCGATGCAGGAGTTCCTGCAGTTGAAAGAGGTCTGGCAGAGATTTATCCAGGCGGAGCAGGAGTGGAGTTTGTCGAGCAGGGTTTCGCAGGAAAATCTACAAACAACCATTGCCACATCCATTATCTTGCAGAATATTCGCCAACCACTCACAAAATTGCTCTCAGCGACCAACGTTCAAGGGTAGGAAATTAGCCACACCCCTTGTTTTGCAGGAAATTTGGCAAACACTCAAAGAGTTGCTCGCCAATTGGTACCCAAAATGGCAACACATGTTGGCACTTCAGGTACAAATCTCAGATGCCCAGTGACCATGGGAAAAACAGGCTCACAGCGTGGGCAACATTATTGGGAAGCGTTTTTGTCCCTACTTGCAAGGGAGTCAAGCCTGGGCAGCTTTAGCTGTCCACCAATGCTTGCTCCGACAAGCACCAGCACAAGGTTGCGACCCTGAAGGTGCGGGTGTGGAACCTATGTTTTACAGCGAGGGCTATCTCCAACCATTTGCACTATGGCAATCTCACCGGTTCGGGGTGAAGCTTTATTTGCTCCCCCAAAATGGGGGGGGTTCCTTTGGTGTCCCTTCAAAGCCACCCCGTATCGGTTGCATACGGCCCAATCAATTGGAATTGTGTTGCGGGGGGCTTGGAAACCGAATTCAGTCATGATCATACGAGATTTTGAAGTGTAGTAATTTAGGCTCTTGGATTACCCACGAAACGGATGTGCCTTCACCCCCCTTCAGACCTTCCTAAACCACCCCAAGCCTTGCAGACCCATGGCCTTCTTCTCACTTGTACCTTTTCGTTAGCGTTGCTGGCAGAAAATCAAGATGAAATTGATCTGCCAAAATGGCCGTGGGTCAACACCAATGGTACCATTGTGGGGTAGGTGAATTCACCACCCATTTTAGTCCTTAGTGGGGGATTAGGATGTTCACTGGGGGTACGATTTGGGTTTTGACCCATAGCCATGCTTCAAACGAGAATGGAAACGCCACGAGGACGTGGAGCGTCACCACGACGAGAAGGCCGACTCCCAGCGCAGTGCCTCCACTTGGACGGCCGTGCAGCTGGCGGGCTACGTGCCCTGCTTCCACCTGCGGCCCTGGCAACCCTCTGCTGGATGGGAAAGGCGGGAGGGGGGGGGGGAGCGAAAAGAGGCAGGTTGAGTTCTCAAAATGAGCCATGAGTGAACATTCCGAGGGGTTCTTAGCATGTAGTTGTTTTTTGTTTCTAACCCACTGGTGATGAGAAATGTTAAGTTCCATGTTGGGGGGCTTGCTTGTCAAAAACAAAAAGCTCAGAGGGTGGCCCCCCTTTTTTTTTTTTCGTTTCTCGGTTTTGTTTGAAACGCATGGCTTGGGCCAGGGCTTGAATCGCCCCAGGCGGGTAGTGCCCATGGAGGACTTGCGGGAGTTCCTGCAGGCGCTCTTCGTGGGGGTTTCGGCGGGTTGAGGGAAAAGCTGCGGGGGTTTGGGTTTACCCAGGGATGAAATGGGCCATGGGGCAAAACCCAAATCGTACCCCCAGGGAAAATCCCAGTCCAACCACTAAAATAGACTAAAATGGGTGGTGAATTCACCTACCCCAAAATGGGATCCCATTGGTGTTGACCCACGGCCAAATGGCTGGTTACCTTCCCACCAACCAACATGGAAGTGCAAAAAGGCCCTGTCCAAGAGGAAAGTCGTCTTTCTACAGGGGTCTGTGCATTTCCAGGTTAGGTGGGAGGGTACCTACTATATAGTGGTAACTGGGATCCACTGGGTTAAATGGAAAGCACGAAGAAACCGCATTATTGTTGCCTCTCGACTGTTCACGAGACTTGGCCCAAAAAGTTTGGGTGTGTGTTTAGGAGAGATGCAAAGGGAGGTCAGCGACCCAACAAACGCACTGGATTGTAACCCTGGGCCCATCATGGGTGTTTCTCTGATATTGTTGACCCCTGAATAATACTCCCGCCCCCGTTATTTACATTGATCAAGCAGTCGTGGGGGGCGGGCTCCCTTGGACGATGGGAACCCCCACAAAAAAGGGGAACCCCCTCAATAAATAATTGCGGGGCTTGTTAAGAAGGAATCAGCATTGCGGGGCGGGGGTCTCCTGGTTTTCACTTGGTGAATGACTAGAGATTGTAAAACTTTTGATTTCTCCACGGCTTTCCGCTGAAAACACGACCCCAGAGGCCAAGCGCCGTCATACCTCTGCAATCGAGATGTCGAGTCAGCCATTAGCCACAAGTTAAATGGGGCCAGCGCACCAACCCACCAGAGACCTCGTTCTTTTTGGGGGGAACAAACAGGTCTTTAGGGGGAACCATCGGTTTGCCGGACATTCGGAGGCTGAAGCGGGGAACCCTCCTGAGATGTCAACTTGCCAACTTTGTGTCGCCAGCTGATTATTGCACAATGCTCAAAGTCCCCCGCTAAGTGGTAGGTTGAAGAGCAACCACCCCAGGTTTTGACATTGATTCCCCAAACTAATGACTCCAGTTCCTGAGGGAATCCGTTTTTCCGACGGCTTTTTATAGGATCCGCCGCTTTGCAGGTTCGACTCCTGAAAAACAGGGCATGCCCAGTGGCAGTGACCCGCCCTTTAGGGTCAAAACCATTTTGGGGGCCCCGAACCCACGGAACAGAAAAGAGACTGTCACCGAAGAACTCTGACTGCTATTGGGTTGGATCTTTAGACTTTAACCTTTTTGGGGAAATAAAGGTGTTTTTCCACTAAACCCCCATTTGCAGTGATTCACTTTTTGCAGGGGGGTCGTTGCAGCAACCAAGTCGCGGGGAAAAAAGGAGGCCAGCTCCATGTCTGTAAACTCTGCATCCGATCAGGAGCCCGCGGAGGTAGATGCGGAGCCAAGCCTCTTGGGCAGTCGGCTGGGGGAGGACTGGCAGGAGATGCTCGGCTGGAGCTTCGGTCCGGCGTACGGAATAGAACCCTGATGCAACTGGGGGCAAACTCAGTTTGTTCAGTTTTCCAAAAGAAAGCCAATCAATGGAAAGAGATTTGTTTCCTTCCCTCCCTCCCTCCCTCCCTCCCTCCTTTCCTCCCTCCCTCCCTCCCTCCCTCCCTCCCTCCCTCCCTCCCTCCTTCCTTCCTCCCTCCCTCCCTCCCTCCCTCCTTCCTTCCTTCCTTCCTTCCTTCCTTCCTTCCTTCCTTCCTTCCTTCCTTCCTTCCTTCCTTCCTTCCTTCCTTCCTTCCTTCGAGGGTTAAGGTCGCAGCGAGATCAGAGTTAGCCCTAGACACAGCTCCGCCCAGGAAGTATTTACAGAACCTGGGCAGCATCCTGCAGGTCATGGGCTGCCAAGTCTCACACACGTCGCAGGAGGCGCTCCGAGTAAGACTCAACGTATCGCGCTTGGCGGTCGAGCCGTTACGAAGCGGGGATCTCCAAGTTTGCTTAGGGAGCTTTAAGGAGCTACCAGCAGTCTGTAAGAGTAAACTGTTGTACTTGTTTGAGACTTATTTGGGAGAGACCACGTTGGCGGGAAACAAACAGCTTGCCAACTTTGGCCAATGAGCTCAGGATGTGAGTGGATGAACTAGATGACCGGGTGAAGTTGGCCGGAGAGCAACCCCAATAGGCAAACGGAGGTGTCGTTCTTCCATTACTGGGTACGAATGGCACGACTTGTTTTATTCTCCGAAACGCTCTATGTAGCACTTTGTTTAAGGACGAGGTCCCAGCCGTCTCAATGCCCATTGGTTGCCCCATGTCAGCCCATTAGTCCACTGACCGAAAACGTGGTCAGCGTCGCTGGCTTTTGCATTTTTTTAGTTGTGTGTTGTTTTCTTCATGTGTTGTTTTCGTCTAGGGCTTGTTTTTGATATGTCTTCTTGTTTCTGTCTTGTGTTCACAAGTAATTCTGCGAGCAAACATTGGGAAGTAATGTGGACTCCATATGAATCAACCCCCAGCTTATTGATAGTGGCGTGTCCCTGGGAGTCGGGAATCAGACCACTCTTGGAGGGAAACAGCCCCCTACTGTGGATGGACGAAATCCTGCACCACCTCAGAGACCTTGGAAGGATGATTGCCGTGTAAGTACCAACAAACAATGGTTTTCCATGGTTTCCCATGGTTTCCAAGTGGTGCGAAATCGATTTTGTCCATCCACAGCATGAATAAACTGGGGTTGAGCATCTAATCAGGGACCGGGTCCGTTGAGGCGGTGTCCGTTTGGTTTCCCTTGAGGCTCAACATGTGGGCGGCTCGTCTACTTTTTAGGCGACAAAAGCTTCTCTTTTTTTAAGGTTTCCTTCTAAAGGCACCCCGAAAAAGGTACCCTCAAAAGAAAACCCCATATTTTGAGACATAGCCAGTTAGGGCCAATGGGGCACTTGCAGGAAGATTGGGCCGTCGGAAAGGAGGTCCAAGACAAGGAAGTGCAGCAGCTCTTGGCGAGTTCTGGCCAAGAGCGAAGGGAGAAGCTGATGGAGCTATTCTCGCAAGGCGGGTGGGGATTCAGCTCCCGGTTGGGAGCTGCTCCCAGTTGCCCAGTGGATTCCGCCCGTTGTTCCCTCTCGGTTTTTTGTTGGGAAGGGTTCCGCTTTAAACTGAACCAGCCAAAAAAGGGTGCCCTGTTGTTCCCGTGGCCACTGGGCATCTGCGTAAAAATAGTTTTCTGACCCTCTGCTGGTTGGGTCTTTTGAAAGGAAACCAAAAGACACCACTTTGGGGGGCGACCAGTTTGAGGAACACGCTCAGTGGATTCCATGTTCCTTTTTTGTTTGGTGTTCCCGACCAAAACTATGTATGTTGTTTTTGTTTGCTTGATGGGCTTCCAACTAAATTGTTTGTGGTTTTGGGGTGTCCCCGCAACAACTGCTAAACCCCTGGAGGGTTCCCTTTTTGCGCCATGCTAAATGAGACGGTGGGGTTAAGTTGCAAGGCGAGGTTTTCCCAAGTCGGCAAGAGGTGCCTGACGAGAGGTGAATTGTTGAGGGGTTCCCCGGTTCCCCAAACCGGCACCGCGAGCGCTCAGGTGCTACCCATCACCTGGTATTTCCAGCTCTCGGCAAGGCAGAGCGGCACCAGCTGCATGTGTGCCACAAGCTGAAGTGGCACCCGAGTTCTTGTGTTGTGTTGCGGATGCCAATTCAAGGTTGCAAGCAAGGGAAGAGCCCCCTCTAATTTCCCACAATGTATCATGGTGTTGTGTTTGTGCTTGAGTATTTGTAGTAAAAAGGTTTCCCGACAAAAAGTGGGTTACCCTTTTGTTGTTTACCGTTTGGCCAAAGTGGCACCCAGTTGTCTTGTTTCAGTCAGCTCCCTCCGTGGATTGATCAAGAATGGAACCCAACTCCTGTACTGTTGCGTTTGTTGTTTTTATCCAACACTGAATGCACCTTGTTGTTTTTGCCTCCTGGCCGCGTTTTTTTGTCCTTTGGCCGACTTAGGTGCGCTGGGCAGCTGAAAAAGGTGGGGTGGACGGTCCAGACCCACACGGACCGCGGCAAAGATGGAGAACGCCTGCACATGTGGGTGCAGAAGGACTCAGCAAAGGAGAGGGAGAGTGAGCTGGGTAGGTGTCAACATTTGTTCAGCCCCCAAACATTTTGGTTTTGCTCTTTGCTTCCCTTTTTGGTTTGGCGTCCTTCAATCATGACCCATGACATGTACAGACATGTTGTGAATGGTTTGGCTTCCCACCAGAGAGCGTAGCTCTCGAGCACCCCTGAAGCAAGTGCCAAACGGCAGAATGCGAACATCTGTGTGGCTTTAAGTCTTGTTTGAAAATGGATTGGTTTTCACAGGTTTCAAGCTGGTTCTTGTCCAAAAAGGTGACAGGATGGAGAGAAAATCCACGCTGATCGGCACCAGTTGAGATAGCCCCTGACCCTACTGATTGATAGACTAACTTGGGCCCAACCGGTGCCTGGCGCGGGCTGTGTCCCTCCACACACAGAATACACACCATGGTATCGTCATGCAACTTTACAAGACCAAGCAAGGGGAAAATATATCCATATCGTACGACTTCCCTCAGTAGCGTACACCTTCCTAGCTGGTGGTTAGAAGGGGGCCAGACTGGGAGATCCAATTTGTTGCTAGACTAGGTCCCCCAGTAGAGCCCTTTTGCCAACCTTTTTGGGGGAGGGTTCCCCTACTAAAATAGATCCCTGAAAAAAGTTGGTACCAACTTATTCTAAGCTCTCAAATCTGGAGGACCTAGTAGAAGCCAGACTCGGAGCTATCGGAGTCCTTTAAGCCAAATGGCAGGGACTTCCCACACGTTGGCGCATGTTGCTATGTTAGGACTTTAACTTTTTGCCAACTAGTGGGCTTTTCATTAAACCACTAAAAGGTAAACACTTTTAGCAGGGGAGCAGAAAGCAACCGAGCACAGCCTGCGAGGACGGCAGCCCTGGAGTCACAGGCAGCCGGGAGGAGGTCTTTGGGCGGCTCAGAGGGTTGGACGAGCTGCCCAACGGCAAGGAGGGCTGGGGGCTTGCAGGAGTTAGCTGGGCGTGTTTTGTTTTTTGGTCCCCCAACATGGTTTTTGGTGTCTCTTTGTAAAACTAACCACAAAGGGGTTTCCACAAAATCAAAAAACTCGGGTAGATGAAGGTTAGGGATAGCCTCAGACATAAAGATAAGTGCAGCTAAGTTGGCTCGACCATTTGAATACCACATGTTCAGCGTGATTCATTCCGTGGTGTTGGTTGCAACAGCAAAAGGTTGCCAGAGTTGACTCGAAACTGTTTGACCTTTTGGATATATTTGGCAAGAGACGGCCTTGTTTGGGGGGAGGGGGGTTGGCAAAAAATGTACTTGAACGGGTGTGTCTTCTTAGAGAGCTCTCCTCTTGTGGTGGTTGTCAAGGGAAACCAAAAGGGACATTCGGGCGGGTGTTCCTTTTAGTAGCCTTTTGGCAAGGAGAAACATTTTTGGAAGAACTCTTCGATCGGGGAGCCCTGAAGAAGGAGCCAAAGACTACTGGACATCTGTAGCTCTAGGGGCACCTTGACCATTCTTTCCAGAAAACCTCCAGAAACCCAGGGAAAACGGCGATCGGTTTTTGAAAAGAACGACGATTGAACAGAATGGGGGAATCAACGCCTGTAGCGCAGATCTCAGAGAGGAAACCAAAGACTCCCTCCCCCGCCCCTCACGAAAGTGTATGAATGAGCTCAGAAGCCGTGGCAACTCGCTCAATTCAAAGAGAAAGTCATTATTGCTTATAAAAGATTACAGATCCCTAATTGAACACACACACACGCACAACAATAAGTAAAGAAGGGCCAATCTTGAGGACGTTGCCTGCTTTCAAGGCTTAAGGTTTGGCACACATGGGTCAACCACCAAACCCCGAGAGACGACTTGGACGCCAACCCAAGAAGCCACGGGACGCGAAAACCCGGGGACTCGGACCCCAGGAGGCGGCGGTGCGGACGGTGGTGGACGCCTTGATCTTCCCGCTCTGTGCAGAGCTGAAGACCCAGGTGAGCATGGAGGAGGGGCAAGCCGATTGCTAGGAAGTGAGAAGATGCCAATCTTGTTCCGGTGTTTGTGTGGGCTGTGGTGTTGTGTTTTGCTTTTCGTTTTTTTCTTGCGGCTTGGAGTGCCTATATGTTGGGGGGCTGGCGTTCTGTTGTTTTTGTGTGGTGTTTTTTTGGTTTTTCCCCTTGCGGCTTGGGGTTTTATCCAGTGGTTATACGCTGAGGGGGGTGGTTTCTGCAGTGGTTTGTGTTGTTTGCTCAATCAAAGTTGTGTTTACAATGTTGTTGGACAGTGCTTAGATGGTGCTGATACGAAGAAAGGGGGCTTTCATTACCAAACCACGCGCTTCGCTTAACTAGCAAGGGGGTGCCAACCGCAAAAGCAGCAGGCGTGATATACCTATTTCCCTTCGTAGTTGAGGGGAGTGAGGTTCGGTCGTCTTGATCAACCCATTTTTGTTGGGTGATGTTTTTTGGCTTACATGGTGAGCCCCAAACAGGTCTCCCCCGTTTCCTGGAAAATGGGTCACTGGGAACTTGGTCGGAGATACCATACCCAACCCCGGAAAAGCAGCTGCGATATTTCGAGTGGCGATTCCGCAGGTCCGGGGGTACGAGCGAGAACCCATAAAGGAAATCTGCAAATTGCAATAGTTTCCAACTGTTGGCCCAGATATGGTGGTTATATACCCGATGTTCCCTTTTGCGGTAGTGGTTTGGGCGACTGAAAATTGAGGGGGAAGTCTTAAGGTAGGAGTGTCCGCAGCCCGAGAGATGTGCGCTTTCCTGGTCCTTCGCGACAGGAGGGCTTCAAGAGCGAGCCCTTCCCCACCAGCGTCTGTGACTACACCTTCCGCTCCGACCAGAAGGCCCGCACTCGCATGACTCAGTCGAGCGATGCCTAGGGGAAGAAGAAACGCCCCGCCCTCCCCCTCCCGGCCTGCTCCCTCGCCGGCAATGTACCATGTGTTTATTATTCTTATTATTATTTTATTGTTTTTCGGGTGCTCGAGTGACTGTACCAATAGAGGGCAATGGTTTGAGAGGCAAATGGGAGGGATGACTAGCTACACAACCAGCGGTTCCACCGATCTGGGTGTCAAAGCTCACAAATTGACGAAGGTCCCTTACTTGAGGGAGGAGGGACTGTTTTTAGTTTGTTGGCGCACAATTTGCCCAGATATCGTTGTTCTATATCTAATGTTTGCTTGAGGGTTCTTCTGGTTTATAACATCACCTTTCGAGCCTAAACGCTTTGTAGTTTGGGATACCAACTCAAGAAACGGCAGACCCAGGGAAAGTTTCCTCACCGTGGGGAACTCACGACACTCCCTAGAAGCCCAAAAATACGCGCCGAAATGTGCCATATTCCTTACTTTATTTACCTTCGTAATTTGGCTGTCGGAGGGACCGGTTTGGCCTTTTTGGATGGCAAGGTCTTTAAACAATGAACCAACACGACGCTTCCAATCCCAAAACGGGTGCCAATCCCCAAAAAGTACCAATAGGTAGCCTTTTGTCCCAAAATCCGCGGGAATAGGGTGATGTATCTGCCATTTGGCAAGTGGACAAGTCATCTTGGTGGTTTCCCTACTGGTTACTCCATGCCCAAGATCAAAACGGCTCTATCCTTTTTTGACTGGACCCCTCCAAATTGGTGCTGTGCCTTATGGTGTCCCTTTAAAACCACCCCAAAGAAGGTACCAACTCTCAAAACAAAAAGAAAGAAAGAGCCCAAACAAAACCCCAAAAGCACAGAAACGGAAACAACACACCACAAAAAGAACACACAAAACACAAAAGCAATTCAACCAAAGAAAACAAACAAATCAACTCTTAAGAAGAACAAAAAGAGCAGAACAGGCGCCGCCCAAAAGAATCCGCGAGATCAACTCCGCCAGGTCCTCGGGGCCCTGGAGGCGAAGCGATGTCTGCCCAACTGGGCTGCCACGCTGTCGCAGGGGGCCGCACAGTGCCTGTGGCAGCTGGCCTCGATGCGCGCCACCCAGGAGCAGCCTGAGCTGAGAAGAAGTCCATGTAAATCAGGGTTGTGGGATCAAGTTGGGTTTCTCCAACCACTTCTGTGATACTTTTGGGAATCTCCCCCTTTATATGGGCGGTTAGTCTGTGGGAAGCCCTTTTTGTTGTATCACAGAAGTGGATTCCATTTCCCACAGCCCTGATGTAGATCCATTTGAAACGAGGTGTTTTGTCGGATCGGACCCATGTAGCAAGACGACTTTCCTCTTAGTTGGCCTTTTTTTGCACTTCCATGTTAGTTGGTGGGAGGGTATTTGTTTGCTTCCCCTTGTACTGGTTGGGAATTTATCACTACTGAAGATATGTTTATGTTTCCACGGGGCAGAAAAGCAAATGGAGGAATACGTGTTCCTGCATTTGTATCTTGTTGATTTCTATTTGTTTAAACAACTTTTGTTTGATAACAGCGCCAAACAGGGAATATAGAACATGGGTGGTCTCCTTTTGTTTTTACGCCAAGCTGCAAAACGGGTGGTACAAAAACACGCGCACACACACACACACAAATGGGTTTGAACAAAGGGCCAGTGTTGGTGTGGCTTGATTCAAGGATACTCCTTTTTTTTTTGGGGGGGGGGGTATTTAAAAAAGCAAGGAAACCAGCAAGTTCTGTGGTGCCAATTTTGGGGATTTACAAACTGAGCCGCAATGAACACCTAGGCAGATTGCACCAGATGGCACCATTCCCAGTTGGGATGACTATGCCAAAATGAGGGGATTCGTTCACCCAACTGCAAGGTTAGATAGGGACAATCCCTTAGAACCAAACTTCAATGGGTTTTTGGCACTCAGTTGACTGAACCAAAGGGACTATAGCTTCCTTTACAACGAACCCGCCAGGAGTTTGCTTTAACAACAGTGGCTTAAAAGTGCGTTGGGCCAACCTTGCCAAAAGCAACGGAGAAGGAAAACAAACTTCAATCTGGGGTGTGTTCCTTGTTGCCAATTCGTTTTGTTGATGGGTTTCCCTTCACAAAGCAACGACCAAGAAGAGGTCTGGGGATCCTGAAGGTGAATGCTTGGAAGGCCCGCAAATTTGATGATGGGCGTTGTTCAGGAGTGCCATGGTCAAAAGACCGGTTCCTTTTCTTGGGGTTAACAGGGATGGTCATTTCTCTGGTAAGGATCATCAGGATCCTTACTGAGCATGGCAATGATGCCTATTAAGGGAACCCATGACCATGGGCCATAGACCATGGCACATGTGAATGGTGGTGCCTGTACGCCTGTACTAGGGGCCAAACTGGTTCCATTGTACTCGGTTTCCGTGGTTTCCATGTTTTTCTTGGCATTGGTCCCCTTTCTTCAAAATGGTTCCCTGCAAAGATACTGTAGATAAACCAAAATCCGTTCGTACCACTTTTCAGAAACCCTGGAATGACTCGACCGAGGGGATCCCGTGGGTTGCTTGAAAATTGTTCAACTTGCTTCGTATCTGGGTTTCCCTTTTAAATCAAGGTCCAGATTCTTTTTCCCCTGAAAATTAGTCTGGGCTTAATGTTCTGCACGCTGTTGCTTTGACTGGTGTTTGCCGATCTTTCGCCTGTTTTCCCTTTGTTTTGCTGAGCGAGTCGGAATTCTCTGGGTCCGCAGCCGTTTGTGGACATCATTGTCATGGTGGACAGAAACATGTCCACTTTGGAGGTTCTTAGAACTCATAGCCAGGGCTTGCTCGAGTTCACATGGTGTCACCCTTAAGCATCATTCCACAAAAAATCACCTTGGGCATGTCAACAAACTAAGCCTTGACATACCCCTAAACAACTCCACATAACCCTGAACAAAAATGGTGGTGGTTTTTTCTGGTTTCCTATGGAAACCACCAGCAAAAAGGGCTAAAACCGGGAGAAAAAGAAAAAAACAAAAACGAAGAGGCTTCCTGGGCACCTGCCCAGGTGCGCAGATCCATGCGTGGGCCTGGTGACCAATGGGAGGCGCTGGGTGTGTTTAGAGCTGCACGGGCGGCACCTCAGCATCTCGAAGACGCTGGACATCTCCAAGGAGGCAGACCCCGCGCGAGAGCACCGTGCGAGTGAGTCGCACCAAAGACCGGAGCAAACGGGCGAACCGGGGGTCCAGCTCTATGCCCATAAGTGTCCTGTTTGGTGGTTTTGGTGGAAAAATCCATGGCCCTGGTTTACGTAGTGGTTTAATCATCTTCCAGGGCCATCTATTTGCCCTAAAAGGACACTATGTCTATGTCAATATGTTTGGCGGTTTCAGCCGGACTTCTTTTTTGGTCTCCACGGCTTGAGAAGTTCCGGTACCTGATGTTTGGGCGGAGGCAAGTGTCCCTTGCGGGTGATGTTTTAAGGGGAAACACAGGGAGCCCTAAAGGGGGCCGACAGGTCCAAATAAGTTATCAGCTTTCAAGGAAGGTTCCGGAGGCTTCCGGAGTTGTCGAGGAAGTCACCTGTCTCGTTCTGAGAGCACCGGTTTTGGTTGCTTGGATTTAAGTGTGCCTTGCCTTTGAGGGTACCCTTGAAAGAAGGTCGGGTTAAAGGGAAACCAGAAGCA